AAATAAGGGAAATAGTAGGCCTTATATAGGCATTACTGAAAGAGCTAGTCTTCTTTGCTTTCACCTAATACCCTTAATACAATTGCCATTGTATTGAAGTGAATCCTTTGAAGTGAATTCCCTTGAATGAATTCCCTTATCCATACAGTATTCTATAGATCGAATCTCTAATTATTATATGATCTGATTTATATAGTCTATAATACCGTTTCCGTTGTACTTATATTAGTATTTCCTAAGTTATTGAAAATAAGCTTTGAAAGTAATTTATATAATATACCTTAATAAGAGCTACTAGTATTTTATTATAATATCTAAACTATATAAATTTATTAAAACTATAATATGCGAAACCTAGTATATTTACAGAGTTATATTTAATATCATAATCAATCGAATATTATATATAAAGTGAATATTATATAAAAAGTGAATATTATATAATCAATCGAATATTATATTATTATATAAGATAATAGTATATCACGGTGGAGTGGAAATAATTGAATAATAATAGTATAAAACAGAAAATGTATATATATAGAATTATATTTAATTGAAACTCTAATTTTTTCTTATAAAGAAGAAATAGGATTATATATTAGATAATTATTGAATATTAATTATAAAAACAATAATTGGATTAGGATTTGATTTGGTTATTATTGTTCTATTTTAAAGTATTTTATATATTATATTTCTAATTATTATATGATCTGATTTATATAGTTTATAATATTGTTTCCGTTATATATAAAGTAAATACTATATATAAAGTAAATATTATATATAAAGTGAATATTATATATACAGTGACCTACAAAAAATAAGGGCCGTAGCTCAAAAACACACTAAAAATAGTTATTTTTCAGTGTTTTTAAAGAGCTTCAATTCTTGATTAATTGAATATTTAGATCTCAAACTTTCAAATATGATAGAAAGTTAATAAAATTTTAATTAAAAATAGAATATTTTTAGAGATTTATTTGATCTTGATATTAGGATTTAAAATTAAAAAAATTAAGAATTCGAAAAATACGATGAATTTACTAGTAAAAATGTTACAAAACCGAACTTTTTAATTCAATCGATTTTAATTGATTATATCAAGGCGAAATGATTTATTAAAAAAAAATCATATTTTTTTATTTTTAAAGTTAATATAATTTTCTATATTATAGTAAAATTTCATTATAATAAATCTAAAGAGTTTCTAAATATATAGAAATAAAAAGGTTGAATAATGACTGTTTTTAGTGTGTTTTTGAGCTACGGCCCTTTGTCACGGGGCAGGCAGGCGGGATCAGGAATCTATATTCGATAGTACTAAGAACAGTAGGTACAGGGTGTAGACTAAGACGTAGCTCAAAGAGCTATAATACAGGATCTTCCAGCGTGAAGATATACAGAGTTTTCACTTGTAAGCTAGCCTAACAGGGCCTAGCTTATCGCTTATCGGTCACGTGTATCTACACCGTGACACCCTTTTTTTTTATCTAGTACTATAAAGTGAATATTATATATAAGGTAAATATTATATATAAAGTGAATATTATATATAAAGTGAATATTATATATAAGGTGAATATTATATATAAAGTGAATATTATATATAAAGTGAATATTATATATAAAGTGAATATTATATATAAAGTAAATATTATATATAAAGTGAATATTATATATAAAGTGAATATTACATATAAAGTGAATATTATATATAAAGTAAATATTATATATAGGAAATAAAACTATATACGCGAGATAAAACTATATATACGAGATAAAACTATTATAAAAGAGTAGAAGGTAGTAGAGTCGTAAAGTAGTCCTTTATAAATACTATAGATAAGTTACTGAAACATAGCGCCTTCAGTAGAGAAAAGAAGGAGTAGGCTCTATATAGCATATTACAAAATATACGAGAAGGTAGGTGGGAACTAATTGCTTTTTCTAAACTATACAAAAAAGACCTATAAATACTAGCTACAGAAAGAGGTCACGTGACCAGTACCAAGTTTCGCTCACACTATATACGCGAATAAAAATATATATATAAGTAAAAGTATATAAGTGAATTAAAACTATATATACGAATAAATAAATAAAAAATAAGATAATTCTTACTTTTCTTTTTCTAAAAAATATTATTATTATTCTTCTTTTTCTTTTTTATTTTTATTCTTTTTTCTTTTTATTATAAGTAATATATATTCTTATTATTCTTATTATTCTTATTATTCTTATTATTCTTATTATTCTTATTGTTCTTATTATTCTTATTATTCTTATTATTCTTATTATTCTTATTATTCTTATTATTCTTATTATTCTTATTATTCTTATTATTCTTATTATTCTTATTATTCTTATTATTCTTATTATCATCATTTTTATTTTTTTCTAATCAATTTTTATTTATTCATTAGATTATTAATAGTAGAATAGTAGAATGGTAGTTTCTTTTTATAGATTTTAATATAGATTCCAATATAGATTTTAATACAGATTCTAAAAGTTGAAAATCGAAAACGTCTAAGGCAATCGTGCCTTAGGCATACATACTCTTGCTTACAAATACACCTTCAAATGCGCCTCTAAATGAACCTCCATCAATACTTTTAATTCAATCCATTAATTCCATCATTATTATACGGCGTAACCTAAAACTAATTAGAGCTCTCGAAAGCCCTTAATTGCTTTAATCTAATTGCTTCTTTTCTAATGTTTTTATTGATTGGTTTAAGGTTGTGTGTTGGATTGAAATGCTAGTATGCTTTCCCCTTTAGTTTCGTAAGCCTACCCGGCTGGAAAAACTAAATTCCCCCTTTGCCCGGCCGGATTAACTAAGCTTCAATCAATTAAAAGTTTCGTATATTACTTATGATTAATCAGAAGGGGTTTTATAAATCTATAAATATAAAAATTGCCTGCTTATAGAAATATATAATTATGTAATAGAGTACATATTTATTTAGTTAGCTTCTACGAATCCATTATGTATAGTATATATTCTATTGAAAGCTATATACGATTTAGTTAAGTATATTAATCAAAATGATTACCTAATACGCCTAATACGTTTAGCCTGCTTTCTGCGACGGAGATGGTGATGACTGACTGTGGACAGTCCACGAGTTTAAAAAATCATACGATTGCATATTCATGAACGACTAAAGTATATAGAAGATTGGTATTCACTTTGAAGGCTCGACGCTCTATTGACTAGGCGGAGGATATAATGACCAAACTTTTCTACAAAGTCCAACGCAAACCAAAAAAAGAAACATCAAGATACATATAGTAAACCGTCTCACCACCAATCTGCCATAAACATTCTATCATTATCTATACTCTTCTATTTATATTTTGAAGAATTGCAGCAACTTCAAGTACCTCTCTTTTTCTATCCTCTTTCGCCTTTACTACCGCCTTTCCTTTCTCTTATAAACCCTTACACAATGAACAAACTAAATCCCTTCTTATTTTTCTCTTAAATGATACTAATAATGGATTATATTCCCTTCTCTTTGTATCTATTTATTTAACAAAAACAATCTTTATAAAAACATAAATAAAACAAATTCCATTACAAAAACAAAATACATATCTCACTTCATTCCAGTATATTTTGAACAAATAAAAAACAATAAATTTTGAAAATAATGCTAATAGTTTTTTATTCAATATACAATTAAAATATATATAAACAAAAACTTAAAATCTTACTATAAATTTGATATCAATAAAAATAAAAGGCTTAAAAACTTATTAATAATAAAATACTAATATTATAATAAAAAATTGAATTAAAAGATTTTTATAGAAATAAAAATCATAACTATATTAAAAAAAAAGTTATTTATAAATACAATATAACAAAATATTAAATAATAATAATCTAATTTTAATAAAATATCTTATTATTTTGATTCTTAAAATAAAAAAAAGTTAATTTGAAATTTTAAAATTCTATTATAAATTAACAAAAAAAATCTTTATACAAAAAAAAAACTCAAAACTTTTTATATACATTTTACTATATCTATACAATCATTTTATCAAATTTATTCTTAAAAACTTATACTTATTCTTCAATCAAAAACTTAATTTATTCTTTAAAAAAAATCATTACTATATTAAATATAATATTCATACCCCTTAATCATTTCATCAAACAATTATATATTATACAATTTAAATAATTAATATAACTAATCAAATTTTTAATAATTATTATAACTTTATTAATTCAATTTAATTAAGAATTTGTTTAATATAAAAAACTTTTTATAAATTCTTAAACTTAAATTTATTATTAAATATTCATAATATAACATATTCTAACATCAAGTTAAATAAGATAAAGATAAAAAGTACAACTATACACTTATAATATATAAAATATCAATATAGACAGATCAATCATGAGTATGATAAGGTATCAAAGGTAATGCTAATATGTACGGTCGCTATATATTTGAATGAAGGAATATAGGGCATATATATAGATTCGTAGAATTGTCATTCTAGAATCTAGAAGTGGAAGTGGAAGTGAAAGAAGTACCGGTAAACTGTATATATAATTTGTTTCTCCCGAGCGTATAGGTTAATTTACATAATCAATATTATATATACAATACAATATAAAACTGAATTTAATTTATAATATTCAAGATTTATAGATATTTCTTCTCTAAATTATTATATACTAGTTTTCAAATAGGGATTTATATTTTATAAATTATATAAAAGAGAAGGGAAGAAAAGGAAAGGAAAGAAAAGGGATTTTTGTTTGAACTTTGATTAATATGATAATATGTATAATTTGTTTAATTTCATAATTGGATTGTTGTTGTTGTTGTTGTTGTTGTTATTGTGATTTATAATGTTTGAGGATATATATGAATGTTATATGAAACTCCGGAGTGTAATTCCTCGATCTTTTTTATGTATATACATCTTGCCAACTTTCTAGTTTCGTCTATTGCGTAAGTAGTTTATGCTCCTAATCTCTTCTTCAAAAACTGCTGCAATCCTTGCACGACCTCGTCCTCTACACCACTTTTCTGCCACGTTAAACTAATGACCAATGGTCCGTCTTCGAGATTCACAACATTGCATCCGAAAGGGGCACCGAATACCATTCCGCATTGCGAAAATATCAGGCCGTTGAGTTTTAGAGAATTCTCTTCGGGGACTCTGTTCAATTTAACCACGCCCAGGTTCGATAGTTCGTAAGTTTCTGATCGCTCTGCTGACATTCCCGCGAGACAGTACGATTCCACGTCGTCAATCTCTGCAACGTTCCTCAATTGTGGGACGCCGCCTCCGGCTTCGATTCTGCTCAGATCTGTCGAGATCTCTTGGGTTATCTGTCTTCCCATCGTGGCAATCAATGCTTCTTCTTCGGGGGATTCCTCTCTCGCATGACGGATTTGGTCTAACAGTCCCGCGTCCCACGTTGTGGTTATGAAGGCTACGTGGTTTGCTACGTCACTCAGTGGGAGTTTGCTAAATTTCCGCAGCGAGTATGGCGTGCACGCTTTGAGACGCAGCTGTTCATTTGTCACGACCGCGCGCGCAAGATAGCTGGTGATCAACCCGTGCAGATAACCCGTGACGGTGATTTTCAGACGGCGACTCGTTTCTACCACTCGCTGGACTTTTTCGGGGGGAACGGCCACGAGGAGGACAAGAGATTTGTAGGATTCGATGGTGGGCATGTTGGGGAAGTTTCCTGCCCATGTTTTTTCTTCTTTCTCTTTTTCGTCTGTGAGAGGTGCTGTGGTGGGTGCGAAAGATTCGTAGCCTGGGGGACTGATTTGCATGGCGTCCTCGATGGCTATTGGTTTCCCGATGGTGTTCGGTACTATATACGGCCACTGCACACTATATTTCTCAACCGTTTCTACTGTCGCTAGTGACAATTGCTCGTGCAAAGTCCGTTGAAAAGAAGCACAGCTTAATCCATCGGCAATGGCGTGATTCACTACAAAGAGTATGTAGACCTTGCAAGTCTGATCTTCCATCTCGTGCACGAGAACCCGAAGTTTCCAGGCGGGTTTGGTTTCCTGGTCCTGGAAGAGCTGCTCGTGAGAAGCTCCTAGCTCTTCGCAAATACGCGTTTCCTGGGATGGAGCATCGCTGCTTGTATGGACCGAGGAGATGGATACGAGATCGTCCCAGGAAATTTGGGGAAGTCGTTTAAATCGGGCGGGGAGGTTGTGGCTTTTTGAGCCCGGGAGGAGACCGTAACAGAGCGAGGGGTGTTTTTCTATGGTTTTGCTTAGAGCGTGTTGGAGGCGGGAGGTTAGTTCAGGAATGGGATTGGGAGTGCTAGGTCTGAAGCTGTAGTAGGATGTTACGGCACAGGAACGGTAGAGACCTAGTTCGTGACGGACGGAGTAGTAGTTGCCGAGGAGTCCTGGGGCTGGTTAGTTGATTGGGATACTTTGACTACTTGGATGGGATTGGATGGGATTATTAATGGTGGTTTCTGGAGTCTTTCTTTTAAATTATCCGGTTTATGTTGTCCTTTTTACTCTTGAATAATATGATCTTCGAGGTGGGTTGTGTGAAGGTGATGCTAAACGTGATGGGTATATACGAGTTGGAGAATTGAAAATGAGATCGTCACGCACCTGCTGGGAAGGTATTGGTTTCCATTGTATTATAGTCCATACTAACTATTAGATGCGATGAGGTGATGTGGTATGAAGAAACGAATAACTCCCTCTCGAGGAAAGTTAAAGGTTATATACTCTAAGGTTCTCAGTATTTGATCAATAGAGTCATTGGGAATTGGATGACTCCGATGCTATTCATTCGTATTCGTGAACCTTACCGCCTTGGGCAGAACAGGGGGAAGGTTGCGGTGCATGCCATGCATTGAGATAAGATACGCACCGCACCTACCTACTAGGTAGCTAGCTAGCGATGAATCATAATTTTGGGAATGGGGTGAGTAATTGGAGAGTTTGTTGTCAGGTAATGGAATAGGATATCGAGGTAAGGTTATTTATGGATTGATGATAAAGGGCACGCAGGAATTGAATGCTTTATTATCATGTAGATGTACTAATATTATGTGTCACAGTCTCTTTGGGGTTGGTAGGAATACCTACCTATGCTTCTCGAAAGATTATCTTGTCACTTCATCCATTCCCTGTATGCTTACTAGACTGGATTGTAAGATCTTACATTCGTCTCCACGTTGTAGGTAGCGGGGAACGCGGCTAAATTTGATAGCATCACTGCTACTTAAGCGCTCAGTGGGATAGGATAATAAGCGGTTGATTGTACAATATTCAATTTGATATTTCATGATTCTCATAAGGTTATACTTCCTAGCTTTCTTATTTATTTTCGGTGGATCATGAGGAAATGTTTGAGTAGCTATTCTTGTATGCACCAATTTTTCTCTTCGTGAATCAGTTTGGTTTGGTTATGAGTTTCCTCTTCAACTTCCCATCACGCATGTTTCGAGGAGCCCATCCCGCAGCATTCGAATACCACAACCTCACAGAATCAGATGCAATTCGTCTCTTGATTATACATCCAGGTATTCCTTCTTCTCCAATCCATTGTAGTCTCGTGCATACGAGTTTGAAGGAGTGTCGATTGGATATCTATGATGGCTATACCGCACTCTCTTATGTTTGGGGCGATCCAAGGGCGAGGAAAATTGTATTTATTAATGGAAGACCATTTTCTGTAACAGTTAATTTAGCAGATGCCCTTATTCATCTTCGTGATGAAAATCGACCCCTGCGGTTATGGGCAGATGCAATATGTATTGATCAGGATAATTTGGGCGAGCGTACTCAGCAATTGGGGTTGATGAGAGAGATTTATCGGCTGGGGGGTCGGACTGTCATTTATCTTGGTGAGTCTTCGGAGGAAATAGACACGCTGTTCGATTGTATTGGGAGAGGGGGAGCAGATGCTAGGTTGTCGAGAGCGCATGGTCTTGCATTTCGTGATGTGCTCTCGCGTCCTTGGTTTACGAGAGTTTGGACGTATCAGGAATTGCTTCTTTCACGAGAAGTTGTGGTGCAGATTGGGAGGTGCAGAGTTCTGTGGCAGGATCTTTGTAGTGTGTTTTTGAATGGGGATAATGAGCTTGTTGTTAACTCGGATGTTGAGGCTGGATATTTATCATATCCACAAGAAAGATCGGATACACCGATGGTCGATGTAGGTGCGCAAGAATATGCGGCTCAGATTGATTCATCTTCGCGTATATCTTCCAAGACCGTGACTCAAGCGGATGCGTATCATCTGGAAATATTGAGGAGCATGGATGTATCGCGACGGAAGTTTCAAAGTGGTGTTACTGGTGGATCTTCTCTTCTGAGTATTCTCGCATCACGACAAGGGTCGGGAGTTTCCGATTTCAGAGACATCATCTACGGATATCTTGCTGTTGCTGAAATTCGTCCTCCGTATAGTTATGGAATATCTTCATATTTGGACCCGAAAGATTATCTGCCGGTAGTGGACTACACCAAGAGCGTAGATGAGGTTTTTGTCGATGCGGCGTTTTACATTGCTATCTCCACCGAGCCAAGACGACTCTGGGATATGCTATTTCATTCCGAAACTATGCGTCCCCATTTGAAACGAAAGGGCTTACCCAGCTGGGTACCAGATTGGACTCTCGGACGAAATGACCTGCCGAATTCTAGCTGGCCGTTTGTGGGAAGCCAGATCACGGATATTCCGGCGCCTGGAGAATTGAAAATGAGTTCTAAAGTGGGACCTTGGATCATACCCGTTGATCCCCAGATTTTAACAGTATACTGTGACTTTCAAGCTATTGCCGTCGTGACCAAGACTGCTACACCGGACTTCTCAAGTTCAAAGTTTGCCGAGCAAAAACAGATTTTGATTGATACTTTCTACGAACTTCTCGACATGTACAAAGACAGGCCAAAACTTGACGTTCGGCAGGTATGGGATCTCCAATTCAATTCCAAGCTTCGGAACCTTTACAAAAGTCTCTACGTATCATGGGAGTCTCTAGGAGTACAGGATATTTTCTGGAAGAACCCCGATCTGCGACACTATAAACTTTTCAGCAAGGTCATGCATCAGGTGTTCAAATATTGCTGCAAGCTTTCCGGAATCGGCGAACTTTCTGAAGCCAAGCTATGGCAGCTTCTTCACGGCTCTCCTATTGCTATTCTGCTTATTGCGGCGATATTTCCATCTAGCAAGAATGTCACTAGTGAAAGAGCTTTTGCGCGATTCTCTAAATCTCCCTGGCTTGTGAGTATTGGGATTGTTCCCCGCTCGACAAAAGTTGGAGATTTCGTCCTTCATTTTTATGATGGGACGGAGAATCATTCTTGTGGAGTCCTGCGACCTGTGGATGATTATAGGAATGCTCATCTCGATGAAAAAATCAGGACGAAAATTTCTGTTCAAGGATTGAATTCTGATATTTCGATGTTTCACTGTGCTTATATTGGAAAAGGGTGGATGGATAGAGGATGGGTGGAGAAAAGCCGGAATATGAAGACGTGTGGAAATAGTGATATAGATACGCATATGGATACACAAACGCACAGCAATCACGAAACCAACCCAGAAATTCCAGACAGTAAATGGAATCCCAATTGGGATCATATCTTAGACTCATCTAACACGCCCTCAGAACCCAACCCAAATCTCGACCTAGCACGAAAACCAGATGCAGATGCGACTCGGGATTTGAAGTTCCTCTCAGGCTCGGATCGAAGTCTCACCTCTCCAGAAGCATATCACAATGAACTTCGTATGCTGTCGAAACTTCGCGAGTTTATGTTGGATGAATATTATGAGCCTGTCGATTCGCTGATGAATCTCATGCGGGGATTTGATAGGGCGGTTAAAACGGCGGATTTTAATCCAGTCATGATGGTTTTGCATTGAGTGGATTTCTGGGAGGTTAGGGTCTGTATTTATTGAGATTGGAATTGTTGGTTTCTGGGGGTTGGAATGGATAATTACTGTGGTTTGTGGAAATTTGGAAATGGGAATGGAAGAATTGACGCGGATTTTGTTTCTGGATCTTTTGATGATGAGAGCTTTTAGAGACTAGGAGGATTTAGTGGGTGATTATTATAGATGTACAGAAGGTTTATACGTCAGTGTACATTGGCTGCTCGAAAGATCAAGAGAATGGTATATACTAATTGACAGTGTATTCATGACAGGAGTGCTCTCCGAGAGAACTGATAGCAACTTCATAAGAGGGCATATCATAACTCGACTTGCTAGTCACCAGTTACCTATTCGAAGTAGCATCTTTCTCCAAGTTCCGGTATGCATATATAGTGAATTCACCTATCGGAAGGATTGCTAGCACAACGGTATTGAAGAGTAAGTTTGAAGGATTTCTTAGATGAATTATGTTTGAATGATATACATTTCAGATTCTCTCTCCTTTTATCCCGCTCGATAAATTGCTTTAGAAATAGCACTCGTGAAATCATAAAAATACAAAAGAAATCTGATATCTCAAGGGATTTGATGTAAGGAAGCAGCAAGAACAACCATTTTAATCGAAATTGATACGTCCTCAGACTGAATCACAATCAAGAGGAATAGCCACGACCACCCATCCTAACCGAACTGTATTCGCATCCAGCGCAACAAATCTCACTGAACCATTTCCCACCACATCTACCGAAACCACAACAAATATACCTATAAATCCAGCAGTCGAACAATCATCTCCCACTCCAACAACAAACCCCCTCTTCACAGAAACCAGCCAAACAATGCCGCCACTCCAAACAGCACACTACCCGTGACGGTGCAATAACTGACCACACTAACTTTACTACCTCCACTCTCACTCGATACACTTGTCGAATTCGAAGTATTCGGATTCGTATTTATGAGTTGGAAATTATACAAACCACATCCTGTATCGATGGAACCTGATCCCGCGATTGAAGAACTGTTGTCACCACCTGTGGATATGTGAGTTTTGTTTTACTTACTTTCTGTTTCTTTTTCCAATTATAACATTAAAGAGGAGGAAGGAAGAGAAAACCCAAATCAAAACTTACACGCAGAGAAAAGATGATCATAAACGATTTCGCAGTCGCTTGCGGAACTATTCCCCGGACAAGTTGTGGCTGCAGATGTAAAGGCAAGCGAAACGATGGAGCTGGAGCTGGAATCTATATTGTAGTTCCTAGCCGTGGATGAGAAATTGTTGGAAGCGATTTGGGTGCAGAGTTGGGTGGTATATTTCGATAGAGAAGATATATTGAAAGAGGTTGTTGTGTTGGAATCAGTGATACATATTGGGATTGAGGTTGCGGTGATGATTGTGAAGAAAAGAGAGAGTATTAATAGGACTCGTGAAATCATTTTGAATTAGCTGCTATGATCTTCCTATTCGTAGATGATTTAAGGAAATGACTTTAGATGATTGTCGTGGTGAGAGTTTCTTTGCAGACAAATTAAAAAAAATTAATCTTAGTTTCCAGAACTATTAAATAAAAGCAACCCGAAGAACAGAAAAAACTCCAACGTCATAACTCTGATTGCTGCGGTGTAGATCTCAATACATATAACTTTTTTAATCGTGTCGTTGGCTGTAGCCATCATGGTGAATGAAGGATTGCGCCAGCTGCGGTCAGATAAGGCTGCGTGGGTGCGGCTAAGCAGGTGTGTGAATGCATGGCCACAAGATCGATTAGCTCTGTATATTTATTTATATATAGTTGTCATCTTTGACAATGCTTGATTTAGGCCCCTGACACATCCAGATACAAAACTGGAATTTCTACGTCAAATTGTTGAAAACACAATTGCGAATATCACTTATTCAGCCAAGAATGATTCCAAGACGAATGTTCAACATGTTCAGTTACTCACTGTACATCTTTAGCGGAGGCTGTAATCGAAGATCATAATTTCTATTCTTGAAGAGATCGTTTCAGAAGTATTCCTTTTAAAAGGATTTAGGATTAGTCGCGGTAAACGTACTTTTTGACTACTGGCCATAATGTTAGATCGACCCCAACTTTAGGCTCGTGCTATTCCTCCACGCTCCCGTCATTATAAGCGCCTAGTATTGCTGAATTATGAAGAGAAGCTAAATTGATACTATGATAGATATAGGAAAAGAAGCTAGAAGATGGTAACAAAATCGATATCGACATTAACAACGGAAAAATCTAAAACATATATAAAAGTAAAGAAACGATGCGATACCCCAACATTGATTCATAAAACCTCTCTATTGCAGTAAAGGATTCCAGAAAATCCCGACATCAGGTTCTCATATCCGGCCACTGTGCACAAACTAATTGTTGCACAGTTTTCATCTTCTGCGCGCAGCAGTTTTGTGAATGTTGGGATGCGCTTTAGCCTCGGTGTAGAAATTTTCATGTCTGTATCAATTATGCATTATTAAGGAAAGACGAAGGAGGATCTGACAGGACCCCACGATACTTTGTATCGGAGTACACAGTCATGCTAATATGTATATGTACTTGTTGTCGGGGGATTGTTTCGCGGCGAAGCAAAGATCCCAGACTCTGTTCCAATTTTCGATTTCAGTTTGCCTATGAAGTGCAAACGCAGCTTAAAAGGTTTGATGACCTGCAAAAGTAAATCCCCCAATTGCTAAGGTTACGACAAAACAATAGAACTAGCTTGGTTTGTAAGTACTGTACCAAAATTCCGCGTTGGAAGTTTGGTCAGTCAGATATAGAATTCCATCTCAGTATACTGATAGTGAGAAGAAAGAAAGAGTTCTTGCCATGGTGGAATTGTAGATGTTGCTTGTGGTGAGCACTCATGATCATGATCATGCAACCTTTCTACACGCCCTAAAATCTTTAGCGAATTTGATACCTCGGGAGATTCAACCGCCAACGTGATATGGTCAACAAAGCTCATGATCAACAATGCTTCCCTCGATGGCTAATCGCAGAGTATTTATGACAATTTATCTGCTTTTTGTGATTTCCTATATCTGGAATGGCTTGTGGTATCGTAGTAAGTTATTGTTGAAAGACTTATTAGTATAATAATCTACAATGCGTGACCTCGAGAACTAACCTTAACTTCCTCCGATGGTAAGGTGGATACATTGTCATCTCTGACAGCTCTCGCTGAACACAAGGATCAAAACCTCTCAATTCACGTGAGAACTAATTAGCTATGAGCAATTTCTCTTGTGTATTTCACTTGCTATAGACGAATATGTACCATATAACTGTCCGGTGTGTCTATTTTGACTAGCGCGAATCTGTAGAGCATGTAAGATCTCATGTACCCCGCCGAGCGTGCCCCGCCAAATTTCGACAATGGACGTTGACGTCAGTATATCAATCACACTATGGCAATACTTACGTAAACGCCCATTATTCGTCCAATTGTTGAAACACACTTGAACACCAGAATCACCACGCAAATATAAGGTTATTTAATAATACATCATTAAACTCCATGAGAATCCATCAAATCTATCATCAATAGTAATCCATTCGCATTTAACTCGTCGAATTTCTTGCCTTCCACTTCTCAAGAAACACTCGCTTTCTCATTGACCCTCTCTCCTTTCCTCTACCTCTTTCTTTTGACCATCTCGAGTCAAGTACAAGTGTACATCAAGAAAAACAAAAACAACAAAGATTCCAGTCAAACAGAACCATCTATTTGCTTCATACACTTTTCTAGGCGTAGACATGCGGGCGTGGAAGGATTGGTGCTGGTTTCGAAATTGCTGGTGCTTTTGTTCGTATGTCAGAGTTGTCGAGTGTTTGAGACGATACTGAAGGGATATAGGAGATTGAGCAGCTTTAGAACCGAAAGTATGGTACCGGGGCGAATGGTGATTGGTACTCAAGTGTGGTACTGGACTGGTATTGCAATGGAGATTGCGGGATAACGGAATCCGGTGCAAAGAACGAACGGTCGAGATAATTGGTGTTCGAATCATAGTCTTGATAATGCCCATATTTATTGTAATTGGCGATGGATAAGTCCTGTACACCGTTTTGTTTGTAGGAATTCTGGTATGGGATGAAGTTCGAAGGATAGTGTGGGTGACAGCTCAGAGTGCCGGAAGCTAGAAATAGTTTCTCCTAGCTTCACACTACAAAGCTGCCTCTCGATGTCAACTCTTCCGTGGCTGCTGGAGATTTCCAAATGTTTTTGGAAAGTCAATGTTATCTTTTTTTTTTTTTTGTTTTTGGTACCTCATCATTGCTCTATTCCACAGAGTACATTGAGAGGTGTTTCCCTGTTCAATTGGACTATTTGGTTAGTATTTCTATCAATGTGTTCTTTTCTTCCAAAGAATGGCCAATTATTGATTATATTCCTTAAATAATACATGGTGAATGCTTCTCGTGATTCATACTATACCTCGAATCTCTCCAAACAAGTCGAGAACCTTTTAACCATGTTCTTATATTCAACACATTGAGGTAATTTATTTTATAAGATAAGATGGCACATCCAACTCTTCATCTCTACTCTCAAACTTTCAATATACTCATCCGAAACTTTGAGATTTCATATACTACATGCGAGTGGAAGTAAACGTCCTCACGGAAAAACATACTAGACTACGTCGTTGAAAAAGTCATGCGGTCTATCGAGCGCTGTTGACACTCAGATTCATGTACATGACCTCGACTTCGAATTCCTGTTTAAAACATTTGCTTCCTAATAGCGGCATAGTGATTGATCAGTCTTCTGCCGCCTTTCGTTTTGTATCCAAAACGAAGTTTTTCATTTCTTAGCAAGGACATTGTTCTTGCTGGACTCAAATTCTGTCTCCTGTCTCGGATGTGCTTTTACCTCCATGTACCACTAGACAACAGGGTTCTTGTTTCCCCCTGAAAGTTATAGTCTGTTTGTGCCCAGGTGAGGATAGTTTCAACGTTTTGACAAAGAGGCCAAGGATATAGTCAGATTATGGTTTTTGTTTCCTGGGAAAAACTTCACAAGTCCAAGGGCATACCAAAGTTACGATCGATTGAAAAGGAGATTCAGGCAAGATGCAGTCACGTACTGATTTCTATTTTCCAGAGAAAAAACAAGCGCTTGGCGAGGTATTTGGACTGTCGTTACCTAAAGATCAGGATTTGGTTGTACTCTTCAAGAAAGCCAACGCAAGAGTACAATCAGATCAGAACTCATACCTAGAACCTAGGACTAAGAGAGCATAAAAAAAGGGATCGATTGGAGAAGTGACACTGACTGGCATCTCATCACATCAAGAGCACGATCAAGTTATCATTCATTGCAAATAAAGCATAGCCTGATCCTACCATATCGAAGAAAGAAAGCCAGATTCCGAATTATCAACAAAAAGTCCTCGAGTACTTGCAAATCTCCTCACGCCACGCACACATCCACCTTATAATCCAGTAGGTACCATAATTCATTCCACATTCACTCTCAACAACATAACTACCCCGTACTCGAAGTCTCAAGCCTTCTAATCAGAACTATCGCACCAGATTAAAATCTAACCTTTCTAAACCCCATATCCCATAATCACACGTATTGCACACCAGATCTGAAATCTTGCAAATATAAGTATGTATCTATCTTACCTAGGTACTATGTAAACCACACTCTACAGACAAGCACAAATACATACTTAGGTACATAAGCATATACCTAAACCAACCACAGCAAAAAAACAAACAATAAATAAATCAACCCCATCGCTCCGATTCCAGAATCCGAAGCGGGTCAACAAGTAACCAAGTCACCAGCTAATTAACCCTCAAAACCCCATCTCAACATACATCCTCACCTCACTCTCCACTAACTTCCCATTTTGACCTCAACCCCAACCTCAACCTCAACCCCAGATCTATTATATCATATCAAACCCCCAGAATTTTTTTTTAAAACACATCATAAATCCCTCCATCCATCCATCCATCCATCCATCCATCCATCCATCCATCCATCCATCCATCCATCCACACTCCTCCCTCCCCCCTCCACAAAGCTACCCAAACCCAAACTTGATCCATACCCACAGCTATCCATACCTAGGTAGCTACCTCCAGCTACCTAAAGCTTAATCAGCAAGTCCAAAAAATCACCAACATCACTCTCCTTCCCTTCCCTCCCCTCTCTCCCCACTATTCAACCAAGCGAGATCAAAAATCACCGGCAAAACACTTACCCGACGACACGCAAAAAAGTACCTACATAGTAGATAGATATCAATCAGACTCCCTCGAGCTCCCGTCTCCCCTCTCTTATCTCATCCTATCTACCTATCTCATCCCATCCCATCTCATCCCAAGAATTACAGTACTACCCATTTCTTTTTTCCACATTGCATATCGCATATCGTATTTCTGTTTGTTTGTTTATTTATCCCAAGGAGGTACCTACCTAGCTAGTTATTTATCTACTCGATTATTTACTTATTTATTCATTAGTTGCTTGTACCGCAATCTGGTGACATGGAGAGGTGAGATGAAGATTATTGGTTAGTATCTTATTGCCCGGGTGTGTGAGAGCGAATATGTAGGTGCTAAAATGTATGGGGGAAGTAGAGGATGTTCAATCACCTCGATCCAGCAATGTTAGAATCATGTAATGGCTCCAGCTACCAAAAGAACTTGGAATGGTGAATCGCTTCGAGTGAGGTTTGGACGCTCGCGAGGATTTGGAACAAAAAGCAGGTTGAATGCTCGCTTCGATTGGGTTATCAAAGAATAGCAATTTGAAGAGCATAACGTTGCACAGGCATAGATTGATTAATATATGTTCATTGATAATATTAGCAATGATTACCTCTGTTTGGAAATTGCTTGGATACAGCTCCTAAACGCCTTGCTGAATAGCTGGCAGCTGATCATAGTGTAATCGCCTCACTCCATTCACCCAGATGTATCGATATTTCCATGGCCTAATTCATATCTCCATCCATCCCTAACCTAGTCCATCCCAAAGTTCGTACCTGCATTAGCATAACCCATTAATCAATACGTAATAATGTGACTAAAGTGTCCCGGAACTTTATTCCGACACTTGTCACAATCCGCCCTATACCCCATACTAAAGCTCTTCTTTGTCCCCACACCGTCTAAATTTCCCATGAGCTCCCCAGTGGATCCATTCCAGTTCCGCAAGCTATGTTTTGAACGAGTATGGCCTTTCTTGTGAGGAGTCGGGATTTCTTTCTCAAATTCGGGAGAGGGAAAAGAGGGTTCGACTTCCATTTGCATATCGTTAATGCCATTGACAATGACACTAGGGCTCATTTCGCCTTCGCTAATGGGGCTGGGAAGGCGTCGACCGCGACGAAAGCGATCGATAAATGCATCATCGGTGAGATTTGGTTCGGAGAGAATAGGGTGGAGTGGTTTATCGAGTCGGGGATAGGCGGAGAAGGAGCTGTGAATTGGGGTAGGAATTCGGTTGGCTAAGCTAACAGAAGAATCTTGCTGGAACAGACCAGGAGCTAGATGCATGCCACCATCGGTCATATCGAAATCATCTGAATAAGTTGGCCCTTCTGATATTTGACTTGAAAATGAAGTTCCACTGTTATTCATTTGTTCGTCATCATGCAGTTGTGTGGCCGTTGTTAACGACGATGAGGTCCATGAATAGTGAGAATTCGTCGGCTCTGCAATGATGGGAGTTCTCTCCGAGTCCGAGTCTGCGGGAGTGATTGTGGGAGGTGCTGGCGTGCAATGACTGAGTGCAAAAGCGGGTGCAATCTGACGTTTGGCATGTGGTAAAGATCGATGCGGTAGGTTCGCTAGATGACGTTTCTAATCAAGTCATACGTTAATATTAAGATCCTGTTGGTGATCTGAAACTGAAGTGAGTGCAATGCTTACATTTCTGTGAGCACCAAAGCCTGAAGTGCTTAGTTCATCCTCATCATCTCTTTCGCGCTTCCTACTCGGCCACTGTGGTACGAACATGTTGATAAATCTTCCACGAGGTTGTCTGATGGAGGTAAAAGGTATTGATGTGTGTTATTGTGTAGGGCAGATAGATAGTTAAGAAGGAGGTGGCAAGGCTGGAGAGGATTCAGCCGCACCAAGGAAGGGCTGTATTTAAACAAGTGACAATCGATGGACGTTCAAGACATTTGAATGAAGATGCAGGAACGTGATGGTAACTCTGAGAAGAGTCGGTCAAAGGCCTTTTCAAATCAATTGTAAATACTGCAGTATAAACCCAAGTGGAAGTAAGTCATTGGTACCTAATTGGGAATTAGCTGACAGGGCTAGATAGGTCGCATCGTAAAATAGTTGGTGAGTTTCATAAATGCTTCATCGTGTACTTGGATGTTTTGAGATTCTTCTAGGCTCACCAGGACACCAATAAATTTCTGGGGAAACCTCTTTTTACTGTATGGAAATTGATAAGGCTAGACTCTTTTGGGTTTAGATCACTGATAATCCGAATCAACAGACAAGGCTGAAAGATTCCAACGTTAGAGCTCTTACGGAGTAAGGTACAGGTATCGTTATCAGGGTTCACCAGTTCGATCGACAGTACCGGTAGATCTTCTTATCAATTCTGTCTCTTTCAAGATGGCTCTCTCGTCCGACAAGATTTCCTAACGTTGGGAGTCATGGTTATATCTGTCAATGCTTATGCTATGCTGATAATAAATACCTAGGTAGGTCGCCTTTATTGTTATTCACAATGGGACGAAATTCAACAGATCATTCTCTCCATTCTAGCTCAGACAAGAATGTGCAGACGATCGCCTGTGTGTGCGATTTCAGATGAGAGTGTACAAAGACTTTCTTACTGTATCTTCCAGCCATGTCGAGGAGAGAGGGAGAAGGAGAGGGAGAGAGTTCGAGAGAGAGAGTTCGAGAGAGAGGGAGAGTCCACATACTATATCGTCTGCAATTACCCATCTAATAGCTATAGGCACCATCAACAATAGAAATCCGGCCTTGAGATGCGTGAATTTCCACAACCAGTCAAACCGGCCATGAGAGCATTATTAGACTCCCATAAGCAACATCAGCTTATTTTGTCCAACCTGGGTCTGTCCTGAAGATATAAACCTTCGTAAACGGGCATATTGTGGAGAGAGCGAATAATAACGCCGTGAGCATTTCAATTGATATACGAATGCCCGTCTACACACAACCTATACACAGGATGAATTGCAAGAAATTCAATTTGAAGTTTTGATGCAAACATGTCAACAAATTAAACATTGACTCTATCTCGACACATCAGATGGATACTTGCTTTAGACATCTGACAATCTGACATGTTCACGGAATGCGACGCGCAGACCTATAAACAAACCCTTAGTTCTACTAGAATAATCATTCAAGCCCTTTGATCAAATCCGAGCTTTCTTCTTGGCTGAAGATGTCACTGCATATCTACTAATAATCATCGGACAACACCCACACTTTCATTTGTCAATTTAGTCCGAGCGTTAACCTACCACTTTATGAACTTTTTCCAGATCCACCTATAATTTTTGACCTTGACTCACTTTACACAACAGCTCGACAACGAAGCAACTCGAGACAATCTCACACAAAAGAATAACAACAACTGTATTACCATTGATTTAAGAAGTCAAGTCAGCGTCAGACAAGATCTATAAGATCCCCCATCATATCTCCCCTACTTGAAATCATATTCATATCTCAAACAAGATGCCTCAACTTGACTTCGAACCCCTCGTCACTGACGACACTCGAAGTATGACCCCGCCAAAAAATCAATTTCCTTCCCTTTCTTCAAATATAAATACTGATCTTCTTACCAATCTTGTAGTTCTGGGTCAAGACCCTTTGATTCCTCCTCAATTACTTGTTTCCGAAATCCCCATCACAAATGATTCTCTCAAGACCGTTGTGCAAGGTCGTAAAGATGCCGTCGAGATTATTATGGGTAGAAATGACCGCCTCTTGGTTGTCGTCGGTCCTTGTTCCCTTCATGACCCCAGCACCGCTATCGAGTACGCAAAAAGACTGAAGGATCTTTCCGATAAATTGTCGAGCGATCTTTGCATTATCATGCGTGCCTACCTCGAGAAGCCCCGCACAACTGTCGGGTGGAAAGGTTTGATCAACGACCCGGATATTGACGAGTCTTTCAAGATCAACAAGGGTTTAAGAATTAGTCGTCAACTCTTCTGCGATCTCACCAGCACCGGCATGCCCATTGCAACTGAAATGCTCGATACCATCTCCCCTCAATTTCTCGCAGATTTGATCTCCCTCGGTGCCATTGGTGCAAGAACCACCGAATCCCAATTGCATCGTGAGCTTGCATCAGGTCTCTCTTTCCCAGTTGGATTCAAGAACGGTACCGATGGAAGCTTGACTGTTGCAATTGATGCCATTGGATCTGCAGCTGCCAAACATCACTTCATGGGTGTTACAAAACAGGGTCTTGCTGCTATCACCAGAACTAGTGGCAACGAGCACGGATTCGTTATCTTGCGCGGTGGTACCAAGGGTACCAACTTCGATGCCGAGAACGTCAAGCTCACCAAGGATACTTTGACCAAGAAGAACCAAAAGCAAGCGATCATGATTGATTGCTCTCACGGTATGTCTATTCTACACAATCTCACATGACAAATTATCTAATAAACCTTCTAGGAAACTCAAACAAGGACCACCGAAACCAACCCAAGGTAGCCCAAGTTGTCGGCGACCAACTCCGTGCTGGCGAAAGATCCATCATCGGCGTCATGATCGAGTCCAACATCAACGAAGGCAACCAAAAAGTTCCTGCCGAGGGACCATCTGGTCTCAAGAAGGGTGTCAGCATCACCGATGCTTGTATCAACTGGGAATCTACCGTCGAAACTCTCGAGCAGCTTGCCGATGCTGTCCGAGAACGCCGCAAGCATTCTTCTGCTTAGATTTACGGGGGTATATGTTTGGACGAATAAAAAGTGCTCGGTTAAAAATTTTCTTGGGAAAATATGCGAAGTATGGCGTATAATGGAGTTTTTACTGCTCGTCACGATTTGTGAATTGGTTCTTCTGGACATGTTGTGGATCTTGAGAGCTCTGATATCAAGAAGAAAAAAAGACCATATTCCTTTTGACAAAAAGTTTCTTTGCATCATGCTATTTTTCATCTCTGGCAGTTACTGGGGGTATCTCATTTTTGGGTTGATTCCCATAAAAATGGTCCTGGATATTCAACTTCATCCTTTACGAATTTAAAATTCACCAAAAGCAAAGAAGACTGATCTTGATTCTAGATATGGCGATGATAATTGCGTGAGAGCAGCCAGCACATGAATTGAAAAGCATTGAAATCGAACAACTAATAACGCCTTCGCTTATCCAAGTCATGCATGCAATACCCTTTTTTGATGACTATGTGCGTGTATGAGTAATACGTAAACCAAATAGGGCCAAGATGAGATTACAGTAGACATTCAAAGTCTACTACTTTTGTCCGAATCCTTGATCGCTACAACATCCTCCGCCTTCTCAACAGCACCGCTCTCCTCTGCCGGCGGCATCGGAGCAACTTCATCCACAACCCCCTTGACCACTCTCATATTCACAAACCCTTCATCAGGACTTGCCCATGCAAAATCGCGATACTCCCCAAGGATTTCCCTAACCCCTTTCGCTAACGCTTCCGTTTCTTCTCTCCTCTTCAAACTCCATTGCTTCTCCGCTTCCGTGACTTTTCGTCCGGGTATATCGATCCCGTCCAAGATACTGTTCCACACTCGTAGAGTCTCCTCAAACTCTCCTATATTGCTCACACCCATGAGGGATACCCCGATAGGTTCCGAGCCGACTTTACCATCGAGAGCCCAGCGTTCAAGACCCCACCGTATAGCCACCACTTCCAATCTCTCCCCTCGTTCTTCCACCCATCGCGCCGCCTTCTGAACTCGAGAACGGAGCTCCTTGGGCGCGGGATGCCAATCCTCCTTCCCGGGCACTGGGACCCCGGAGCTGCGTAGAAGCCCCATGCCCAGGACCGAAGCACTGGGCACACAATCCACGCCTGCTTTGCGGAGACGCTCAAGCCCGCTGGTATATAGAGAGTGATTCTGGATCGTGAAGTTTGCATAGCTCATGACGCAATCGAGAGGTTTACCCGTCTCGCGCAAAACCATTTCGGCGGTGGAACACAGAAGCGGGACGGGATATCCTGATACTCCAATGTAGTGGATTATGCCTTGAGCCTGGAGCTCGCGCAGACAGTTTATGGCCTCGAGGACTTCCGAGGGAGAAACGAATTCGACGTCGTGGAGATAGACAACATCGAGGTAGGATGTGTGGAGACGGGCGAGAGAGCGGGAAATGGAATATTTGATCCATGCGGGAGAGTAGTCGAATTCAGAAGCGGCGATGCGACCGCATTTTGTTATGAGGTAATAGCTAGAGCGGGGGTGATTGGCGAGGATTTGTGGTTGTTGGAGGGCGCGACCTACAGATGAGTTAGAACATGGGCTTGTGGAGATTGAGTGAAGGGGGAAAATCGAAAGAAAGAGAGAATATATCCTCACCTAGAATTTCTTCAGAGGGACCATAGTATGGAGATGTATCGAAGGCATTTACGCCCGATTCTAATGCTCTCTGCACAATAGCATTTGCAGGGACTGCGAAGGGATCGGCATTATATTGAATATTGAAAGTTCCGGTGCCGCAGATGAGAGGTGGAAGAAGAGTTGAAAGTGGCGGGCGAGTTGTCATATTGTATATGGGTAACCCGAATGTAGCCGTGCAGTGTTGTTGAATGGTCTTTGAAGACTACTCTATGTTCGAGCGATTTGAAAATGGACCGTAAAAAAAGAAAGTATGTAAGTTTGAAAGGAAGGAAGAATGTAGCTGGGAGAAGAAGTAAAATAAAATGAGGAAAGAAAGAAAGAAAGAAAGAATGATTTCCGTTAGTCACCTTTTTGTGAGAATTGTCAATGTGCTGCCACGGTCGTTTGAATGATTGTGAGAGATCAAAAATGTATTGGAGGCTTGTAGGAAGACGTTATAGTGGGGTTAGATGGTTTTATCCCTCCTTCTGAATTCGTACTACCCCTCTTGGCAGATTTCGATGGAAGGAATGTCACAAATTGACCTATTAGGATGGTTCAAAGGTATTGAATGAATTCAGCCTGAATGTATCTGAGATTTGAATTATCCTAAATAAATTTGACTTTATCACCCATTCTTAGCAGAAATGTCAATGCAAATTGTAAGATCACCTGTGACCCCTCGATCTCTCAATTAACCTTAGTGAAGCGAAGTCAGTTTTGCTGGGTGTTTTCCGCTAGGTAGGCTCGGTAGGCTCGGTAGGCTGAGGTAGGACACCATTGATAAGGTCTTCCCAGCCACAATACTACAAGGGCGTAGGTATTCCAATTCGATCGATCTTCACGATGAAGGCCATCTTTCTTTTCTGTCTCAACTGGCATCATCTCAACTCATCGGGTTTCATCTTGCAAGTAGAAACTTACGCGCGTGTGTAAGAGAATTTGGAGGGGAAAAAAGAGGAGACGAGACGAAACGAGACACATGATCTCGAAGAGAAAAAAGTTCATGCGAACGATGCATCTGATCTCGCTGGTATCTTCCAAGACCGACCCTGTTGATCTTTCGATTATTCAGAGCCAACCGAGCCAACCTGGAACTTTCGATTCTACAGAGTAAGGTTACGTGGACGTTCTAATAAGTTCTGGGTTCTAACTTCATAATCCGAACACTCCGATTATCGACCGACTCAATGGCAGGTCGCGCGATTAGGCGATGGATGACTGGATCTCTCAACAGTCAACACTCAATCTTAGTGGGGTGAGGAGCCCTAAAACATGGTGAGAAATCTAGAATCATGGGAAAAATCATCTCATGTGTTCTATGTCAATGTTCGATGTCAGCTTTACTTTCGTGTTTGTCCGTCGCCTTATTATCATCATAGTCATTCATCCATCATTGGTGTTAATGGCGCGGTGGAGATCTTGTATCTGTATTCGGGTGCATTGCATGATTAATCTTCTGTTCCAATCATGCAGACTCGAAAAGTTGATCTATGCAATCTCAAAGGTTCGGTCGATATGCATATGAACAACGGTTCATCGAGAGCATTCGATAGCCTGTTGAAACTTGGCGAATCCCAAATACCTGGGACTGTGATTATACCAAGGATAAAGTACCTAATGTATGTAAAGCACAAAGCCTCCTCTGCCCCTCAATTTGTTTATTGAAGGAAGGACATCGTGTCAAAGTCGTCTCGAAAAAGAAATGCTTCAAATGTACTGAAAAGTGGATGGTATTAAGGATTCATTGGTATACATGGCAGAAAGAAGTTTGCGGAGGGAGCATCTCTCTCCAAGACTGGACTGGTACTGATATTCCCAACACAATGGAAGAAAAGTACAGTGAATCAATCCCGTCTCCAAAATTGGGACAGGAGCAGTTTGACAATAATACAGTCAGTAAGTATCGTACATGACAGGCAGATCTCAAGTCAGGCACAATAGTCCCGATTCAGAAATTGCACTAATTACCTAACCTCGGATTGACACTTCATCCACGCCAGAGTAAGGTACGACCCGAAGGATTAGATTCTAGATCAGGATCAACGGACGGATCTTTACCTGCCTGACCTTGACCTAATATTCCACGCTCAATTTTCTAGTACCGATATTGTCCAAGTGCGGTACTAATAAGTCAATTCGAATGGAAATGTCCATCTAGCGAAAGTCAAATTGGGACTAAAATTTGAATTTGAGAAAAATAACAGAAAAAGAAGAAGAAAAGAAAGGGAAGGAAAGGAAACATAGAGTTGGTAATGAGGAACTCCATACATAGGTTCCTCCTATCCACTCATTAGCATGTACGATGTAGATGGGATTGAAATGATGATGAAGACCAGACAGTGGCAGACAGTGGCAGACACATGGAACCTGGGTAGGTATAACTCCGTATGTTATGATTGCATGGATAATGTGATGGCTTGTTCCCTTTTCCCTGATGGATCATGGATGGCTGAAAACGGGCGCATTTGACGTGAACGCTTGGGAATTATAATAACTGAGTACCGGAATGTCCCTGTCTTGGTATAGACATAGACACAGACACAGACACAGACACAGACACAGACACAGATAGAGATAGAGATAGAGATACTTTGTAGAGATGTGTGTTTATACAGATATGCGTTGCTAGATATTGATGCAATTGAAAACTATATACGAGTAACCTCGGAATATCTAGTAGATAGATGGTCATATTCAATTGAATCTCTCAGTCCTGCCCTGCCCTGACTGCTTCTTCCGTCTCCGACTCCTCTACGACTCCTCGACGGACTAATAATTCATTTGTACCTCCAGCTGCTTTCACTCGGTCGGAAAGAGCGGCCTTACGAAGCACAACCAACCCATTTTTATAACCTTTTGCCTATCATATCATAGGTTATGGAATCCGTCTGGCCACGACTAGTCAATATATTGATTGATTGAATAGCTGAAAGCTACCCAGGTATGGATGGATTGCCAATCTTGAACACAATTCTTTATTAATTCTTCAATTCTTCAATTCTTCAATTCATCTATTCTCCAATCCCTCAATACTCTCCTTGCACTCTCAACATCACTCTCCTCAACACGACTTTCCAAGAGAGAATCCCCCCTTCCAACTTTCTCCTGCATTGATTGATTGCATTGTTACATTAAGGCTTTGTCCATCTCTACCTCTGCCGTCATAACACTCCTAGAAATTTAACTTTGGTCTTCTCTTACCCACTATTCCATCATAAAATTCAGGAGATCTACAATCTCGTAGGGATATATCGTAGGCATCTTGACGATTAGCTACAGGAATACGAGTATAAGAAAGAAAGCCACTCCGCCAATCTTTCTTCCGGTCCCCTTCATTTACAAGTTATCTAATTAGTTCTTCTACCTCCGCAAAAACATTCATCATCTGGTCAAGAAGAGGAATATCACAAGCTTGACCCAGACGACTTTTCCTTATCACAAAGGTCGCAGCTGATTGTATCTTCTCACCCCTCTTGTCAACAACAAAAAGGGAACCCGACTCGTCTTTATCTGAATTTGGCTCGTGTGATCCAGATTGGGAGTGGACCTCTACTGTGGCTCAGGCGATATAATAAACCTTACAATCACAACTCCCCACGCTTGCCGAGAACCTGCATAAATTCACAACATTCACTCAATCTCAAGAAGTTGGCAGCGCATGCCAACTCGAGACTTTCTCTTGGATATAGTTCTTATCAACCCCAATCCTCGATGAACAGTTGATTCCTACTTCTGCGGACATTGCGACTGCAAAATGGGTCAGCACCAGTCGCGGGACGACTCGCATGGCGGGGATAGACATCGACATCATGGCGCCGGTACGAATGGGCCAACTTCTCCATCCGACCACGATCCATATTCTTCTCGTACTGGCAGAGGCAGCAGGCGGAATCTAGTAGCAGCTATTGTGGGAGGCGGATCAAACAACGAAGTACCGGAGAGGAAGGAGACGGCGGCCGAGCGACAAATGAGGAGACTCGAGAGGGAGAGGGTTGCAAGAGTAGAAGAGCGAGAGAGAAGCATTAGGGAGGAGCATGTAGATGGTGGATATTTGGTTACAATGGGCGTCTACACTGGCCCAGAAGATTTCAACAAGGCAATAGTAAGACAGTTGATGGTATGTTAAAGATTATGAGATTTGATGCCTAGTCATTATGCTGACATGTACGAGATTGAGCGGCGAGTTGCACCTTTTTGGAGGGGGCTAGATGATTACGAGAGTGATTGGACCGAGCATCAGTTGGTCGCTGCAGGGCGAGGCCTTCCCATTCCAGCCGCTGATGAAATACCTTCCGAAGACAGTGGCAGGCCTCATTCTTCCAATTCCGCGAATGCACCAAACTCGAATCTACATAATTTGACTGTGCCAATAGCTTCACGAAGCCAATCTGCTTCATACGACACCTCTGTTGGCCGCTCACCGTCACACTCATCTTTCAACACGTCATCTCCGGCATCGCCCCTGAATGCACCTGCCACTTCTACCTCTTTACTCCGACCTCGAGCTAAAACGTTAGGCCTAAAATCTTCGTCGAAGGAAACCTCGGCATCGGATTCGGGACCGCGTGAGATTCAATTGCCCAGAGATTCCCAAGTAAATGGTCAAGCTATCGAGGCTTTTCTGTACAAAGACGCTGTTGAATGCTCAATATGCTTGATATTTTACCCCCCTTATCTAAATAGGACTCGATGTTGCGACCAAAGTATTTGCTCGGAATGCTTTGTACAAATTAAGAGACCAGATCCGCATACGCCAGAACACCACGGTCCACCACAACCCGCGCCCGATCAAGCCGAAGATACAGAAATGCTGGTCTCGGAACCTGCCGCGTGTCCTTACTGTCAGCGACCCGAATTTGGCGTGACATACGAACCACCGCCTTTCCGCCGTGGACTTGTTTATGCAAAGCCACCTCCAGAACTGGCCAACTTCTCTTCGGCCATGTCATCGTCGTCATCGATCAGTTCACCGCCTATAACAAGTCCGGGGCTTGCACCAAGAGGCGACAACAGGCGCCGGGCCACTTCATTGTCAGCTAATGATTCAAATGTCATTACGACTGACCGCATCAGACCGGACTGGTCGGCAAAGCTTGAAGCTGCTAATCTGCGAAAGGCCAAGAAGAACGCCGCCGCTTCGGCACTACACGCAGCTGCCTATGTACTTCCCGGAACCTCGGAAAACCGCAGCTATGTTTTCGGACGAAGTCGCTTCGGTAGAAACCGCAACGATCCTGACAATAGTGGATCTGCCACTCCTTTGAACCGCGATACCAGTTCCAGGACTGCAGCTGAGTCGTCTGGTCAAGCGCGTAGGGAAGGTCGAGACTCTAATCTTGCTCGAAGAACGAGAGACGTCGAGGACATGATGATGGCTGAGGCGATTAGACTCAGTATTGTGGCGGAAGAGGAACGACAGAAGAAGGCCGACAAAGAAGCCGCCAAGGAGGCTGCAAAAAATGCGAAGAAGCAGGCCAAAGAAGAGAAAAAGAAAGAGAAAAAGGAGAGAAAATCTATCTACGGCACTAACGGACATTCGGCTAGTTCGAGTATGCTGAATCTAGGTAACAGTCTAGCTGCTACTTTTACTGGGCGGAGGAGAGGTGATAGTGCCGCAAGCAATTTGGCTATAGAAGTGACACCCGAAGAAGTCGAGGAGCCCCCACAAGGAAAAGGAAAAGGTGTAGCTCGCCCTTATTTAGGTAACGACGGAAGTGCCACGGACAATGGACTTCTTGGTGCCCAGCATTCAGATCCTTCGACGAGTTGTAGCTTGTTAGAGTCTCATCAGTCTATTCCTTCACCTACAAGCCCTGACAAGCCGTCTCACTTACGACAAATGAGTACCGCATCTAGCGCTTCATCTTCAATGGCCGAGTCAGGTAACGGTACCAATCCTCAAGGCTCTTCTACAAGTATCGAAAGTCCTGGTGCTACAGAGACAAATGAGGGAAACGAAGATGGCGATTCAGGAGCTGAGTCTATGTTCAATTTCCGGAGCATAACGGCTATGATTGAAAAAGAGAATGACAACGAGAAGACGCTCAATGCGGTCCATGTCGAAAACGCACGTGAAGCATCGGGCTCTAGACGCGGAAGCCCTGATGAAACCGCTGCTCAAGACATGGATGTAAGCATGGAAACGTTACGACCTCGAAATTTTCTCCAGAAAACAGAGCCCAACCACCAAGCTCCAATGGGGCTCCAGATGCCAGACACGAAAATCGATACCAGTATTGTCACACCCCAGCTTACGCTTACACCGGATACTCCGGCTCTCATGAGTTCATCAGAGGAGAATGGGAAACAACTAGGATCAAATTTACAAAACCAATCCAACAACGAAATAACTCAGTAAAGAGAGAAGTAAATTGATAGGGGGCGAGATTGTTCATGATGAGATGATACAATGTAATGCGATGCATGAATAATTAGCGAAGTCGAATTGACACAGCGATGTATTTCTTTTCTGCACACTAGCTAGTACACATGACCTACATGTATGTACATAGCGGTACTTTTTTTTTCAACTAGCGAGATTGTGGATGGATGGAGTGGAGAGGAATCTGAGAGGTGATATATTACAACTGTTTATAGGCGTAATTGGCGATGGATTCGTTTATTCAGGAACCGACACAGTATACTTCTATAGTGTGCAGCCAAAATTCACGGGGCTTGTAGGTATGGGTATTTGATCGGACTCATGGTGCAGGAAGGCTGATTTTTCGGAATGGGATTGGGGATGGGATGTGCTTGTGAGGAGGGGGATTATGGGCTCCTTAGTTATGGATAGACTCAAATTATATTATACAGTTAAATAATCAGATGGGGATTGTTTGTAATATTGAGGCGCCAAGGCGCAATGTGTGGTCTAGAGAAGACTGATAAGTTCTATTGCGTCGACCAATTCTTCTGAGAATGCCCGAGATAGAAGTTTCTGGGATGATTTTCTTGACTTTCATGTACGAATCATTAGCTACGTAGAGTCCGAATTGGGAGATCTTCTTCCCATTTTCTTGAACAACGTTCCTATATGCAGCTCAGTACCTACCTCTCCATGGGTAAGCCGAAATGTGAGGATGTTCTCTTAGCGGTGTTCCTATCCACTGTTGCTTCAACGTGATAGACTTCTTTGCGAAGTTAAGTTCCACGTTGAGATGAATGGGAGACCATACCAGACCTATATTAGAAGGCATGTGCCCCGCCCCCGCAACGTGAGGTTCTCCCCCCCACTATAATTGGGTTTGTTCGAGCGTTTGTATTCACTATTTTGTGATGTGCACAAAAATGGTGTTTCCATGGTTGGAATGAGTTGTTTGTTTTTTGAGTAATTGGATACGTAATTCTGATTGCGGCATTTCATCGTTGGCGAATATTCTTGGCTTTTCTCTTCTTGAAGACGACTCCTGACGCTGCAGGCTCGCTGTTCTGCTCTGTGGCTTCCGGGATCTGCTTTATATCGATTTCGACATCTTCCTGTGTTTCGGGTTTCACAACCGGTTCCTCCTTTTTGCTATTCGCTAGAGGCTCCACATCTTCTTCGGGCTTCTTCTCTATCTTTATATTGACACCGTCGTTTGTTTCGGGCTTCACATCGGGACCCTTGCCTTTACTGCTATGACTCAACAAAGCATCTAAATCATCGTCGTTATTCTCGGTAGGATATGTGCGGATCGCTGTGCCCCATCTCCTCTTCTTCGCCTCTTTCGCCTCCTCATCTTCATCCTCGGCTTCTCTTTTCCGAACCCCCAACGCAAGCGCATCAGGTTTCGTCTCCCCACTCCCATCATCAATAACACGCTCCGAAGTAACTTGCCACTCGCCGGCCATAGCCAAATCCGATCTAAATTCATCCGGAACGCTCACGCCCAGCTCCGCCAGTTGCGCCAATTGTTGTTTTCGCTGCGCGGCCGTCGCGGGAGGTTTCGGCGTCGAGGAACTAGGGCGCGACGCTTGTGAGGAACTTCCTGCGTCGCCGCTTCCACTCACAATGCCGTTTAGACGGGCGATTTCATTTTTGGCGCGGTCTTTTTCCCGCTCGTCTTTTTCGTGGCCGCGGTGGAGATCGCGCAGGAATCGCTTGAGATTGCCTTGATGGCGCGGACTGGCTTCGTGGTTTGTTTTCTCGAGCTTGGTATCTTTGACATATTGCTTGCAGTGCTTGCACCAGTAACTAGGCTAGGAAAGTGTTAGAATGATTGTAGGTTGGGAGTAGATCTTGAAAGTTACCGTTGATTTCCAGTATTCGGACATCCTTTCGGGAAGATCTGAATTAGTTAATGAGGTTGAAACTATAATTGGTGAAGCCGCGGTTCAAGGAATTGTATATCGTTAAGTTTGAGAGAGGTTAATGTATCAAATGTGCAGGAACACTCGTAGCAAGTTAATCGGTAGTAGAAAGCGAGAGCTCGGATGGAGCTTATCAGCGCGGAGACGCGGCCGCTAGTCTTTAATTTCTCGGACCAGCTCCGCCATGCATCTTATGATGTCGAAAGGTCATTACGAAAGACAGCTATCGCCCCCATACATATACACAAATCGAAACGATGTCTCTAGAGGCAACCTATCGCATGGCCATGAGTGCGCCGGGATTATCTCATAGTCTCTCGGCCTCTCTACCAAAAATCACATCTCGAGTTCTATTTCCTAGAGCTCAAACCATTCTCTCTCAAAGATACACACAACAGCAACGACAACTCCATGCTTCTTCTAGAATAAGAGCGCCGAATAGCGGATTGATGGGAATTAATAACTCGAATATACCGACTTCATATTTTCAGCGACCTTCCTTACCCGCGAATACCATTATTCGATTCGTTCCCCAACAAACAGCATGGATCGTAGAACGGATGGGAAAGTTCAACCGTATATTGGAACCTGGTCTCGCCATTTTATTGCCAATAATAGATAAGATAGCATATGTCAAGAGTTTGAAGGAGTCTGCGATTGAGATTCCTAGCCAAAGCGCGATCACCACCGACAACGTTACTTTGGAGCTTGATGGTGTGCTTTATACTCGAGTCTTTGATGCCTATAAGGCTAGGTAATCTACCTTGTGCTCTTAGCTAGGGAATACACTAACATATCTCAAGTTATGGAGTCGAGGATGCAGAATATGCTATCTCTCAACTAGCACAAACAACGATGCGTTCGGAAATTGGACAACTTACCCTCGATCAAGTCCTCAAGGAGCGCGCCGCCTTGAACACCAACATCACAGCCGCTATTAATGAAGCTGCACAGGAATGGGGTGTAATTTGCTTGCGTTACGAAATTAGGGATATTCACACACCGGAAGGAGTTATGGAAGCTATGCACAGACAAGTTACTGCTGAGCGTAGCAAACGTGCAGAAATTCTCGATTCCGAAGGTCAAAGACAAAGCGCTATCAATATCGCAGAGGGACGAAAGCAAAGTGTGATCTTGGCATCCGAGGCATTGAGAAGTGAACAAATCAATATGGCAAGTGGTGAGGCCGAAGCTATCTTGTTAAAAGCAAAAGCCACAGCTGCAGGTATCGAGGCAGTAGCTCAGGCAATTGCTTCGGGAGAGGAATCAGCTCAAGGGGCTGTTAGTCTCAGTGTAGCTGAAAAGTACGTTGAAGCATTTGGCAAGCTCGCTAAAGAGGGTACGGCCGTTGTTGTCCCTGGAAATGTGGGGGATATCGGAAGCATGATTGCTAGCGCCATGGCAGTATACGGAAAAGTTGGTGATGCTCAAGCGAAAACCATGGCCGCAAAGGTCTTGAAGGGACAGAAGAGCGCCGAACAGACGAGTACAGAAAACGAGTCCCCAAATGATGAGATGAAGAGAAGCATGCTTGCGTCTTTTGAGAACGCCACCAGAAAGTAAACTTACGATATAACATGACATGAGAAAAAACGATGTGCTAAAAGGCAATCGAGAACAAGGACCAGGAAAGTAGGAGGGGAGTGGAATGTATGACTATCAGCGATATGCGTTTATGAGCGAGCCACTGTATATTGTATTTATTATGGCGGGGTCAGATGCTGCTGACAAAAAATCCCTTTTACCTACCCAAGCATTGAAGAGGTAGTCTTTGCAACTCAAACAAACTCAAAATACTCTCAACCACAAAATAAAACTTATTTGAAATCTATAATTTTGGACTTTCGATATGGAATGACGACAGCGAAGAAAAAAACAGGTTCTAATTCAAGCTAAAGATGTATACTCGAATGCAATCTAAGGAGTAACTAAAAGCACCAACGCCATGTTTCTAATGCTGCTCTGACATGCATTCCCAAATTTCATCTCAAAAAATTTCAGAACATCAATTTTATCTTTCATCAAAGCCCAAACTCCATCCCCACCTCCTCTAATGCTTTCCCAATCCACTCCAAGACCTCCTGATCCCTCGCTGCCGCTCCCATAGCCTTCACGAACAACGGATATAAGCGATGTAAATGTTTTTTGCCTTCACTCTCCACACCCGGTGTATCCGGGATTGCCTCACTTTCACACTTCAACCCGACAAGCTTCTTGAGGATGTATAAGAGTTCTTTGCGTTGGGACAATGGTTGCGGCATGCGACCGCGCAGTGGTTGATCAGCAATATATGCGCGAAGAGTGAGGCCTGATCTGAGTATTAAGTATGGCGCAGCTGCTTGAGCAAGATTGATGCGGGACACAGAGCCATCGTTGAGAGTGACAAGAGAGATAAGTTCATCGAAACAAACGTAGCTCATTTTTGCACGGGGCGAGGGGATGGGATCAACAGTGCGACCTTTGCGGGGATGATATAAGGTGGCTAGTAGTTCCTGACCGGGCTGCGGGAGCTCGCTGGGCTGTACAGGGTGGATGATGGACATGTGGAAGAGTGATTCAGTGTAAGTGCGACGAATTCGATCTGGGATGACTTCGGAGCCCAGCGCGGGCGTAATGAGCTCGCGCAAGGTTAGGAATGATGCGATGTCGAAATCCTGGTCATCCTTGATATCGGCTAATTTCGCAGCAGCATCAAAATCTGCAGAAGTGATTCCAATAGCTATGCTCACCGTTGAGGCCCATATAGACCGTACGGCTTCGTCATTCAAGGTAACAGTTGGCATTATTGGCAAAATGGCACCCAAAATGGCAAGTGCTGACGTTGTGGCCTGGCGCCAAGGCGATATGCTCTTTGAAATTATCGGAAACGAGTACTTTGTGACAATGGGATTTGCAAGCGCGGACAAAGAAGAAGACACTGCACCGCTGGTATATATATCTGGTTCCGAGGAATGCGACAGAATGAGCTTTTCGGATAATACCATCGAAGCTTTGGACAGAGCCACGTATGTTGGCCTCTGGACGTTAGAAGTAGTGTCTTTCGGCACGAAAGCCAACGCAACAAATTCGGCAACCTGGCTAATTAAGGTAGCAGGAACTCCCTCAATATCGGTACGAATCATTTTAAGCGACTCTAACACTTGAGACTGTAGTGGTGTAAGATACTCAATATCTGCGGAATAGGTGGAAGCGTTCGCTTGTTGTATAGCTTCCCGGAGCAGAGTAAGCATTCTTTTAACTCGATTTGCGTCGAGGTCTTTTTGCACAAGACGATAAATCTCATGAAGAGCAGACACATAAGCAACCAGATAATCCTGGTTGTCAACACGTTTATCCAGCACATCGATGTTCACTGAAGGCAGAGAATCAGACCAAAGACTCCATGCCATATCAATTGAAGATCGGGTAAAATTTGTTTGCGTGCCCTCTTTGATATTACCACGGGAAAGAATTTGTTGTAAGGCCTTAAAGACAGCTGTATTGACTTCAAGAATCTTGAAATCCAGCATTGTTTTAAAATGTTCTAGAAGGGTTTTCCAAGAGCTTTCAAATGTGGGATGATTAGTGAGGACATCCAAATAATCGGCCAATAGATTAGTAATGCCGCTCAAAACCACGACAGTAGTTTCATTCCATCCTATCTTGTCTTTATCAGATACTGTAAGCGTCGGCGTAGGGTCAGTGATAGACTGTAAATGTGCCTCTATTGAGGATAGTAATCTAAAGATGACCGATTTCAGGCACATAGACCATGCTACTGCGCTGAGCTGATCTCCGTATGCATCGAATATCCTTAGCAACGTTTGAATTGCGCCTGCAACAGTTAGACAAGGCCCCGCCACAATAGCAGTCTGTACTCACTATTTCTAAGCTCCAATCTTTCATCTGCCGTAACAGATGTGAGTCGTAGCAAGAGAAGCATCCATAAAGCTGCGTCTGAAACGGCGCGGTCATCACCAGATGCCTTTTCAATTAGAGCTTCCTCGGTTGAATCTTCGATAAGATCAGGGCTAAGTGAAAAAGAACTGGTTCTACTAGAAATAAAATCCGACAATACCCAGAAGAAGGTAACAGTCTAAAAATTATCAGAAATGATCGAGGATTTTTTGGATGTGATTTACCGTCAGTGAAATGTTAAGATCATCATCTTGCGTACAGAAATGGTAAAGAGTGTCGACAAGTATCAGAAAGCAAGAATTCGGTAATGACGAAAGGAAGTCAGAACAGATGAGCTGAAGAGAATTGAAAGCAGAGCGGACTAATCTAGCAGATCGAGTAGCAGTTACTTTTGCTTCGCGGTCAGAATTAATGAAGACACTGCCAAGAATTTCAAATGCAATGTCCCAACCACTGATTAGCTTCTCTCCACATTGCTCAAGAATACTTTTGAGACCCTCAAGAATCGTCTTGTGAACTTCGACATCGGTCGAATGTATGGCTACGGTGACTTGTCTATCTTCCATTTGAAGTGGATGGAGGGCACGACTCAATGCTTGAAGCAGCATGGTTTGGACGAGACCTCGTCGAACTTCCGAGTCTGCGAGTGTAGAAGTTGCCGCTTCAATCACAATTCTAACAAGAATTTCTGCAGCTCTTAGTCTGACAGAAGGTGTCGCAGAGAGAGAACAAGAAGCAGAAATCAATTCTGATGTCAACATCTGCCATCCGCTAGCGCTAGGCTCGTGTGTCGTCAATCTATCAATATTAATGCTTGCGATATCGCCTAATTTTGCTAACGCAAACAAATCTTCTTGGTTCTGCGTAGAAGTTGCTGTAACAATACTATGGGCTCGTTTATGAGCGTAAGACGGTCTTTTTCCTTCAGGCGATGACGGATTGCAAGGTACTGGCTTTTCTGGTATCTTGAGGATTTCCTCTTTGCTGAACAAGTCACAAAGAGCTGAAACAACAGCTACAAAGGGTTCATTTGGAAAATCAATAGTACTTTCTAGCAGTCTTGTAGCAGCAGTTTCGACTGCTTTGATTTCCGTACCAAAGTTTGCAAGTAATGCAGAAGTATTGCTGACATCTTGAATTTCTGGTCTTTGTGTGGTGGGAGTTCTCACGGTTTTCGAACTCGAAAATATTACCAAATCAGCTTGTTGTAATGTGCCAAGAACAATCACCCACGCCGATTCAAGCGTCGGTCCCAATGCGATCCCTAGATTCAGTAATGCGCGAAGGCAAAGCAAATTGCGCGTGTTGAGCGACGAACTAGATGCATCAACGGGTACATGTCTATTTCGTTCAGGGTTGCTCACCAAACTATCAACACTTAATAGCCCTCTTGCGTTGTTGAAAATGCTCGAGCTAGAAGACATATCCGCCGTGGGCGTTGTTGGACTCTGTATTTGAGATGTAGTAGCTGTCAAGACATTGGACGGTACTGCTGCCTTTCCTAAGGTTGTCAGAAATGCATCTCGTGGCGTCGCAAGCCGCAAAAGCCCTGCCACGTGAGTAAACTTTTGAAATGATCTGACCAAGCCATGGTAGTACTCTTGGTCCAGCGCCGCATAGAGAAACGTTGAGCAAGTTGCCAAGATCGCAGGCCAACATTCGTCGACAATACCGGCGCAAATCTTGACCTCTTGGAAAAGATGATGATCCTCGAGAGTTAACGGATTGATAGGAATTGGATTCTTTTTATAAGACGAGCTCCTCTCGATTGGTTTAATATCAGGGGTGCTAGAACGTGAATCTGAAAGCTTTGACTCAATTTCAGAATGTCTTGGACCTTTTTTTCGAGGTCGCTCAGGTACCGTCAGTGGCAGAATAAATTTAGCAAGCCCTTCGGAAAAGCCACTGATACATGCAAGAGTGAGGGCGTAGATATATGATTCGGGAATAGACGGTGCATCCGTCTTGTCTAGTTGGTCGATGCATGGTACCCTCATCGTACTCCATTGTGCACTCACTCCAGCGCTTGGCTCGGTCGAACTTACAGTGCTGCTAATAATACCAGGAACTCCGCTAGCCTCGAGCATTGCTTGGTCTGAACTATTACCCTGACTGGCAATTGGAATTGTGGACTGATGACCAAGACCAATGACAGCAGGTTTTTCTGTGCTGACTCTAACGAAAGCTGCAACAAGATCTCGTAGTATATTTTTCTTCTCTTCTTGGGCATCGTACATGGAAAATATTCTCCTGATCAGAGCTGCTTCGGCAAAAATACCCCTCAGTACCTCCATGCAAAGTGATCGCTTCCACAAAGCAGTGTCGTGGTCAAGCATGTGGGTGAGCAGACCTAAGGCCATTTCGCCTTCAGATGATAGAATACTCAAATGCCTTCTAAGAAGTGTATAAAGAATTCTTGTAATCCTGACAGTCACTGCAAAGTTGAGCTTCTCTGAGAGTGCGCTGATGATGAATGGCATAACTCGGACTCGAAGTATATTTGCTTGCTCAGGATGCGATAAGAATATGTCGGCATGATTAGTCAAAACGGATTCGATTAGCTCGAGTCCAAAGGTTTGCGGGAGACCTGTTGATCTTAGAAACTGAGGCTTTTGAGCCTCCGTCAATAAGCATATGTCGTTGAAAACTCTATAAGCATCCAAAGCGGCGGCACGCAGTTGAATAATTCCATCTTCAGTTGGGGCCTCGCCTATAGTAGGCACCTCCAAAGCAATTTCTATCTCGTAATTAGATAAATTATGTGGTTTGGCAATCGATCTATGAACTCACTGTCCTCTGTTACCACTTTGTCAAATACAGAGACGACCAACTGCTGAAGGGTAGCAGCGGCTGTATTAAGAACAATACCATTCTTGCTTGCCTGAAGAATGGTACATATATTTAGAGCTGCAGCTAACAGCTCCCCCTTCAATTCATCTGCATAGTTTTGCAAAAGTGACGGTAATGCTTGGAGGATCTTCAATTGTACATCGAGACCAGCTGACGTAGCTTCTCGAAGTGCCTCCAAAACTTCTTTGAGCCTTGATTTAGGAAGTGCACGAGACACAACTAATCTTTGAAGGCAAACAACTGCGATTCCAGTAAATTTGACATTTCTGGTTCCGCAAGCAATGAGGAAAGGTGTCACGAAGTTTGGTCGTTGAGTGAGGTCTAATAGCACATCAGTCACAATTATGGTGCATTTTCTAATGACAACATCATATCTTTGTCTACAAACTTACCCGCAGCTATTTGGGCTTCAGAAGTTGATCGTAGACCCTTGATCTCATCTAAACTCTTTTCTGCTGCCTGATATTGTCAAATCAGCAACGCAAAGGGGCCTGACTGAATGGCGGCCGCGAAGAAATGAACTTACATTTCTAAGATCTGTATGCTTTCTTTTACTCTCTTGTATAAGATTCCCAAGCTCTGAGGCGAGAATCTGCGCCGTCATGTTGATTGGTTTTCAATATTAACCTTTCCATTATTTTTCAGGAGACATAATGTTCTTGCTGAGGTGTATCCATTGGTTCAGTTGTCCTTTATCCAGATGGACTGTCAATAGACATTTTGCCGAGGATTGGCCGACATTGACCGCCCGGAATTCTTGGAGATCAACCCCGCGATCAAACCAGCCGCCTTTCCTCAATAAAACTTATCAACCATTTACAACTTCTTGCCCTACTGCGCAACTTCAAGATATTTGAATTTTCAGATACTGACACTTTATCTACCATCCAAACCCAAGATTCCAAAAGGCAAAAGATGGCGAAAGTACCAAGAAACTTTAGATTGCTAGAGGAGTTAGAGAAGGGCGAAAAGGGTCTTGGAGCTGGTGAGTCGGATGTCAATAAGCATTGAAGTTTGACAACCTCTAATGATCCTCGTTATTTAAAGACGCTTGCTCTTATGGTCTGACGGACGGCGACGATTTGTACATGTCCAACTGGAATGGCACGATTCTCGGTCCTCCACACGTATGTTTCTACTTGTACTTGTTAGTATATACTGGCTTTGAACTAATAGCGGGGGTACCGATAGAGCGTCCACGAGAATCGCATCTACTCTCTTACCATGCACTGCGGAGAGAACTATCCCGATGTTCCACCAACCATCAAGTTCACTAACAAGATCAACCTTCCCGGTGTGCAAGATGATGGCAAGGTTAGCATACTATTTGGAGCGCCATGAAAAGTAGTTGGAGCTAACTGATGCTCTAGGTCGACCCTTCAAAGTTTGCATGCCTTGCGAACTGGCAACGCCACAACACGATGGAGACTGTCTTGACCGAGTTGAGAAAGTAAGTTCACAATGTATATATTTGCATAGTGAAGATGGAGGCTTACAGTATCCAGATACATGGCATCTCCTACCAACAAGAAGCTCCCTCAACCACAAGAGGGTTCCACATACGATTAAGTGCCTTACGCATTCACTAGACGAATCATGACACGAGCAATTTTGAGATCACAGCACTTCTTAGGCTGTGGGGAGATGGGTGATGCATATGACTTTTCTTTATGTTGATACGGATGCATCAGCGCGGCGAAATTGGGTTTTATATCCCCGTTATGATATTACTAAATGAGAAATAAACGAATAAAACAAGTGGTGATTACTTTCGCAAGGCTGCGATGATTTCCTCTAGTTCTATCCCCAATCTCTCTGGGCAAATACCCTCTAGAGAATAGCGCACCAGAAAATGTGACAGAGTAACTTGCTCATCTTGATTAGTAGCCATCGAATTCCTAAATCGGAGCTGGCTCATGCTGGACCTGAAACTTCTTCTCTAATTTAGCCAATTTCTTGTCATGTCTCCTTTGGCCCCTCTCTCGTTTCCATAGTTCTTTCTCCTTATCCACTATTTCCAGTTGTTTCTTAGACAGTTCGACCACCTTGAGTGCCTCGTTCACCATCAGATGTTTCACATAAGCGTCGGCCAATTGCAGGTCTTTCTCCCAGAATCCAACTCCCCAGCCCAATCCAGGCTGTTTCTTGTTCCACTTGTCTACACTTAAGCCCTCATTCTCCAACTGATCCTCAATCAGGTCTTCCCAAGTATTCTCTGCGAAAGCTAACTCCTCCAGATACTCTATTCTTTCACGAGAATTTACGCGCTTCTGTCTAGTATCTATCTTGTCCCTCAAAACCCGGCTTAGATAGGGACTTTGCGGTTTCTGTATTCGAAGAAAGTTTGATACCATTGCTTTCGCAAACTTAGGTACGTGACGAGGCCCAGAGAGTTTTTCAAATGGTAAAGGACGGGTTTCGAGAAGCTTAGGGACACCTGGAATGGCTTCTGGATAACGAATCTTAAGTTTAGCAGGTTGAGGAACGAGCGCGGATCTGGTGGCTACAGATTTCCGGTAGTGTAGCAGGTCGTATATCTTATGTCTTGAATCTGCGTCGCCATCGCCAGCGGCACGAATAAGTTCCTCTGCCTGGAGAATGACTTTGTCAGTATCGGACATGTAGACAATGATGTTTCTGAATGGTGCGAACGAACCTCATAGCCCGTTTTTAGTGCAGCTACAACAATTTTTGGGCTGTGTTCTCGTACATTTCGCCGGAATTGTTTGCGTACAAGATGCTTTAGCGGATGAATAAATCCTTTAGGTTGGAGCTCAGTCGGTATAGGAACCCGAAGACATTGTTTGAGCAAGGTCCTGTATAGCGCAATACCTTTGCGTCATTTTAGCCTTGAATGTACAAAATTGAAGAATTGCGCTTACAGGCTATACGGTGACGACCTGATTTGCGAGGAATAAATTGGGCTGGCATTCATTTGTCGTTGGCTCATTGCATTGAGCAGCAACACATTTCAAAATATATGATATGATGCAAACTTGGTGCTTTACGCCCGCCAGGGTCTGTCTTGGCGAAACGTCACGTGCAAGTAATTCATCCCCATCTTAGATCTTTCCCAGACCTTCAATTTTCTTTACCTTTTATCATTGCAATCAAATTGAACAAGCGGCACACAAAATTATTTACAGTTTCTAGTTTGGTCAGTTTAAGAATCTAAACTGACCATTCAGTACCTCCATGTTGCCAGGAATCGAATCTTGGCACGCTCCCTTGATGCAAAAAAACATGGAAGAGGTGATTCGCAATGTGCCGAATGTCCTATCATATGTACCATCGTTTGGGTTCACAGAACTTGGACGTGTAAACTTGAGCTTCAATTTTCCAAGTCATTGGAGATGCAGCATGTTTCATACTGAAGAAGAGCCATTAGTAGTGGCCTTCGTCATGGCGGCTTCCCCACGACAAAACTTTGGCTGCCGGTAGCTCTTTCTTAAGATGCAGATAAACCATCGTTCTCTACCGCTATTTCAAACTTGATTATTTTATCTTCTTCCAGTATACATATGGAGGTTTGATGCTGCTTCTGACATTCTACTTGCTTGTATCATTTTCGTATCCTTAGCTCCAAAATAACCTGTGATTATATCTATCTTACGATATCTTCCACACACCCTATTGACCCCGAAGATCCAAATTCTATCCCTATTGCAGCATCTATCATTGCTTCAAATATGACTAGCAGACGGAGTCTCACTGATGATCAACCCTCTCAAAAACCTCCCCTACGACCTAATGCTCCGACTTCACTTCCATCTTCCATATTGAGCGTCCCTTCTGGAATGGGCCGAAAAGTCGCCAGTGGCGATCGATCTTTCAATCCCAGATCGCGACAGTTGTGTGTTGCAGATATTCCTGGACTTCGGACACCTCCACAGGGTTATTCATTGCAATACCCCCAAAAATCGCCTTCCAGTACGGCTCCAATATCTCGGCATGCATTGCAAAATGATTTTTTCGAAGGCCGACGTCCCTCTACACCAATCCGATCGCGCGGCGGTCATGGTGAGATTGATCTAGTGTCATCAAGTGCATCGCCTTTATTGCCGACAGAAGGAAGTCCAATGCTGGCCTCCTCGTCAAAGAATTCCCATATTAGCTCACTTGAGTATTCATGTACCACCGATAGTATGTCCTCAGTGCGAGATCGAATAGTTGCCCCATACAAGCCACGCAAACTAAGCTCTGAAAGTCTCACAATGGTCAAGAAGCAGGGTAGAAGAAACACTGAGGGTATGGGCAAGAAACGTAAGCGTCGATGCAGAGGGACCTGCGACCAAGGACTGAAAAGGGAGGCCAAAAAAATAGCTGCAGCGGAGCGGGACTACAACTCGCACTGGCTTCCTCCAACTCAGGTCGCGCCAACAGCCCTGGAAGGCGCGATTTTACCAAACACTCGTAGGGATCATTGCCTACCGAAGAGAATGGGTAAGAGAAGGCTTATGTCTGAACCAGCCGCTCCAGTTGTATCAAGAAGATGGAGCTCAGTTGAGATTGGCACACGCCAACTTAAGCTTCGCCCGCTACTGAAGCCTAACTCCGGCCAACCCGTGCAAGGAAATAACCCAAAAACTCGACATGCTTTCTTTGATTCCAATCCTCTTGGTGAGCGAAACAGAAGTTCATCATTCACTGCTGGTGCCAGATATAACGACATGGTACGCTCTCTTCGCGACAGGTTGACTATTCGCAAGGTCACAAACACTCAAATGCTGAAGCCGTCTGCTATAACCTTGAGAAGGCCCAGCGCATCCAACAAATCCGACATGAGTAGCAACATGGGAACTTCACCGTTTTTGACGACACCAGGGACCATGTCTGGCATACCGTCTATTTCGAGTCGCCAGCCAACCTACTCGGAGAACCTACCACAAGATTCAGAGGCATATATCATCACTCGAGAGGATGTCGAAGCTGTAATGGAATTGCTCCAAGCAGGTCTACTCCATACACACGAAGGTCGCCCGCCTGTCTCAGCTGCAAATGGCTCGAGCCAAGATCAATCACCGCGTGGGAGCAGGTTATCGTCAATGTCTTTCACAAGTAAAGGCGTAGTACCTACAGTGCGTCCCTCTTCCTGTGAAATTCACATACATGCAGCACAATCGGACAACTCAAAAGAGACGTCACAACTTGGCAACTCTACTGCCAGAACATTTTCTCCTAATTTGCCCCACTCCCCAACATGGATTGTGAACCCAGAAATTTCAGGAAATCCGGATAACTTTTTGGGAATTTCTCAAACAAATTTTGGCCGGCTTGACCGACAGTCAGAAGGAGATCCCGGAAGTGTGCACGAAGTGATTTGGGAGGAGCATAGTCAACAAGAATCGCATTTAAGTGAGAGAGACCACGCTCACTTCGAAGGCGAGTCAAAGTGTTCTAGTCAGCCCAGTACAGATCAAGACGATATTGCAAGTCCTGGACATGACGAAACAAGAAAAAGCTTTCATCACCGAGAAAATCCCGATCAAGAGCATAGAACTAGCAAGAATAAAGGCACCTTTGACCCCACCGATGCTCGCATGTCCATCAGCAAATGGTCCTGGCAATGTGAGCCGGTCGTAAATGGGGATGATGCCAATTTCATTACAATTACGGAACAAGAATCACCTAAAGATCATGTAATTTCATTCCCTCCTCTTCCTAGAAAATCGACCCATGAGTGGCGTTCCCCACTCCCAGATATATCTATTCCCATTCGTGAATCCCGGCTCTTGGGCGACATAATTTCTAAAGGAAATAATATCCGCCCATCTCACTCTCTTTATAGCATTGGAATCGATGCTCGAACTGCGATAAGTTCACCCATGTTAAGCGGTATAGCGACAACCCCTATAACGCGAAATTCGTGGCTTAACGAAACTGCCATTAGCCCCCCGGATAGAGTATGCTCGTGGTTGAATGACTTCGAATCCGATGCTCCAAAACGCCAAAAATCCGATGCTGGTATAGAACGAAAGAAAAGTATCATTAAAGCACACCCCAAAGCACCAGCTCGCTCTGGAAATGCCACGGCAATTGGCTCTTCGCTTGGATCATGTACAGGTGTTCGAAGATGTGCGAGCTCACAAACGTTATCCAAGCTGAGAAAAGTTACCATATTTGATTGTTTGTCGATTGAACCTAATCACTGCGAAGGGAAAAAATCATGGTTCAAACACCTACAAGATGCCGCATTTCCTAAATTGAACATAGAAAGCGGAGCGGAGCCAGCAAGCTTCTGGTCGACGCTTGCTACTCGCAACAGTAGCAAAGATCCCGTTACACGTTCAATCCCATCGCCACCCACAAGCCCCCACGGTAATCTGAGGGACGGCAAGAAAGCCAGCCACAGCATCCAACCTGTGTTATCTCCAGACATATCAGAAACTATATCAGCACCAAGGTCGTCAGCTCGGCAAAGTCTATCTTTGATTCAGGATAAGTATACTAGCATTCCACAAGTAGATTTGAATTTGTATCTTCCTAAGAGAAATTCGTCTTCACCGCGGATCTCCGCTGCGCGCCAAAGCCTGTTGAAAATCCAAGCGAGATTTCCTTCGTTACCAAAACCGGATCATAGTGGTATATATGATTCAGTGACGGGCATCCAAAGGAAAAACAAAGTGGAATGCCTGAAGGACTGTAGGCACTTGTTACACACCTGCGATGATAGCGCATGTGATAGTAATATGAGCTCACCCAGTGTGGATTGGATTGGGTAATGGTTATGATTGGTGGGAAAAGCGGATTAGTACTTCGAGATTGTATGTCTGTGGTATTCTCAAGCACTTCAGAACAGTGGCAACAGCTTGGAAACTGCGTTTATTGTTGTGAATTTTCAGTTATAGAGTAATGGATCTTGTGATAATGCTCACCTTTTTTGTTATCATCACTTTCTAGTCCTATTGATACAATTAGACTCATTGCTCAAAGTTTTATTGATTATTTCTCACAAGGCAATTAAGTTATTCCAACAGCATTAGCTATAACCAATTTGAATGGATCCATATGGGTTGTCTGCCCGGTATTCTTTCTGAATACTATACCTCTTCGGCTTGACTGTCGAAAGTCGAAGTACCTTTATCACTTTCTAGATTTTGGTCGAGGAAGCGAGGTGGATGAAAAATACCATGTTTTTCCAACATCCCATCCAATTGTGATTGGTTGAAGAATTTGAGTAGTTTAGACTATTATTTAGAACCTGTTGTTTTGAATGCAGGTGACTACGGCAATCGAAAAGAATATTTGAAAGAGAAGAACAATATCTTAAAGTCAAGATGATACCGGTATGAGAAAGAGAAGGTTCGGACGAAAATGCAAGGGTTAGCTTAAGGTTAGTGTGATCTCTTAAGTCTTCCTACAAAATTCCGTTTGCTACCTGGCGAGCCTGGCTCGCCTGGGTAAGATTTAAGCGGGGGAAGGGGGGACGAAATACGTCTGGAACATCTGGGTAAACTTGAGCCTGGTGCAAAGTTTCATTCCACCTTCAAACCAGGAACGAAAAAAATACATGGGGCCTCCACACAAGCGCTGAACATTTAGATCTACCGGTACTGCACAAATACTCATCCGATGCTTCTGCGTTGTTGAAAACATATTCAAACGTCTCATGGACACTCGGGATATTCAAAAACCTCCGAGAAATCTATGCCTCAGGCATTGATTAAGTAAGAAACTCCCCTTCAAGTTAATGTGATTCCCGTTCTAGTAAGCGCCCGTCCCCTCATTAATTTAAAGCAATCTATCTTTCACAATTTAGGTTTCAACCACTGTCATTTCCATCCCATCTCGTTCTATCTAAAACCCACATTATCCAAGCGACACGCCTCTCTCTGGTAAGTTTGCTTGTCAATATCGTTCTCGAGATCTTAGCTTCGGTCATTTTGGTTCGTTTCGAGCATCTCCGTAAAGAATGTTACCAATAAGGAGAGATCTCGTCGTGTAATCTAGATCTCTTGGCCTGATTTGGTACAGACATGTTCGTCTATTGATGGGAAAGACAGGAGGGGGTGGAAACTTACACGGCATCGATGGGTAAAGGAACTATTGTTCCTTCATCTAAAGATTCTCCAAGCGGAAACATGATTCCTTGTGTGGGTGGTAATGCAATTGAATATATACCCAAGGTAGGACGAAGTACTCTTTTTTGCACTCCGTCTATCATTATTCGAACTCGGTGACTTTGCTTCTTCTTTGTGCTATTCATTCGTTTTCTGTTGCTTGTACCGGTTACATTCGTTCTCTTCTATTCTTGTTAACTACCTGCTTGACTTTTTATCCTTTACTTCATCACTATCCTCTCATTATAAAACACGAAAAATTAAACCCTCAAATCAAACAATCGTAGAAAGCGATTATGAAGACTACATCGGGACTTTTCTTGGCCACCTTGGCAGCTTCCGTTTCTGCGGTTCCATTCAATCACGCATATGGCAAAGCTAACGGAGAACATGTAAGACCAACATGGTCTCCTCCAAGCGCTTCATCAGCTGCCCCTTCTGAAGATACAGCTTCATCCACAAGTGCCTCTACCGTTGCCGCTACTTCTGTGGCCTCAAGCATCGTTGCTTCTAGCGCTGTCGTACTTGCCGCATCAGCTGCATCTCCAACAGTGTATATGTGTGGTGATTCTACAATGGCTCTCGGTGGGGGTGGAACTGGAACTCAAGGTAGATATAACTCATCAAAATTTTCATATAGTGTATATAGCTGATGACTACAGGCTGGGGTGTATACCTCCCATATTCCCTGACCATCCCCGTCGTCAATGACGCCAAAGCCGGTCGCTCAGCCCGTTCCTACACCGATGAAAATCGCTTTGGCGCCGTCATTGATACCATAAAATCCGGTGACATCGTCATCATTGAGTTCGGACACAATGATGGAGGATCCCTCACCCCCACCGATAACGGCCGCTCTGATTGCGTCGGAGCTGGCAACGAAACCTGCACCACAGATGCCGGTGTGATCGTTCAAACATACCCCACCTATCTCACCAATGCCACCGAGCTCATGACTGCAAAAGGCGCCCATGTCATCATCTCCTCTCCTACTCCAGACAACACATGCGAGACAGGTACATGCTCATACACATCCCCTCGTTTCACCGGGTATGGCAAGATTGTTGTGGAAAACGTTGGAAGCATGGCTAGCTTCATTGACCACGGTACATATCTCGCCAATCAGTACGCCGTTCTTGGCGCTACAACTGTTGACACCTATTATCCAAATGACCACACTCATACTTCTCCTATTGCCGCCGACTTGGTTGCAGGTGTGTTTGTTAAAGGTGTTCTGTGTGCCGGTTCCTCTAACCCTCTATACTCTTACATTAAGAATAGCACTGATAGTGTTGTCGGTACCTGTATTTAAGAAGAATGCTCAAGCATGGTGTTGACCAAATGAAATTGTGAGGAGGATGAAATACTTTACATGTATATATATAGCTGGAATAAATGTGGATATATCGATAATGTACAATGCCTGCAATAAAAAGGCACGCTTGCAATAGCACAATTCATATCAATCATGGAAAAGTCTGATATTAAAGCATATGTGTATTGAAAAGAGAAAGCCCGATCTACAAATAGAAATATATCATCCTATCCACACACCTTAAACAACAAACAAGAATTCACAAATATATACTCATATGCTCACTACCGAAGTTTCAGCCATAAACGGAACCATGGAGATATCACTATGAGTTTCTTTGATCTTCTTCAACTTATTCTCAGTAGCAGCAACAAGTAATATATATCAAACATAGTTCCAAATGCCATTTCCCCTACCATTCCAAACCTCATCATCCCCATCATTCTTAAATGGAATCAAAGACATATAAAGATCCCCAACACCATAAATTTTTAGGCCTGACACAATGCAAATTAGTTTTCCTCGTGCACTTTTTTGATCTCTTTTTCACGTAAAGCTCGCGAGTCTCTGCTTTTTGGATCGACATTCAGTTATCCTGATATCTATCCCGTGATCCAATATAGTTACCTAGGTTTATTTGCAAACATGTCCTGTAAAGAATACAGCTCTTCTCGGTATCCCACAAGAGTTTTAATTTATACCAGTTATAGCCTGTTAAAATCTAAAGTATGCATCTTCATCTTTCATCAAGACCGAGAATATTGTATGCTGGCTATCAGCGTAAAAGCAGTAAGTTGATTTACCCAGACTTGAAAGGGTGAAAGTAGCTAACTTGAGACTCTTTGCATAGGAGCTTAACGCTTGTGTATAGTAGATGCATCTACGACTATAGCTATCCGAGCATGAAATTCCAGGACTCGGATCAAAACTATGAGAGCATCCTACTAATTCTCCAGGAATGGCAATTTGGAGTTCACCTATTGCAGAACTCTGCAATGAGGTGTACGATAGGATGTCGGAACAAATCTCCAGAAGTTGTGGGCCGCTTATTGTACCGCGCGCGCCCATTCTCTCTGCCGACACACTGACGACAGTATCAACCAAAAATAAACCAATTAGGCATGATGTTTCGCTGAGAATAATTTGCATACCAGGAGTGCTAACGACACCGTGCTCAATGATTGTCACCCTTTTGTAGGATTGATGTTGTTGGATGGCGTAGCGCATACGGTACGTCTGATGTTCAACAACTTTAACCACGTGAAGATGTCTTGCATCATTGGAATAGGACTATTTCACTTGGGCTTGGGACATGATTGGATCCGATATCTTTAAGGAACTCATTATCACACTCGCGCAGTGGATCCACAATGATTGGTATCCCTAGAGAGTGGACCTCCCGCGGGGGAGTGTTTCGGGTAGCATCTGATGTTATTCTGCGACTTTCTAAGAAAGATCTGTTACGATATCAGGAGTCGGGCAATTGATAACATATTTTCGTCTGCACAGACTGCAGATAGTAGTTCCGCCTTAATAACAACATTTGAAGCAGCACTTACAGCTGCAATGTCGGTGTGGACAATGATGATGTTAAAGAAGATGATGTGCAATAATTGAAAAAGTATTGATTGGGCACCATAGAATAGGTTAAGAGGCAGGAAATACTGAAGCACGAACGTGCATTCTTTAATGAGAATATGGAGAATCAGGAAGCACGCATCGATAAATCCTATGAGTGATGAGATAGAAATCGGAAACAAGAAAAGAAGATATGCAGTCACCAGAAATTTCAGCGTTCCAGCGCAGACGATAATCATGTGTACTAGATATTCATTTAATCTAATTTTTGGCCGGTCCCTCACGAAAATGGCCTGCAATCAAGAAGGCCATTTCTAGTGCTTGTTTTTCGTTCAGTCTTGGATCGCAAAAGCTGGTGTAGTTCAAAGATAAATCTTCCTCGGCAAGCTCCTCGCTACCGCCAGTACATTCTGTCACAGCATCACCGGTCAATTCAAGGTGAACACCTCCAAGGTAGCTTCCTTCTTCTTGGTGGACTGCCAAAGTCTCTTGAAGTTCGGAGAAGATATCTGTGAATTGTCTCGTTTTGATGCCGGTCGAAGTGGATCTTGTGTTTCCGTGCATTGGATCACATTGCCAGACGACGCTTCGGGCATATTCGCTATCTTCGACTGTTCGAATATGTTTGGGGAGAAGTGTGCGAACTTTTGATGCTCCGTAACGAGTGATGAGTGTTATTTTACCAACTTCTACTGTTGGGTTGAGTTTTCGAAGAAGCTCCAAAAGATCCGAGGAAGAAGTTGTAGGGCCTACTTTGACGCCGATAGGATTGGTTATACCACGAAAGTACTCAATATGTGCCCCGTCCACTTGTCTTGTCCGGTCACCAATCCAAAGAAAGTGTGCTGATGTATTGAAGTACGCCTTTCCATCTTTAGTAGGATCGACATTTTTTTCGGCGTTTGCACCGGCTTGTAAGTTTTGAGATGGGTCTTTGAGAAGTCGAGTGAGGCTCTGTTCATATTCAAGTAGAAGACCTTCGTGACTAGTATAGAGTTCAACTCCTCGAAGTTGATCAGCTGTATCTGCACCAATGGTACGCATGAAACGTAAACTCTCACTGATAGAGTCTACAATCTTCGAGTATTGCTCTTGCAAGCCTGGGTCCCGAACATGACCAAGACCCCAGTTCATTGGGCTATGCAGGTCTGCAATACCAGATGAAAGAGATGCTCGAATGAAGTTGAGAGTAGCTGCGGAGTGAAAGTATGCACTGCTGGGAGTCAGTCGAGTACCGTGATAGCCCCACAGGTATCTGCTTACCTAACAAGTCTCTGTGGATCTAAGTTTCTCTCATCAATTTCGTAACCATTCAAGATATCCCCTCTGAAAGATGGGGTCTCCTTGCCATCTACCATCTCTGTGGGGCTTGATCTCGGCTTCGCATATTGCCCAGCCATTCTAGCAATTCTGACTACCTTCTTGTTGGCTCCCCAGACAAGAACCAAACTCATTTGAAGTAAGAGCTTGATCTTTGATTCAATAGCGTTCTCCTCACAGTAGTCGAATAGCTCAGCACAATCACCTCCTTGAAGTAGAAATGCTTTGCCAAGAGCTACATCCCGTAAACTTGCTTTGAGCTGAATGATTTCCGTGGGAGTAACAATGGGAGGAAGACGTTGAAGTTTCGATAATGACTTCTCTACATTCTTGCGGTCTTCATATATTGCATCTTGTTTGATCGGTCTTGTAGTCCAAGAACTTGGCGACCATGGCTCAACCTGGTGATGTGAGTCAATGGGTCTGGCCATTTGGGCTCCATCATAACCAATTCCCAATTCTGCTCCAGGACCAAAGGTTGGCATTTTGAAGGAATCAGGTCCTAGAATGATATTCCTAGATTGGAAATTATGAAGCGATTCCGAGCTGTAATGCAACAACCAGTTAGATCTAAATAACAAAAAAAGAAAGTTGGAGAAATGATGCGATGGTTTTGCGGAGGAGGGGTTCAAATAATAAAAATTAAAGTGTGTGGCTTTAAGGTTATTTCACTTGGCCCGAGCTTGTGGTTGGGTACCCCTCAGCCCCTCCTCAGAGTATTAGGCTATATCAGGCTACCGTCGGGGAACAAGTTTTCCGATATAAGCCTGTCAGCCAGTATCAGCCCTACAGGTGTGGGATTTGCAGCCCCAATCCTAAACTTAAATCAATGATTGTGCTTGGATCCTTTTAGACGTCACTCTGACAGTCTTGTCTCCCTTGTGCAAAGTTCAAACAACAATTAACATCCACCAGCGAATCTATCTGTTATCAAAATGTCCGAATCCCAACCTCCTACGTTGGTTGAAGGTGCAACTACAGGCGATGTAGATGATGAAATCCCTCAAAAGGCCAAGTCGGCAGAAGATCGTAAAGCTGCTGCTGCTCTCTCCTCTCTCGATGCCCCTCGCGAAGATGACTCGTCCGCGATGAAAGAGGTAGATCAAGAGGCTGTGAGGAAAGCTATGGAAAGGTTGGCAGGCACCGGCGCCACGAATGGAAAGCTTGCAAAGAAGGGAGATGAGAAAAAGGTTGTGAAGAAGATAGTGAAGGTTGAAGCGGCCGATGTTAATTTATTGGTATGTTAACTCTAATATGCAGAACTCAGCTATTGAGCATTTATTTGAGTTAAAGCCTCTTTATCCAAGATAAAGTCTTTGTTCTTAGCCACCCCAACTCTTAAATACTGCGGTCTGATTTGCTTTTACTGATGACACTCTGCCTCTCCTATCCCCTCATCAATGCTGCCTCGTAGCTATAATTTGATACTTGATCCTAGTGCTCGAGGCTAATCAAATTTCTACTACAGGTTGAGGAACTCGAATTGACAAAGATCAAGGCCACGGACTTGTTGAAGGCTCATGACGGTGATGCCACGACAGCCTTGAGGGCATACATTACCCCTGCGGCATAATACTATTAAAGGAAGGAATGAAAAAATGGGTATTGATGAATTGAGCATGGCGTTAGAGTTACAAATATTGCTAGACGGCTGTCAGTGAACTTCCCAAATATTTCATCCCAAGGTCATAGAATCTAGTCAAGAATCTGACCCTAAACTTTGGCATCCCAAACGTTTCTCAATGTTCTTGACGTGTTTCCTTATACCTATCTATGCAAATTTGACAAACGTAGGAGCAATCCGGATGTCAGTCTCGGATAATCGGTATCCCGTACTTTGGTCGGCGATCCAGAGCAGCGCTACTGTATCGTAGTCATGTAGTGCCAGAGAGTACAAACTTTACCAGCTCCCCAGATTTTGATCGTTGTCAAACTCTGCCTTCCGCTCAATCGGATCCTCTTGTGTCTCGTAGATCGCTGCAATGCGAACCCAGAGGCTTACTTGGTCATGTAAAAAATCATGTAAAGGTACGTAACTTTGGTGCATCTAGATAGTATGCCCTTGCCTTGCAGAATCGCTCTTGCTAAAGATGACAACAAAGCCTTTTGTGTGTCAGCAACGACTCTCGCTACAATAACCAAAGAATTTACTTATTGCGGGTAGTTGCATATTCTTCTTACACAACTACTGCAACATTGCAGAACTGGTCTTGATATGTTCCACGGCTGTGCCAAGCTTCAACGTATGATTCATGGATAGCAACCTTGCAAAATATGCAATTTCCCGTTCAATGATCAAAAGTTAGATTCTGTGAAGTCGAAAAGGGTACGATCCGCATCTCAATTTGTGGCGCCAATCCTAGAAAGAAAATCGTTGAACCGGTCAGCAATGGTATGGTAACTTAACGGAGAACTCTAAGAACCTTCAGAACGGGAGGGGTAGCTTAGACTGGAGAGTAGGGCTGCATAACAACATCATTAAGATTGTCTGTTGCTCAACGTTGAAGTAAGATGGCAGCTTGCAGCGTTAGGTCTCGAGTCCGAGATTGTATGTGCTTGCTTGATTGCTTGCTTGCCAATCCAGAGAGCCAAGCGCTGAAGATTCGATATATCAAAAAGTAGGACAAGATCGGATAAGGTTGTGAGACGCCAAATTTCATCTTGTGGGTTTTAGAAACTTCTTCTTCAGATGATATTTGTCTCTTCTCACAAACCTTTCATCTCTATTTCTCTTCTCTTCTTATCTTTTTTGAATGTTGGTGTTTCCCCTCCCCTCAGCCGACTTCATGAGGAGCCGGAGTGTCAAATTTAAAGTTGGTACTAGCGTCAATTTGGGGACAGGAGGAAGAGAGAGATTCACCAAGAGGGGCACAATCTACAAATTTACATATTCACATTCGCATTCACATTCACATTCAATTGGTTATCTTTCAACTTCAACTTCAAATTCTTTTCACTTCCATCTCCGAGTTGTGACCTTTCCATTAAAGAAGTTTTCTTTTCGAAAACTTCTTTCTATCAAAAACAACAACCAACCTTTTTCTTTCCCCAGTTCAGTCAGTGTATAACCATAACAAATAATCACCAAAGAATACAAGTTATCAGGACCTGAGAGTCAGGATGGCTCCTCTGATCGTTCCTCGTGGCGATGTTTCTCCATCCAATTCTGAGCTCCTCCATAATACCATTGGTTTTGTGATTCCTTCTTTCATCTTGTTTGGTTTCCGCATGTAAGTACAATATTCTACCCTTCTCGAAGCAGTTTCAGAGATTTCAGTGTTGTCGTAATGGTTCAACTGACGTGGTTGTTTATTGTAGTCTCAATGCTACCTGGGTCATGGCCAAGATGAGATTTGAAGATTGGCTCATGTGTGTCACAATGGTAAGTGGCGTTAATCATTCGTATGTTGCGCTTTATTACAGTTCACATCTAACAGAATTGCAGTGCTTCTACACAGTTCTCTTAATTTTGATTAACGTTTCTGCTCGTTATGAAACCAATTTGTTCCCTAAAGAGCAGCTGGCTTCAATCATGGCTGACCCTGACGACGTGGCTTCGCGCATTCATGGCTCTATCATTGTCATTCCGCTTGAACAATGTATGCTTGCTTCCACCTGGTGCGTCAAGATTTGCATTTGGCTCTTCTTGTGGCGTCTTTGGTAAGTTCATCATTTGTTCTATCTTCAGCACACTTTTAAAGCTGACTCCTTCCAAGTCGCAACCTGCCAAATTTGCAAATGGCACTCAAGATCCTCATGGGTTACATTGCTATTGGCTACGTCGTAATCATGTTCGTCTACTACGTTGGTGTCTGTCGTCCATTCAAACAATACTGGGCAGTTCCGGTTCAAGATGAACAATGTGCGACATACCAGCATTATTCCATCGTTCAAATGGCTTTCAACATCAGTTCAGATTTTGGTTTGATCCTCATTCCACTCTGGATGTTTTACATTGCACGTCTTCCACCTATGCGCAAAGCTATCTTGATGGGCGTCTTTTCTCTCGCTGTCTTCACAATTCTTGCAGCCATCTTGAATAAGTAGGTTATCCCCAAATTTCAGGTTTTGATTGAATACTAACCCGTTCATCAGATACTACAACTTCTCTAGCCCTATGACAACAACTTATCAACTTTGGTACATTCGCGAATCTTCAGTTGCTATCTGGGTCGGGAATCTCATTTGCTGCTGGCAGATTGTTCAAAAGATCTTCAAGGCTCGCTCTTTCGATAATCAAAAGGCAGAGATTGAGATGCACCCAGAGATGATTGCTCGTATGCAAAATCCTTCAAACTACACTGAGAATGGTAGCCCAAAGCCAAAAGACTGGATGGATCAACTCATTGCTCGTCGCAAGGCACTTGGGGAACTTCTCTCTGTTGTTACCCGCTCACGTTTTACCACACGTGCTTCCGGCCGCTCGGGAGAACCTTTGAACTCTTTGAGTGACCAAACTGCTCTTGCTAACTCTCGTGGAGATCTTGTGTATGTACTCACATTCTTAACCATTTTTGCATTTCCGCTCTCTTGACCAATGCTAACTCTTATCTTCAGCTCTATGATGACAATGGAAAAGGGTGACGAGGATGCAATATCGCCAACTCTGGCTTACAGAGAGAACGAGAAAATTGCTTAAGCAATCTTCTCATTCTTACCTACGTCACTCTATAAGTAACTCGACTTGAACTTTTCGAACTGGGTTATGATAGAACTGACTGCTTGGTACGCGTTATGATGTTTGATGATTTTACGAGTTCTGATAAAAGATGATACACGGTGGTGATTAGAAGAGGAGTTAGAAACGGATGGTGGTTCAATTACTTTACTTCTATAGTTGATGTTTTCGAATCACCTGTTTTCTCTACAAGGATGTTCCATTGACTCTCCTGTACTTTGTAACTTTAGTTCACGAGTTACACGCGCGAATGCTCAAATATGGTGGGAATTCCCATGTGTAATATAGTATCCTAGAAAACTCTCCATACTCCCATCTTTGCAACATGCTGTGAATGTGATGACCCCTAGAACTGAGAATTGCAGCAGAACCCGCCTTGCTAGGATAGCCGCAAACACAGGGTATAATGCGGATGCCAGTGATGATCCAGATCTCTGGTACTGATGACTGCACATATCGGTTATGCTGCTTATGCATTTGCGGGATTCGATCATCTATGCAAGGCTGACGTGGCGGGGTAAGTGTGCCAAGAATAGGTAATTTACGGAAATCAAGATGGGTAGGTAGGTATTTATTTAATCGTACAGACTATTTCTTCAGCAGCGTCTATATATGAGCGAATGATGCGCCTGCGAATTTCTTCAAATATTATACATAGTATTCACTCGAGTTCATCCCGAGGCTCATCTAGTATGAGATGATCTCCATGGTTCTCGGAAATTAGACGGATCCATATGTGTATACTGTATAGATTAATGCATGTGGATTAATCATCATGGAGTGAATACAAGATTTGAAAGTCGTAGATACCGTTACAGCTTACGTCTGACACTCCTGCATCTGATAATCTGCTTTTTCATCTCATCGAATTCTCTTCAATACCCTCAGATAGTCAGAAACTTTTCGATAGACGTCCAGACATGTAATTGAGAGTTGATGATTTTGTGTCTGCGGGATTGGGGTTTGTATCTGCTGTTTTTAGGGTACAAAGTGCTGTCTGTTTAATAGACTTATTGTAAGATGAGTAGAAGTCTTTGCAGATGTGTACACTTTTTGCTTTCTTGTGCGCGGTAGAGCTTTTGGTATTAATGGTATCGGGAGCGGTTCTCAGGAGATCTCATACAGTCTTGTAGTGGTTTCGAAATATCCCTGCTGAGAGGGAATAGGAGCACACGGTTAGCTATCCTGATTCACGATACTGTGCGGAAGTAGTCGAAGTAAAACGTATTTGCTATACCATAAAGGTTCTTTCCTGTTGAAAGATTTCAATTCGAAAGGGAGATTGGGAAATTTGTTAGGGCTAGATAGGTAGGTAAGATTACAAGCTAGGTGCAGCATGATGATGGAATCTCGCTTAATTTTGTATGGAGACTCTGTGTTAAATTTCGGTACTTGGCATTTGCTGGCTGTTTCGTGCTTACATCACAGGCTCTTAGGTGTGATCACAATTTTGGTCAACGTTTGTAGAGAGATTGGAAAAGATTAATGTGGGGTTTTGAAAGTGTTGTGATTTTGACTGCGATGAGAAACTCTATATATAATCCTCCTCTTGATAAGTCTTGTGTACATCCAAGTAATCTCCATAAATTTCTCTGTATGATATAAACAGTTCTCAACCTGCACTTATTATCCATCTCGAACGGCGTTATCTGGGTTTCGAAGTGAAATCGAGCTGTTAAACTAATAGTCTTCAATTTATAGGTGCTCCCAAGGTGTTTCCTAATAAAGTACCAAGTTAGTTATTGAAACCGTACAGTATCACAGTAACAGAAAAGAAATCCATACTAAAACAACAAGTCCCACCACATCATCTTTTTGAAAGCATCCCAATCTTGCTCGCCATCAGGCAGAGGGTCCCCAGTGTGTGGACTTGATTTCGTCCAGACGCCGTCCCCTCTGCATGCGGTCTTTGAGACGGCGAAGCACCTTGAGATGAACACTCAACTCTGGTGCTTGGTCCGATTTGCACCAGACCAAGCACCAGAGTTGAGCAGCTCTTAAACTCGTAACGGAAGTATAGTAGGCTTGATAGCTGAAGCTGTATTTGGAAATCAGTTTGTGCGTAATGATATATTATGGACGAAAGATGTACATAAGATTTTCTAGAGCGATCCAGAAAAGTCCAGCACAGGAGCAATGGAAACTTGTATAGTAGGCTTGATAGCTGTTGGTCATTCCACAATGCCGAGATTGAAGAATGAGATGTCATTCCCTGTGAATGGCGTCGATGGTTTGGGTGCTGGTCGATTGAATCGACGTGATTCACAGGGGATGAGGTGCCGCTGAGAGGATCTGTGACCATAATGTTGAGGAGCATCATGTTGATGAAGTCATGAAGACTTTTATGGTAGGCTTGATAGTTGGAGTTGAAGTTTCTATTCCAAGTTTGTTGCGGGTGACAGCAAACTTGGACCTGGTAATGAAGAAGAGCAGATGTTGAAGGACTGGAAGGAAGAGGAAACTTTGATGGTAAGAATCTAATCTTTGTGTAAAAATTCATTGAGATATAATGCAAGTTTGACTTCTGGTTTCTCTTCGATTTTATTGTGTGCTTGTTGAGAATATATGGTTCCTTATCCAACCTATAAGTAGGTAATGGCAAACAAGGCTAGAGCTCGGCCTTCGGGTTCGGGAAGACTTTCAAATCCCGAGATCAAAATTTTCAATTTAACAAGATCGGATGAAAAGCTGTCAAGCTTTTTGTTGGGGGAAAGTGAATTATGAGGAGATACCTATGTCCTTGTGATGCTGAAGTAAGAGACATCTCAATATCTACCTACCTGGTATCTATGTCTTCAGTTTTTTTTTGTATTCATTCAAATAGTTGATGAAGACTTCTTCATGCTCATGTAGCTGCTCCAATTTGAATGCTTTACAAAAGTCTCTCACAGATTAGATACTATGTATTCACAATAAATGGCCAGGAAACTTGTCTGTAAATTTGGTTGATTCTTGGACACTTTTGACCAACATGACTTGAGAATAAGAACTCTAACATACCCTGTCTAACATTAAATACTCACATCAAAGCAATACTTTAGACAGCAGAGCTTATAGAAGTTCGTGCTAGTGATATCTGTCATCTAGACCCTTCCGTCACTCCAAGACAGTCAAGTCATTGAGGCCATTTTATGATATTTTATTCTTATGCAGTGACCCAGAATTTCTTTACAAACCTAAACTTTATAGACAGTAATAATGAGTTGAAATTAATCACAAATAGTCCAGAAAAGATATACCCAAGACCAGAGGCTCATAAGCAAATAGACTCAAGTCAAGATGCAGAAACAATAGCATAAATCTCTCTCCCACAAAAATATCTTAGAAGTGGGGCAATATCTAAAACAGAAATGATCAAGGGGTACATAGTTCCAGAATATCAATAATCTCTCAATAGTAGGCTTGATAGCTGGTTAACTCGAGCTATCACACCTACTATACTGTTTTTGCTCGTTCTGATTTTTGGATCGGTTTGGTATAATTTTTGGATCCCTGGGTGGATACGATCTCCAGAAGATTGATATTGGATTTTGTGTATTTGTGTGATTCTTATGGCGTCTATTCTATGGAAATAGGAACGAGCTTGCTATTGTTTTGCCGCATAAAACTTTGTTTTCACTACGCTAGACATAATCACTCTGCCAGTAAGATTCACTTCAGAAAATAACCAGCTAAACTACAAGATATAGAGATGGATGGTCTCTAAATAGTCAAGTTCGAGTGCCAACTGTAGTATAATGCTCTGCTCAAAGACCTCCAAACTCCAGTATTCCAAGAGATGTAGCACAGAATCTCAAAGTGCATGTCATCATCTAGCAACTATTTTCAAGAATATTAAGCTTTCGCTAGAGCTTGCCTAGATTTTCATTCTTCACATTTTACAAAAACTTACTGTCTGTCATTCTCTTGAATAGTTATTAGAAGCGCCTATAGCAGATGTGCCGTGTGAAATTCTTTATATTTGCTATGTTAACGGGTTAAGTTGCTATCAAAAAGAATCTGCTTTTCAGTGTGAGATGAGATCATTCTCCATGCGTTCTCGAATCGCCCGTATCATCAACACTCAAAGCTACCTATACAGCACCCCCATGTCTATTTTGAACCTCTTTCGCAGCTTTACCGAGCACATCACTTAGTTCCGTAGTCGTGAGTACTTTTGCCACAAACAAGTCTTAAAGGAGCTCAAGTTATCCCCGTTGCTGTTGTAGCAATTCTAACATGGTCAAGAGAAAGATCAAAAGATATATGCATGCCCTCTATTTGACAGCGTGGCACCAAGTTCTTCCGGATAAACAGGTCGATGTGGCTGTCTTGGTGCGTTTCAACTTGCATCATACATAGTCAGCACATGCACGCTGTCCCATTTAGGTGATTTTCCAATTTTTATGTTTGGATGAATTTGTGTAAGATTGAAGAGATCACAATATACGGCAGCGGACTATCTCTACTCTGAAGACTGATAACGGATAGAGAGGTACCGAACTAAATACATTCTATGCAGCTCGTAGTGAGAACGTAAAAAAGGTGCACTAAAGTATCTCATCCTTCCGCGATCAATGGCCTATCGCTTATATTTTGAGTAACCAAAGTATTCGTTGATACCTTTCGGGTTTATCTTTATCTTGAATCTTACTTCTTGGATCTCATTCATGACTCTACCCGACAGAAGAAAAAAAGATTCGTCTGTTTCCTAGACAATGTATAAGATTGGAGAGTAAAATGCTTTTGTATCATTGTCACAGTGCTCCGTGACCTTGAGTTGCATTTTTTCTGCCTACGAAGCATGATTGGCATGATTCTGATCAGGCTGTCTGATCAAGCGAAAGAGGCATCCCTTGACTGAAAATCATTGATAAATGTTCCCCAGAAAAATGGATTCCTACCAATATCTCACCCATGCCTTAAAAATAGAATGGAGGAAGATTAAATGCACATCTCAGCTCGTTAAAATCTGCGCAATGATTGTGATAACTAGCAGCTGGCCGCCTGACTTGATCCCCTATCCACTCTGTCCTCTCCTCCATAGTCATATGTTCAAGAGCCTCCACCCATATAATGTCATTTGTCCTACACTTCCAAGACGTGCCTTTACCTTTTTTCACAGCTGACAAAGGCATGCCAAGGTAGTTGTAGTCATAAGCATGTAGGAGGGCCCGATCTCTCTTATCTAATCTTGCGTACACAACTTCCCACCACCATGGATTCCACTTATCCCTTCTGACTCTACGAAAGCCCACGAATACTCCTAATAATACGCCTGTGGACTCCTCATTTTGATGAGGGCCCGCCACATTTCGTGTTCCCGGAAATCGATACTTGGCGTCTAGAGATCTATGCGTGGGAATAAACCAACCTTGATGTTGCGGATTAATCCCTATGTTGAATACAGGAAAAGGACCGTTGGTTTGACGGACTTGCTTTCTAAAACCCCAATCTATCACATCAGAATAAACGGTACTGTTATTGTCTTCCTGAAAGGATGGTAGAATATTAGGCTTTTGCTTCACTGCGTCAACATAGTCTTGCCACTTCTGTGGGTATGGATAAAAGTCGAAATGTCCCACTTCCGTTCGTGGTTCACGACCCTCTCTTTGCCATTGTTTAGACATCCACCTCCATTGAGGGTTTGCGTTGGCTCTACGATCCCACTGAGGGCCCCATATAGCCTTGTGTACAAGACCTAGCTGTTTTTTCTTCTCTTCATAGGTTTTCATTGGGTTTGCCATCTTGAGCGATGTGATTCAAGCTTTGATCTAGTTGCCAATTTTTCCAGCTCGCTGTTCGCTCATGGGTAGTGGTTCTACAGAGATGGTCCTGAGAACAAAGCACTTTGCGATCGATTATAAACGAATTTTAAGAGAAGATTGTACGCTTTGGGAATCGTTCAACTTTAAGCGATCCCGAGAAAGAATTTACTTTCATGACATATATTTCAGCAATACAAGTAACGATATCAGAAAAGCTAAGCATAAATGATGTTGAAAGCATTGGTGAAATAGATGGCTGAATGTAAATGATAATTAGATATGCACGTGAACTTGTATCAAGAGGATGACTGCACTTGCGAAGTAATCTCAAACATCTAACTTGTGTTGGTACTGTTGTATTCTCTAACTTTTTACTATGTTATGTAGGCTGTTGCGATGTGTTGACATCGAATGCGGTGTGGTTTGGTAACAGAATAAATTGCTTATGTAATCATTATCGTCTCTAACAGCTGCCTTTGGAGTTGTCTGTACCATAATTCCCAGCAGCCATTGATTAATCAATAATGTGAGTACGGATGACCCGGTTACATCGGAGCGATGCGGAAGTAATATTGGTCATTCTGCATGCTGTCGTCACTCTACAAGGTTTTCTCATTTATGAGTATCACTGACTAAGTATTGCTTTTCGTTCCCTCATTCTCTTTCATATCTCATTCCCCTCGTTGTGATTTATATCGCGGATATCAAGACCCAAGATCGAAATGTCGTATCCACCCGTCCCCCTTCCAAATGGTAAGACTCACCATCCAGTTTCTCATCCTTAACTAACATAAAGTAGGCCAAAACTTTACAGCCACTCTGCACAACACCACGTACCCCGCAATCGACTCCGCGACGAAGTCCGACCATAGCAAACACATAGTTTTCATAACAGGCGCTTCGAAAGGTGTTGGCAGAGCTACAGCTATATCATTTGCAAAAGCTGGGGCTGAAGGGATTGCCATCGGTGCAAGATCGGATCTCTCCTCACTCGAGACAGAAATTCAAGAGGCAGCAAAAGCGGCAGGAAAGGCCTCGCCAAAAGTCTTATTGATTAAGCTTGACTTACTCAATCACCAGAGTGTTAAAGACGCAGTCCAGGAGGTTGAGAAGACTTTCGGAAGATTGGATATCTTGATCAACAATGCGGGATATCTAGCAGCCAGTCAATCAATAATTGACTCAGACCATGATGACTGGTGGCAGACATTTGAAGTCAACATACGTGGGGTATATTGGATGACTCGTGGGTTCCTTCCCCTGATGCTAAAGGATGGACTCAAGACAATTATCAATGTAGCCAGTACTGGAGCAAATTCATTGCGACCTGGAGCTAGCGGATATCAAACCTCGAAGTTCGCATTGTTGAGATTGACAGAATTCATAATGACAGAGTATGCAGAACAAGGATTACTGGCATATTGTGTACATCCTGGTGCCGTCAATACAGACATGGCTAAGAAGTTACCGGCATATCTTCACAAAGGTATATTGTATTTCCATAGCTAAATAAAGTGCTAAATGATCGAAGGTTGCTTGCTAATTTCTGAAAACAGTCTTGAGAGATGATCCAGAAGTTGCGGGTGATTCGATGTGCTTTTTATCTCAAGAGAGAAGAGAATGGTTGGCTGGCAGGTACATAAATTGCACCTGGGATATTCCAGAGTTTCTGAGCAAAGAACAAGATATCGTGGAACACGACAAGTTGAAGGAGAGAATGTTATTCTAGACAAAACACCTATGTAGTGACACACTCTTAGCATTGGCTCGAGATTGGCTAAAGTTGCAATGCCTCGGTATCTCGAGCTCTGTTACCAGAATCATTGTTTGAAATATGCCAATAAAAGCACGTACTATGCACTTCACAACTAGGGAAGGTATTCCGATGTCAATTGTTTGTCAATCCCTTGCATGATCTCACATTGTTTGTTCCCGGATTACTTAATCCAGCGTTCCGGCTAAGAATGCGGAGAAAGACTAAAAGGTGGGCCGTGGGGGGAAGCACATTTACCCCAAGCTCTGGACGTCTAAAATACACCACTAACGTCTTGTGTCCTCCTGTGATTACGTTCTGGAAGTTCTAGATGATTTGTCGAGTTTGCTGTCATTGATTACCCCGCTTCGTATTTGAAGCATTGGCTGGCTCATCGAGCGTCAACCCACAAAGAACCATGATTGGTACCACTGCTGCAAAGTCAAGTGGCTTCGTTATGGCCTTTCCCCCGCGGAGGTGATATCGATCGCTAGATTCTCCAGCCATTCATGGACCCGAGATGATTGGTGATTCACTAAACAAGCATTGGCTCCTACAATTGTTTAAAAGACGTCGCTTAAGACAGGCTTTTTACATACAGTTCTGTCTTCAATTATTGTTGCTTCTTCTCAATTGCATATCATCGAGCTTCTAAATTTCTAGGCTGTGCAGCTGAATCACATAATATACAGTTACACGGCCTTCTCTTCTCAACGACCAATCAAACCCAAAGCTGCAGGAGTCATGTCTACCCTTCGAAATGTTTCACGTATCTCAATCAGATGTCTCCGATCCCATCCTCGTCCTCTCACCCGCCCGTTCTCTGTCGTTCCACATCTCTCCAGTCCGCCATCTCAAACACGTCAACCACCTCCTGCGCCAGACGCCGAAAGCGCAGCACTCAAGAGTGGTCAACCCTCAACATATCTAGGGACCAGAAAACGTCTACCCGAATTCAATTTGGTCGATAAAGTAGTGTGTGTTTCTGGGGCTGGCAGAGGATTAGGATTGGTACAGGCGGAAGCTTTATTAGAGGCCGGTGCTAAAGGTGTGCAATTTCGATTACAATTCGAGAACAAATCTAGATTGAATGATTCCATCTGACAAAATAGCATAGTATACGCCCTTGACCGTCTCGAAAGCCCGTCTCCTGATTTCGATCGCATTGCACAGCGCGCGAAGGAAGAACTCGGCACATCGCTTTCATACCGCCGCATCGACGTACGAGATGTCGAGGGTCTAAATTCTATAATTGAGGAGATAGCTCAGAAAGAAGGACGAATGGATGGCCTGATAGCAGCAGCTGGAATACAACAAGAAACTCCAGCTCTGGAATACTCGGCTAAGGATGTCGACCTAATGATGAGTGTTAACGTAACCGGTGTTTTTATGACAGCACAGGCAGTCGCAAAACAAATGGTGAAATTTGGTAACGGGGGAAGTATAGTGCTTATTGCCAGTATGAGTGGAACTGTTGCCAATCGAGTTTGTCTTCCCCTTTCCCTCTTCGACTTAATATCCCTACTAATTAGTGATCTTCAGGGTCTCATATGCCCCGCTTACAACGCATCGAAGTCCGCAGTTCTACAACTCGCCAGAAATCTGGCTAGTGAATGGGGTGAACATAGTATTCGAGTCAACACCATTTCTCCAGGATATATAGTGACAGCTATGGTGGAGGAACTTTTTAAGAAATTCCCAGAGAGGAGGACAGACTGGCCAAAACAAAATATGTTAGGGAGATTGAGTGCCCCGGAAGAATACAGAGGGGCGGCGGTATTTTTGGTTAGCGATGCTAGTAGTTTCATGACAGGTACGTTAAACTTGGATGTTAAATCTATTTGGGAACAAATTACTGACCGGTTTTCTCACAGGCGCGGATTTGAGGATGGATGGCGGACATTCAAGTTGGTAAATGCGTTTTTGAATTTGAAGATCCTGTGATTAGCACGCGGAGCAGGAAGTTTTGGATGAGCCTTTTATTAGCGTTGTATCGGTCTACAAATGATATATAGATACCTAGTGCCAAGTTCTCATTCCCAGTCAAAATAATCAAGACTTCACCTAACAAAAAGAAAAAAAAAGTGTGTTAATGCTTGGAATGTGAAGATTCCGAGACTTACATTTTTTGCTATATTTTGCTATTGTTTATATTGCTGTTTTGCTATTTTGGTCATAGGGCTTCTCAGCTGGTTGGAAGTCGAGTTGCACTTCCTAACCACTGTGCCAACTAATCACGATGTTGTCGGATGCAAAAATGAATATATAGGACAGGCTTAGGGCGGGGCATGAAATGGGTATTTTAAAGAGAGATTCACTGTATGATTGTAAGCAGATTGGTGTATAGCCAAGTTGGGCTGGATTTCAGTTAGGTGTGGGGAGATGGTATGGTTTGATGTATATGGGATGGTAAGTTATGGATGTTAGGATATGGATAGTATTAACATGGCATGCCCAGGCGTACATACTCTCTAAGCCTCTGAATTGCCGAACCCTTCAGACTTTATTCTTGATAATCTTTCATCAAATATATTATTTATCCAAGCAAAAGAAACAGATATACGAAAAAATCTTCTACACAACCTTCCAACTACCCCAAACCCCCCATAATATAATCAACACCCACACATCTCGGTTTCCACAAATCCGTCTCGTCAATTCCCCATCCAGGTCTCCCGGGCCGGTATCCACCGGGTCCATGCTCTCCTCTACCAGGAGGCCGATTATATCCATCGCCAGGCCCAGGTCTATCTCCATACCGATGTTCAGGCGGCGGATGTCGAATTGGTTCATTGCCCCCTAACATCGGCCACATGGGAATATAACATTTTTCATCTGGTGCGCATTTACTTTCACAGCTTGTCCATTCACCGGCCCAGCCGAGCCAGGCTTTTAGTTCTTGTACCCCGTGGATCCAGCGGAGGATTTCTTTTTTATTTGGGGGGGCTAGATTGGATGTTATTTTTGGGTTTGGGGAAGGTTGGTTGAATGTGGTGTTCCAGATCTTTTCGACGGAAAATCCAATGTCGATTAGAATGTTGCAGATTCCGGCTTGGGTTTCTTCGACGGCCCATTTGAGAGAATTTTCTTCGGGTGAAAGATTGATGCCTAGGGAAGGGGAAAGAAGTCGGGTGTGGTGGTAGTGACAGCGGGAATAAGTGGTTTGGAAGAGAGTGGAGTCTCGTTGCCAGATTGAAGGGGCTTCTTTGGGCGATGGGTATTCGAGGAAAGGGAGAAGTAATGAATGAGTCTGGTCCCGAATAGATGACATCCACTTTCTTTCTGCAGTTTCGTTGGATGGCGGAACTGAAGAATAACTTTGTAGGGATTGAAGAAGTTGAGCTAGCGGTGAAGCGTAGGTTTGAACGATTTCGTTGGTCATCGTTGTCCAGTCAATACCAGTACAGTTCGAAGATTGACCGAGTAAATTCTTGAGAACTCTCTCCGAATCCACTTTCATTATTGCTGCTTCGTCTGTACTAATACCGTCTAAAGTATGGGATCTTCTCCTTCGCATCAAAGCGTTCAACGCAGTCATTCTTGCATTCTCATCCTCCGGATTAGCTTTCCAGAACCCTTTGCTTGTCAAATTCAATGTTTCCCTTTCTACTATACCTCGCGCCTTTGCTAGGCTCTCGAATTTGGGAGAGTAGTAGTTGAGGATTCCACATGTGAGCAGCTTGACTCTGTTTTCGCCAAGTCCTGGTCCTTCTCCAGAAGAACCGTAATGAGCAGCAGCGCTTGTAAACCAACCCCATCCTTGACTTCGAAGGAACGGTTCTCTCTCAGAATCATGTCTGAAGTTTGGTGGCATAGCAGGATGATTTTCAGTGGGATTCTTTGTATGTGTAGATTGCGGCGACCGAGTCGTTATAGATGGTAGTGGAAGGTAGGATGTGAGATCCGCTTCTTCCTTTTCAAACATTTCTTCTGGTGTGTTTTGGGGAAGTAAAGGAGCTGTAACATTCAAATGCTCCACTGATCTTAGTGTTTCGCTCTCGAAGTCACACCAAATCATCTCAAATCCAGCATTCATTCTTACAAAACCTTCGACTCCCCAGCCTCTTCCGCCGAGACCTCTTTCGTGCACCCAGGAGCAGAGGCCTCTTGCCCTATCATACTCTTGTACTAAGCCTGGTCCAAAGTGTCCATTAGGATCTGGGCCAGTTACGTTGCCGTAGATGTGGAGCATTTGTGTATCCATTCGACCTGTGCCCATGAGTGTAGCAGATTCACCGTCAAAATAGACGCATTTCGCTGTGCGAGTAGTTTGGAATGTAAGAAGATGGGAATTTCTGGTAGAACCCATAATCCCATAGGCCATTTCACTGAAGCATGATTAGCAAATAGTCTAACCTGGCATCACTCGTCTTTGGCCAGTTTAGAACAGAGCGCGTGATCATGAACGTAATAGCCAGAAGCTATCTAGAATAGTGAGCTAGCTGGAAGGAGAACCATTCATTGACATTACAAGGCTTGCATTTTTGAATTCAATCCGGAAACCATTCATCAAGTTACATCCTTCGAACCCTTTTTTTCTTTTCCTTTTTTTGATTGATTTGGTTTTTTCAGACACCGCACTCGCAAATTAAGATTAGAAACTCACCGGAACGCCGGCTTGGCATTGATCCAGGGGGAAAAGATTGCTAACCGAAGAACAAAAAATAAAACGTTGAAATATACTCACATGTCGAAAGAAACCCATTCTGGACTTTCAGGTAGAGATTCACCATCTCTTCGGCCATGATACACTTTTGTGAGAGGAGGTATTTCACACGGAACAATACTATGCCCGCTCGGAAAGAATGTATTTGGCCACTGTTGAAGAAGTCCGTAAACTGATGCGAAATAATGAGGTGCTGATGAAGAGAAGTTCAATTTCCATTCCGAACTATGGGATCTGATCGACTCCAGAGATTGAAACAGAGGGTATTGAGGTTCAGCAAACGCTGTAACAGAATGGAGAAAAGTTAAACTAAAGACAGAAACATAACATAACACAAACATTATTTCAAAATCGATGAATTCCCACTATGAATTACACATGATGGAAAAGAAAGAATTTGAAGAACCATTTTGAAGAATCCACTTGAAGATTAAAATATAATTCATGCCGCGTAAGCACTGTTGAAGCATTCGTTGCCCTCGAAGATAAGGAGTCTTACCGCCAATCATAACCTTAACCTTGCGATTCAGGCTTGAAGTTTAGGCTAGCTTCCCCAGAAATCATTGAAGCTCATCAGTGCATCCATCATCAAGCTCCATCGATTATTCATTTTCACCAATAACGTTGCCACCAACTTTTATCCCCTCAAGCAATTTGACCTACTGGAAATATGGGAGCTTCGCAATCCAAAAATCTAGCAAAAGCTTCGAAAGCAGCCTCTTTATCAGCTTCAAATACTGCACGCAAATACCCAACTCGAACTCCGCCGCCCTCATCTCCCCGCACAAATGTACAACCAAGTCAACCAAGCCCTTCCGCAAAACTGGGGCCAACTGTTCATCCAGAGGCAAGCTCCTCATCTACAAAGAACCAATGTTTGTTATCTTCTATCAATGACTTCTGGCCCTTCAATTGGAAGTCTTGGACTAGGGATCCGCCTGCTAATGTAATATTTCATAGCGATAAGTTTTGATGCATCCGATCCAGATATTGGTCTCAATTCTCGCCTTCGTGAATTAGGTCCTGTTACACCTTCACCTACTCTCTCCAATTCATCTACTTTCAACCGAGCCTCGGCGCAAGATCCCATCACATCCGGCAACAATTTTATCCCTTCTGCTTCCACACCTTCGCAGTCGATATTTCCAACCGCAAACAATCCTGCGGTTTCACTTCTGGCGGCGAGGTCTAGAATAGCAGAAGAAGCAGAGAGGGACTTCGAGAAAATTGGCAGGAAGGGATTCCAGGGAAGGAAATATCTGGACGTTGCGACTATTCGAACAGTACTGGTTTACAGGTCTGAGGGCATGCCTGATTCCGAAATTGAGGAGAGATTAGAACTCAGACGTGGTATTGTAAAGAGTTTGGGAGGGAATGTGGTGAGTGTGGCAGGTGTATAATTTGAGGGATGAGGGAAATCCAAGGCTCAGATCGAACTCTAAAAGCAAGTCTACAGTGGCGACATAATTTCAGCCACATGGTAGACATTACAACCTGTCTTCGACTGTTCTATTATAAGCTTCGACTAGATATCAAGTTATTGGCCATGCCAATATTGTACAGTATAATGAATTATGAAAGGGCTGGTGAAAGGGCTGGTGAAAAGGAATGAGCGACATTCTAGAAGGTGTATTAGCCACTGTAGGCAGAGATATTGTATTATATGTCACCAAAGAAGATTGCCTATTAAGGAAAGGCAAGGCTCTGTGAACGAACCAAGAATCATTGCTAGAAAGAAGCTATGAGTTGTGTGTTATGTACTTTGATACCCTTGAAAAGGCTGTTTTTACCAATACATAGGCATATTATCACACAGGATTCTGCCTCGACATGTCTTCTTCTAGAATATTGGCTAAGCAGATTTCCTTACTTTTGTGGCCTCTTGCTCTTGAGAACTCTAACATAAAAGTAACTACTTTTCAATAATAAATAGTTAAGTGTTACAATACAAGCAAGGTAACAATTCCATTCTCACAATTCATGTCACAAGCAGATTGCGGGGCATACTTTTGAAGCTATTCTGCCGGGCGGTGTGAAACCCAGACAATTATCAGATTCCTATCTGGTGAACACATCCACTGAAGAACTTTGGATTTAATATAAAATGTACTCTAGCATTTTGGTCTCTTCACTATGCATGAAATCTGTCCATCTACCCTCCATATCTAAATACTCACCTAAAATAAGCACCATCTAATTGGTCGATCACTTTCATGCCGAAAATTGTTCGGTAACTTCCGAGAAATCATGCAACTTTATATCCTCACATCATTGCAACTCTTATCAATATCAAGGGCTTTTGAAGCTCGACAATCACCCTCGCAATGATTGTCCGGTCTCCTATATTTGCTGGTGCTTTACGGCAAAATGGATTGGGAAATGTATGCCTTTCATGCTCCCTTCGAACAGAATTGAGAGGAACCCGAAGAGCTGCGAGGAATTTCTCGAATTCAAATGGTAGGAAAACAACGATAGTGCAAAGATTGGGGACTGGCTATTTCTTTACGAATAGAGATATCTTCGGGAATGCAGGAAAGGGTGGCATGAGTACATCTGTGGATGCACTCAGCAGGAAAGACGTAGATGAGGCAAAAGAAAGGATCGAGAATGGATCTACGACACCGGCCACTGCAGAATTAGAAAACCTGCCACCCCATCGACGAAGGCGGCATAAACAATCACTCGAACAACAAGGCGATAAAGAATTCCTTCCTGAGAATGCTTCCACCATCCATGCCGACCGCGCGAGCGCACTTCCACAATCTTCCATAAAACGACTATTATCAGTCCTCTTGTCACTCACCAAACCCCGCCTTTCTATGCTCGTCGTTCTTACCGCATGCTCAGCATATACATTATACCCAGTACCCTCACTTTTATCCTCGACACTTCTTGAAACGCCCAGTTTGAGCCCCCTTACCCTTCTCTTCCTTACGACCGGCACGGCCCTATGCGCCGCTTCCGCAAACACTCTCAATATGCTTTATGAACCTAAATACGACGCGCAAATGTCACGAACACGAAATAGACCTCTTGTTCGAAAACTTATTTCGCCTGGTGGAGCTTTACTTTTCGCAATTGCGAGTGGAGTTGTTGGTGTGGGGGGGTTATATTATGGGGTCAATCCCACCACTGCGTTTTTGGGTGCTTTGAATATTGGGCTATATGCTGGTGTTTATACGCCATTGAAAAGAGTTACAGTCTTCAATACTTGGGTCGGTGCAATAGTTGGAGGTATTCCTCCATTGATGGGATGGACTGCTGCGGCTGGACAAACTTCCTCACATCTTTCTTCTTCCTCAACACCTGAATGGCAGGATTTGCTGCTTGGACCAGATAGTGCAGGAGGTTGGTTACTAGCAGGATTGCTGTTTGCATGGCAACTTTCGCACTTTATGCCTTTGTCCTGGTCTATTCGTGAAGAATACAAAGGTGCCGGGTATAGAATGTTATGTTGGGTTAATCCTTCCATGAACGGTCGCGTGGCTCTTAGATATAGTATCGCATGCATACCCCTATGCATTGGACTTTGTTATGCGAATGTAACTGAATGGACATTCGCAGCAGCTAGCATGCCTGTAAATGTATGGTTGGTACGAGAGGCCTACAGGTTCTGGAAATACGAGGGCCAAAAAGGAAGCGCTAAAAAGCTTTTCTGGGCAAGTGTTTGGCATTTACCAGTCGTACTTGTCTTGGCAATGGTAGAGAAAAAGGGATTGTGGAGTAGAATTTTGTCGGCGATTTTTGGACAGAGAACAGAGGATGATGAGGAGTGGGAATATGTGGACGAGGACGGGCATGAGGAAATACCTGTACAGAAATTGCCTGTCCCAGTAGTCGCCTCGGTAAATTCGAGTAGATAAACCGAGCGGAAGAAAGATTTGTATGTTGATAGAGATTCTTTTATCCATCTCTACTTTTGTACTTTGTGTGTACAATATTTTCGCGTTTGGTTTTGTAGATATGAACCTACCAGCGGGCGTGCAATGTTAGAAATATCAGTATGTTTTGACATTGTATCTCTTAATCATGAGCTATATTATAGTCCGTGCAATACACCTTGTATGAAGAAATCTGATTGGTTAGATTGGCTCTTATAATACTTTATTAATTACTCTGTTTATAAAAAGGAATCTTGATTTCAAATTATAGTTTTTCAAAAACATTAAGAAAGTAAAGATTAGAAATTAATACATATTATTTTCTTTAAGGTTTCGAAATAGAAATAATATTAAAAAGATTTTATATTAAAGATTGAACATAAATGTATAATTAAATTCCAAGTATTCTGATATTCTGATTGGTCACTAAGATCCCTATTAAGCGAGGGCGCCGAATGTTCTTTCGTTCTATTAATAACGTAATCTTTATCTCTCAAGATTCAGGTCTATCTACTTCTCATCTACACTTCCTATCACCGTCTTGTTTTTATTTTTGCGTTTCGATACGGTGCGCAAATGTGGAACTGGTTCTGGAACCAAGTTTCAAGATCTAGCGTGTTATGTCATAATGGCGACTACTGACTCTCATTCAGAGAGATGCTTCAGTGTGGTGAATACTGCTTTTCGGCGCAGATATGACTCTTTTCGGAGAGTGGAATATGACTTCGTTTGGAGATATCACAATGAGTCCTGAAAGATCCCCAAAAAAGAAAACTCGATTCGATTTTAATCGACAATAATGACTCTCTTGAAGAAGAAAAGGGCATGGAATGACTGTATGAGCATACTACCCTCGACACAAAAGTCACCACATTCCCTTCTGTTTAGAAATTCTGACCTTCCACCTACAACCTCAACTCCACAACCTCCACTACAATTCAAAGATCCTGTTTACAATCAAATACAAAAACATCTTCAATCAAATCAAAATTCCATCACAGAGTGCTTCGATACTTGACGTTTACGGATTACGCTCTTCTCATCGCCATTACATCAACAAGTGTTACAGGTTTACAAGATACCGATCTAATTTGATCTTACCGTAAGCCTCCTACGAAGCCATTTGTCGTATAATTATTTGACTTGAATCAGTCGAGTATTCGTGCCAATAGACCCGTCTCAGAGCATTCAATATCTTCCTATCGCCATCTATTCCGTTTATTACAAGATGTGTACGACAATGCTTGTCAGAGGACCGTGCTGGTGTAAGGACAAGAATGGTAAGAGCAATAATGGTAAGAAAGTTAACCTGTGGGAATATTTGAGACCATGCAACAATGTGAAGGGTGGAGGCTCGCACGATAAGTATGAGCTACCTTTTCAGGGCATAATCCCAGAAATTGAAGAAGGCACTTGTGATAAATGCCTTGACTTGAGAAAAAAAGCGCAAGAAAAGAAATGGGAGGAGGAACAAAGAGCACAAATAGAAGAGGCAAGAAGAGTGGCAGAAGAGCGAGCAGCCCAAGTAGCAGCGCAAGGAGACAATCAAGGAGACAATCAAGAAGAACATCAAGGAGAACATCAAGGAGGATATCAAGAAAACAATCAAGGAGGATATCAAGGAGAATATTAAGGAGACAATCAAGGAGGATATTATGGAGGATATTAAGAAAACAATCAAGGAGGATATCACAAAGGCGATCAAAGAAGCTATCGAGGAGGCAATCAGAGAATCTATCAAGATTCCCATCAAAGTCGTTCTCGCAGAGTTCATCGAGAACGCAATCGCTGATTAGTATCCGGTAGAAGAGAAGCTACAAAACGTTGAAGCTGGAGTAGGGGCGAGCTCTATTAACTTCTCGTTTTGTACAGTTAAATTGGAATTATGCGTTGGACTTTCGTAAAAAAGTACAGAGATTTTATCCTCCGCCCGGTCAGTCTGGAGCGTCGAGTAAAAAAATACAAATCTTTTATCCATTTTTATCAGGTTGTTTGATGTGTAATGCATTGCAGTACCTATGAGTGTAAATTTCGATGTCTCATTACACTTATAACCGATTTCACTCATATCCATCTTCTGTCCATCGTAAGTGTAGTGATATACCTTTATACGACTCTATATAGTCACTGTGATTTCTTACAGGATCGAGTGATTCACGAAGAGCAAGTGCCGGATGCATATCAGAACCCACGTTCATACTCTGTATAACATGCCTTGTTCTATATAACGAACTCCTATCATTCAACAGCTGAATTGCTCTTCGACTTATATGACTCTTTTGGTAGAGGAAAGTCATTGACTTTGAATACACAGAGTTGACTCCCTTCTGATAAATCACCATGACTCTTTTTTTGGAGATGTCCAAGTGACTCTACAAGAAGAGAATCGCAGTGACTGTCTTTCCATAATTCTTAATGACTGTGTGAGCCTAGTATCCTCAGCACAAAAGCGTTCCGTTTCCTCTTGTGGAAGTATCCGACCCTCGATCTTCAACACCATCCACCAATTCGCACAACTTTCAAACTTCGAACATTCAAGACTTCTGGAAATAACATTACTTTCCATCAATATCATACTATTATCCTCGATTACTCGCTGCCTCCACAGTTCTAAGAAATCCTACGTCCCTGTAGTTGCTACAGACCTTCGAATTATCTCGACCGTCATCATCATTGGCATCATCACTATTTGGTTGAATTCGAAGAGCATCCACATCTACCCACGTCTAACGTACAGTAAGAGTTCACAGCTAGTAATATCGGACCCTCTTTGGCTAATGACACTTGTAGATTACTATTTTGATTTGATCGTTTCTCAAAACATCAATTCAAAATGTGTTGTTACTACACAGTGCGAGGATATTGCTGGTGTAACAAAAACAACGGCAAATATGTTAAAGTGAAGCATTCAGACTTACCTTGCACAAACGTGAGTAACGGATACGCTTGTGAGAAGAGAGATCCTGAAATCTTTCACGACTACGGCACATGCGGGGTATGCGAGGGAAAGAGCCCGGAGCAGAGAAAAGCGGAGGCAGCAGCGGAAGCAGAGGAAGCCTACAAACGAGCCGGATTTATCTGATATTCTAGTGAAGGACAAAATGTTGTGAGAGGATCAGGGGTGAGACGAGTCCTATTTGTGTTGTCGGTTTCTTTTGTTTGCATTGGATTTTCAAGGGGTTACTTGTGACGTTACTCGCCCAGTTAGAGGGTCGAGCATTCGGAACAAGTTCAAGTCCTTTTCACATGGATATGCGCTGGGTTTTCGTGGAGGTTAAGGAAGCCCTCTCCTCCGCCTGGAGCGTCGAGTAGAGGAATACAAGCATTTTACACGTTTTAGTCCTGTGCTCAAAAAGAAATATGTGATGCAGTCCATTGCCATGCACGTAGATTTTCAATCCAATATCCAGTAGGACACATATTGGCTCCGTCCTCACTGATGATCTAGGTATCAAAAGTACAGAGATGCATTTCCTACCCCAACCTATCCTGATTTCACTGTGTGCCGTATCGTCAGTATCGTTGATGATGAATTATGAATCTCAATTCAGAGATCTACAACAGTCATCCGAGGGGCTTTGAGTCAAATCAAGGTCATTAAATTCACAATACTCATTGTGCGCCCGAACAAATCATGATAGGCCTACAACCCATGCGGCATATCACGTTTTTTTGTCGAAAATGAGTCAGGGGGGTGAATATAACATCATAGAACAGCATTCAAAGAGCAGAATGAATCTTTTTGTAAAGAAATAAGTTTGACTCCTTTAGAATAATTGTAATGAAATGACTATATGAATATAGCGAAATATGCACAAAAAGCCTTCAGTCCTCTTTCTGTATAGAGATTTCATCCTTCAAACTACAGCACATTTCCAAATCGTCACACTGACTTCCTCGATTATCTTACTGCTTCATATTTACGAACCACTTCCTGTCTCCACGTTCCTGAAAACGCCTACACTTTCTGTGTTTCCTCCGGACTTGCGAGTGAACTCTCAACGTCATTGTCGCTAGCATTATCACATCATTACCCATATCATCATCAAATTCTCGGGACATCCACCGAAGAAAGTTGTTTTGTAATACCGCACTTTTAACGCGACATTCAGGACAGACCGATTCATCGCACTTATAGAATGACTTCAACCATCAGATTTCCTCCCCCTCTGTGCCCAACGTGCAGATTACATATCTATGCCGGACCATGCTTTTATAACGGCAGGGGAGGCGAACTTTTCGAATTATCCAGAGGTGTAATACGATGCGGAATTGGAGTTGATCACCCCCTTCGTGAAGAAATAATACATTATCATAGGAAATGCACATATTGTCAGGGTGAGAAGTCAAAAGCAAAAGAGGGAGATGAGAGAAGGAGGAAAGATGAGGAGAGAGAGGAAGAAGAGAGAGAGGCGCTAGCGATGGTGAGAAGAATAAGACAGAGAGAGAGAGAATCGAGAGAGGAGAAGGAAAGAGAGGAGAAGGAAAGAGAAAGTTGGAAGGAATGGAAATCGGAGAAGAAAAGAGAAAAAGAAAGAGAGGAAAGAATAAGAAAGGAAAGAGAAAGAAAGGAAAGAGAAAGAAAGGAAAGAGAAAGAGAGGAAAGAGAAAGAGAGGAAAGAGAAAAGAGAGAAAGGGAGAAGGAAAGAGAAAGGAGAGAAAGGGAGAAGGAAAGAGAAAGAGAGGAAAGAGAAAGGAGAGAAAGAGAGAAGGAAAGAGAAAGAGAAAGGGAGAAGAGAAGAGAAAGGAGAGAAAGGGAGAAGGAAAGAGAGAGAGAGGAAATAGAAAGGAGAGAGCGAGAGAAGGAAATAGAAAAGAGAGAGCGAGAGAAAGAGAGAAGGAAAGAGAAAGAGAAAGCGAGAAGAGAAGAGAAAGGAGAGAAAGGTAGAAGGAAAGAGAGAGAGAGGAAATAGAAAAGAGAGAGCGAGAGAGAGAGAGCGAGAGAAGGAGGAGCAGGCGAGCTGGGAAAATCGCGAAGTGAGAGAAGCCTACGATGCGAGAATCCAAGGGGAGCTGAGATCAACCAATCATGGAATCGACTACTGGTAGAAATATGATGATTGAGGGGACGCTCCAAACATGAGCATGGATCAGTGATGGGCCCAGTTGCTATGTAGCTATTTGCGTTGGACTTCGATTCAAGGTGTAGAAATGTCAGCCTCCGCCTGGTGCGTCGAGTCAATGAATACATCCATACCTATTGAACATTTTGAACACTTTCTTTCGTGTGCAATTCAGTGCAGTGCATATCAGCATTGACTTGGCTACCGTGTCATACCTAGGTACTCATGGTTGATCCGTTCACATTGATATTATATACGTTGCAAGTGCGCAGATGTGCTTTTTACCTCCACCTTACCTCACCTAACCTAACGTCAGAACATGCTATGTTATGAATACTCAATAACAAGTCTGAGTCCAAGAACCCACAAAAAGCTTTCTGCGTCAGACAAATCCTCAATCAAATTGAGTCAGTAAAGCTATGATAGTCACTGGAAGCTTGGCCAGTCATGCCGGTCCTTCAAATTGTACAGCATACAATTGTTCGGCGAAATGACTAAGGGGTATGAATATTGCATCTAGCACAGGAATGACTCTTTTTGGAGAACAGAATGAGTCTTTTGGTCGAAGAATAAGCATGAGTTCCCGAGAATAAATTCGATAGAATGACTGTATGAGCATAGCGAAATGTGCACAAAAGGCCTCGAGTCCCCTTTCTGTACAAAGATTTTCCCCTTCAATCTACAACAGAATTCCAAAATCTCAAATCGACTTCCTCACATTTCAAGAATAAAAACGACAAGACGTTTCATCAAAACCAGTTTATCAAAACCAGTTTATCATTATTTAATACCCCGCTGCATCGAATCTACGAATCACTCTCTTCCTTCTGTAAGAATATCCACTCTAATTTTCCATGTCAATCCACGATGTCTTTACAGAAAAATTTCAATCATGATCTAACCGTGATAACATAGACCTGCTTCAAACCTATTCGCCTCTCCCATCTATGCGAAATGTGTCTTTTATTGTGTCCATGGAAAGAGTGCGTGTGCAAAAACGCTTTCAGAGACAACACAATTCACAGACTTTGGGTGCCGGAATGCAACCAAATCGAAACATTCTGTCTAGATGTAGCAATGGGTCTGAAAGAGCACACTCCAGAGTTTTGGAAGAAGAAAGAAAATTGTAAAATTGTATTACAGAAATGTGAAGAATGCTGGGTGCGAGTTAACATGATCAAATGGAAGCAAATGGCAGATAAAGCAGCATTGGAAGCCAAAGTTCAAGCAGATAGAGTAAAAGCAAACGCGGCAAACTAAGCAAATTAAGAGTGATTTTCGCGTCATTAGAAGAGGGCAAGGCCATATCGAGGGCTCCAAGAGGTCGGTACGGTATCTGATATTGGAAGGAATCAAAAGTGTTAATGGCAGGCTGGTGGAGAGTCTGGTCATCAGGTCGGTGGATTTTCTTGTTTGCATAGGATTTTGGAAGGGTCAGTCTGATTCATCGTCCTCCGCATAGTCATAGCGTTGAGCTTTGGAATGAGTACAGATCCTTTTTGAAATTCATCTTAGATGAATGCGCGTTGGACTTTTGTAGAAAAGCTTAGTATTGCACCCTCCGTCTAGTCACTAGAGCTAGAGCGTCAAGTCTTCAAAATGAATACAAATTTTCTACATACATTAGTTGTTCAAGAATCAAAACGACAAGACGTTTCATCAATACCAGATTATCATTATTCCATACCCCGCTGCATCGCATCTACAAATCACTCTCTTCCTCCTAACATAATTCACACCTTCTACCGGTACAACAATCCCTCAGTTCAACCTCTCACTGTCATATCAGCATCTTGTCATCAACAAGTTCTCAAGCCTCCCATTTCTATTGATATCAAACTTACGGTGAGATTCCAAGTCTTTGTTTATACGCACTTCAATTGTATACTGAACAAAAACCACTAGTACCATCCTCAAAACTCATCGTCTCTCACCTATTCAAAATGTGCTGGATTGAAGCGAGACATGCACCCTGTTATTGTAACAGAAACATTCGTACTGATGTTCTCGTGGAGACCGTTCTTGTCAAGTGTGTAGAGGCAAGGTTTATAGAACATAATCCGCCACTGGTGCTTCAGGTAAAAGATAAATGGACTTCGAAATGTCCAGTGTGTCAGAGTAAAAAGGCGATTAAAGGAAGTGAGGTATTTGAAGCTGCTACAATTCTTCATAACATGAGAAATGGGAAATAGACAATGACAGAATGTTGATGGCAGGTTGGTGGTGAGACGGTTCACCATCTTGATGTTTCTTTTTTTGGTTTGCGTTGGACTTTCGTAGAAAAGCTTAGTATTGCATCCTCCGTCTAGTCACTAGAGCGTCGAGTCTTCAAAATGAATACAAATTTTCTACATACATTAGTTGTTCATGAATATGTACTTCAAAGTTTCATATAAAATCCATATATCTCCTCAAACATTATAAATCACAACAATAACAACAACAACAACAACCCAACTACGAAATCAAAAAAACCATACACATCATTCATATTAATCAAAATTCGAACAAGAATCCCTTCCCTTCCCTTCCCTTCCCTTCCCTTCCCTTCCCTTCCCTTCCCTTCCCTTCCCTTCCCTTCCCTTCCCTTCCCTTCCCTTCCCTTCCCTTCCCTTCCCTTCCCTTCCCTTCCCTTCCCTTCCCTTCCCTTCCCTTTCCTTTCCTTTCCTTTCCTTTCCTTCCCTTTCCTTCCCTTTCCTTCCCTTTCCTTTCCTTCCCTTTTCTTTCTTCTCATACAACTTATAAAATATAAACCCCTATCTGAAAACTAGCATATAACAATCTAGAGAAAAAATATCTACAAATCTTGAATATTGCAGACTAAATCCAGTCCTGTGTTGTATTGCATATAATATCGATCGTGCAAACTAATCTACTGGTCTGGGAGAAACAAATCATACATATAGTCTACCGGTACTTCTTACACTACCACTTCCACCTCCACTTCCACTTCCACTTCCACTCCCAGATTCCAAAATGACAATTCTGCAACTCTATACATAACCTTATATATGCCCCATATTCCCCCATTCAAATATACATACAATACAATACAATAAATACAAAACCAACTCATAGCAAACACAAAAAGAAAAACTCAAAACTCAAAAACTCAAAAACTAACAAAAAAACAGAAGAATAAGAATCAAGAGAAGGATTGATATATAATTGCCTATATGTATAAAGAAAATAGAAATCATCATAAACCAATTCTCTCCACATCAATGTAGAAATTTGGATAGTGGAGAATCACTTACTACGTGATTATGAAATGCTTTTTCTTGTGGTATATGTATCGAGATTTGGGATACGATGTTGATATTGATGTTGATATTGATGTTGCATTTTCGATTCCATTGGTGCTTGTGATGATGGGACGGTAGTGGGATGGATGGAGGGATGGATAGCATGGTATAGTATAATACATGAACATAAACAAGAACATAAACATGAATAAATTCTCCATGACTCCAAGAAGAATTGTACATGACAGAGTTGAGAAGATACTACTCATCTGTGTGTAACCAAGACGAGAAATTGCAGGTTTCCAATATTGCAACGTGGAGATTAGACAAGTAAGAGCACACACAGTAGGAGACCACTCGATACCAAGGTATTCCTTTTCGTTCTCTAGATTGCATGCTAACATCATTACTTGCATCAAAATTCTGTTCAATCTATTCCCCTTGTAGAATCTAGTAATTGACTTGGGGGGGTGGGGACCCCATGTGTCTAGGTATCTGCACATCTCACAGTCGCAGCACTAATGTAAAAGATCTGTCGGGCGTACAGGAAGCAACTAGCCCTCGACAAGATCGAGGGGACTTGGAATTTCCCGCCAGCAAAACTCTCATCTCCATGCCAGTCTCAAACGCAAAACATAAGGAGCGCCAACGAGACTTCGGTACATGAAGCATCTAGACCCCGGATTCAAGACTCCTTGTGACCATCCTCGCCTGTTTTCTCCTGATTGCTAGTGGCAGCATGCGGATTCGTCTCGGGCTGCGCCGAGCCCTGAGCCTCGAAGCTCGCTAGGAGATCGTCTATCTTCTTTTCGAGGTTGGTGAGGTTAGATTCGAGCATCTGTGCTGTCTTTTCGCCGCCTAGAAATCGCGTTGTCAGGGGTCATTCGATCGAGACGACGATGTGTGAGTTATGCAGACTAGGTGAAGAGACGCATGTCTAATATTCAGGGTCGCGTGGCAGAGGGTATAACGCAAAGGGAAGACTATGACAAGAAACCATTGGTGGAAAACGCACGTTGAAGTTCTTTCAAGGCCTAGAATTGGGGAATGGTTAGACAGGGGTCTTTCAGATGCAGTTCTGGACTGTTGGGGGCGTGGAAGCTCAGGATGGCATTCTCTCTCCGAGACGGGTTTTCGCATTACATATTTGAGAATGCCCATGGGAAAAGGGTGAGGAAATCTAGAAGTACATGATGGATCACACGGGAATCTGCGAACGGACAGGAAGCGTCTGTACGGTGTATGTGGACGCGCAGGTATGCAAAGACATTTGGGTGGTGAAATGACTCGAGAAGCAGAACATGTGGAAATCGAGCAATCATGATCAACATACCTGGGCTAAATCTGCATCTGAGGTGGCAACATCACCATTTTCGGAAACGGCCTTGGTGTGATTGTTTGATGAAGACATTGTGTTTGTGATTTGATTGAATTATCGTCTCGAGGAACACTTAGGACTTGGGACGTTTCGGAAGCACGGTGCGTTAGGTTATCGATAAGTTGGTGGTTTGATGGTCAGCTCAGCTCAGTGCAGTGCTTGCCTTGCCTACCTAGGTAGTGCTTGGGTCTTAGTTACTTGGCGTCGGCAATCGGATCGTTTTAAGCTGGGAATGTATGTTAGAAGTTCGCTTGGACCCAAAATGGAAAAGCAGGTATGTATCGACTTTGATGGACGGAGGAGATACGAGATCTTTCGCAGGTAAATGGGGGTTTCTGTTGATGGAAATGGGCAAATGAGTAATAGAGTAATAGAGTAATAGATGGGGGACAAAGAATTAAACTTTGGCATCGTACCATCATGCCATGTTTCATGGGAGTCGGACATTTCAACATCACCTTATCTTGCCCCGGTGTCATTCATGGCTTATACTTGGTCATCTTACGAGTACAAAGAGTGGCATTCCCAGTTGCTATCAATGCTCGAGGAGATGGATAGGATAGGATAGGATAGGATAGGATAGTAATCATCAATCAAGATATGTCAATGGTAATCTAGTTACCTACTGGTGACCTGGTACATCGTACATACCTCGTGCTCATGTATACTTCGTACACTCCCACAACATAAGCAATGAAAGAAATCCCATGACGCCGACACAGATCGAAGATAATTAGTGCAACAACAATATAAGGATCTATTTCCGATCATCGATCTTATTTATTCATAGGAGAAACTTTCCGACCCCGACCTTTCTCTCATCTTGTGTAACCCAATGTGGTTCTTTCCTTGTCTTTCTCATGCTTGATTGGGTGTACCTACCTAGGCGAGCTAGGTAAAGAAAGAAAGAGAGAAAGACATGGGAATGAAAATGAACATGGAAATGAACATGGATATTTGAATAGGCAGATTATGTGAAGGATCGCATTTTCCCAACAGTTCGATGGCTTGCTTGCTGACTTGGCAGCCGGTGGTCTCTAGTCCTCTCTCTACGCACGTCCTGGCAAAACGATGATTTTATTAACTTTTGGGTGCCACCACCTGCATAACGTCACGAGTAATGGGAATCAAAGTATAATTCTTGACAGCGTGCTGGTGAGAGGGTTTTGAAAGGTTTGATGGGGTAAAACAGTTTGACCTCACTAGACCCAATGTAGTATGGAATACACGTGGAAGTCAACAGAGAAGGAAAGTTTAAACAAGACACTGCCTACTTGCTAGTTGCTAGTTGCTACTTGCTACTTGCTACTTGATACTTACTACTTGATACTTACTACTTGCTACTTACTACTTGACTGTGATGAAGATGCTAGGTAGCTCGATGTGGAAGGATGGAACCGAATATATTAAAGAAGGAATTGAAAACGAATTCCAACAAAAAGGCATATTTCACATATTTCAAATATTTCACATATTTCACATATTTCACACCAATACCTTGCAAGACTACCTAGTATCTACCTGTGGAACTGTGAACGGGAGATCGTACCTCGGGCCTATCCAGCTAAAGTTAACCGGAATTCTTAGTTGTACGGACTCCGGCCATGCATTGCAGGTGGGTGTGGGTGTTCGGTATCACATCTCAATGTGGGCACTGGGCACTGGGCACTGGGCGCTGGGCATTGTGGGCAGTGATGATGTATCTTCGTAGGTATCTATCGGTCAATCACGAATCACGATTAATCATGCCATTTTTGAGAAACGGATATCAAATTCCAATGTCGGTGCTTTGATGTGCGATGTGCGTCGATACCTCCATACACTTTTTGCGAATAATAAGCTTATTGGGTTACTTAGCTAGATATCCATCAATGAGGGCGCTCATTCTGATTAATATACCCATCCATCAAATCCATCATGGGGATGATCTGGAATGTTGGGATGCAATTTGATAGGCAGTCAATATCATCCATCCCCAGTCGTGATGACATGAAAAGTATTCAAGATTCAAGAATGAGCGTTGCGTGAGAATACGGTAGACCGCAATGACTCAAGTGAGCAAGCGACATCGACGATTGGAAAATCGATTGGCCGACAATGCACCATGGCCTTACTTCATCCACACTAACCCAACTACCGGTCTTCACACGGCCACGAAACATCGTCATTCGAATCCGATGCTCCTGAACTTCAATCTTGTTACCGTTTATATCACGTCCTATGGAGGTAGGGGGGCAAGTAATATGGATGGTCCCAATCTTACACATCCATCCATCCATCCATCCATCCAGTGCGCCATCCTCGATGACTCCCTTTACATCGACGTTGAATCTCTGGGTGATGAAGAGTAGTTGCCACATGGTTGTTTCACAGTTACCTTGTTACCATAGAACCTTGACATCGGGGAATTTATGGAAGAGTGAGATTGAGATTGAGAGTGGGAGATGGAAGGATGGAAAGATGCAAAGATGCAAAGATGCAAAGATGCAAAGATGCAAAGATTGAAAGCTCTAGAATTGCTGTCGCTAGAATCTAGATGCCTACCATTCTCGTACTGTACTGTACTCTCCTCCTCTAACCACATTGAGTAGGAGTTCTGGGTGTGTGGTAAAAGCTGTGAGCTGTGAGCTGTATGTATGGTACAAGATCTCGAGTGCTAATAATAACCTGACTGGGGAAATGGGAAATGGGAAATGGCAAATGGGAAATGGAAGTCTCTCGGAGGAGAGGTAGTACTAGGGAGGTCGATACCAGATGGGTACAAAGTAGATAGGTACGTCGTATTCTACACGCATCGACAACTGCTCTCATATGGAATGAAGCTTCGGAGATAGTCCGATCTTCAAATATCTGATATAGCTATCTAGGAGTATCTAATAAATTACGATATTCGGTAAGATGCATGCAGGTGATGCATCTTAGTGGGTAGTACGTACTACGTATTTATGTAGGTATTTATGTTATGTATCTATATTCTATATATCGACCAGGTACCTGAGGCATATGGATGTTGTTAGTTTTTGTCATTGTAAAAGTCCGTACAATCGACCAATGAATGAAGTTCAATGAACGAACGAACGAATGGATGGATACCGGTAGAATGCGTCCGTCGACTCTGTATGTATACACTTCTGTAAGGAGGTGAATGTACCTACTGCCTGTCTACCTATCTATCTATCTACCAACCTACCTATATATCTATCTATCTATCTATCTATCTATCTACCAACCTACCAACCTATCAACCCACCTACTCAAGTACTGCACTAGTATCTAGTTTATATATACACAATACAAATACTAGGTTATATACACAATACAAATACTAGGTAATATACATAATCCGAGAGCATAAATTACTTCATCATCAAGACATCTTCTCGTGTCCTCCAACCTACCTACTCCCAACCGACTGAAGCAGGTGTTCTTTCATTACCCAGTCGGTATTTCTTTACCCAAATAGGTCAAGCGCCAGCATTCCCCCAATCCTGGAAAATCCAGAAAAGAAAAGAAAGAAAAAATTAGGGAATTTTTTTTCCAACGGGATCTCATTGCCATTAGCGTTTGATGAATCTCGGAATGCGAATCGAGAAAACAAATGTGGCATCGGTGAACTGTGCTTCTCTGCCTTCTCTTGCTTCTTTTTTCCAATGCCCATGGCTCCAATTCCCCGTCCCTGCATCGTCCCAGCATGCTGAGTCAGCCGTGTGAATCTCGATGACAACCGTCCACGGTGCAGTCGGTTTGGAAAATTCTCTTCCTTTCTTCATCATTTTCACCTCATGCCTCACTCGCCTCACATCCTTTCCACCTCTGACACAGTACCGTACTGGACTCTCGTGCCCTCTTCACCTACCCGGTACCTAGTCTGGTAAAATAAGCTCCTATTTTATCTTTTATTGTCCGTCACTTTATTGGCTTCTTGCTCCTCATTCGTCCGTAGTCCTTGGTCCTCGCAGTCCTCGCAGTCCTCGCACGCAGTCTTCTCTTCCACGCCTAGTTCCTATTGTCAAACCCACTCATTCGACTGACTTTCATCCACTCATCATATAGAGAATTTCACACCCAGATCTCGAGATCTCAAGACCTCCTCCGTACCAGCAAGAAAGGAAAGGAAAGGAAAGAAAGAAAGAAAGAAAGGAAGAAAGAAAAAAAAAAAAAAACAAGAAAAACAACACCCCCCCAAAAAACCATTCAGGCATAAGCAACGAAGACGCCTATTTTACTTTATTTGACTTTGTTTTATTTCTTTCATTTATTTAGTAATTTTGTTTGTTTATAGTACTCTTCTCAAACCTTCTTCTTCCTTGAACCTCTTTTTATATATTTTTATATACCTTCTTGGGTAATTCTTGATTCATTATTCCCCCCTCCCCCCTCCCCCCCCCCTCTCTCTTTTTTGTCATCCATCATTTATTTATACTTCTCTCTCTCAAGATACCATCATTCGCCGCTACTTGATATTTTATATCACAGAGCCATTCAATCCCTTCCAATACCATCCATACCATACATGCGTACATCTTCACTACACAATTTCCAATACCCGAATACCCATTCAAAGTCTCTTCTGTTCTTCAATTAGCGCTCGCTCATACACGCATGAATCGATTGAATCGAATGAATCGCATCTGTCGCATCGATCGCATCTATCCCGTTCTTCTTTTTACCCATCATCCATCCTGTCCTGTCCACCTTTTTACACAGTCCTAGAATTATACCGAAATCGATTGCTCTCCGCCACAAGCTCTCTCATCTTCCCTTTACTCCACCGTGGGAGATAAATTCTTTCATACCATCACTCAAGATTCACGACCCACTGCTGAGGTACTCTTACTCTCTCCACCTACCTAGCCATTCTTCAATTCTCCGAAGCAGGTATACTTCCATACTTCTCAAACATTTGCCTGCCCTAGGCTTGCCCCTCTCCACCAGTCACATCTATAAGCCACCGTCGATCTCGCATGGCACCTAGGAATGTTTATGAGAATACTATGTTTTAGGCCCCGCATGAATTTCTGGCTAATACTGATGTGAAGTAACGCATTGCAGGAAGAGCAGCAGTCCAAGTATCTTGATCGAGATCAATCTTTTCATCTGATCCCGCTTTCACCAAGCCCTTGTCATTCAACCATATTCCGCGAAGTAACCCATTGAGAAATACCATCTTCATAAATCACAACACGTCGAGTCACATTCACCTTTGTCTTCGTATCTCAATAGTCAATCAACCCTTTAACACTGCAACCACATGATAAGGACGGAAGAGTGGACAAACCTTCATGGTCAATATTGCATCTGATCCTTACTCCTTTGACGACATTCTCTTCTCTCAATCGCTTTATGAAGGAACCAGATATTGGCATTACAAAGAGAGATTACATCTCAGCAACTTTCCGAGAGATCCAATACACAACACAGCCTCGAAGCTAGAAATCCATACGAAAATCCGCCATTCGACACACAAAAATAATCCTTCGTCATAGGTGGATAGGGCATCTTATCGTAGGAAATTGGAAAAACTCCCACTAACATTTCTGGACACAAAGATCCAGAGGCAGCCTGCTGTATGACGACTGAGTTGTCGGAAATCTTTGCGGAGTTGGGCATCTCTCATTACCTCCTCAACTTCGTCGAGCAGGGGTTTGATACATGGGATACAATACTCGACATCACGGAATCCGACTTCGATGCTCTCGGTGTGAAACTCGGCCATCGTCGGAGACTCCAGAGGAAGATCGCTCATTCAAGGGGTCTATCATCGGATAGGGCTCTTGCATCTCCGACTAGCACAACACCCGATACTCATGGAGATGAGCCGAAAGCAGTAGGGAGAGACGCTAAGGAGGGGAGTAGTGGGCCGCATGGAGCAAAGAGAAAGTATAGGAGACATCCCAAACCAGATGAGAGTGCACCAGAGCGGCCTCCTTCGGCATACGTCATCTTTTCAAACAAAATGCGCGAAGATTTGAAAGGACGTGCCTTGTCGTTCACTGAAATCGCCAAGTTGGTCGGCGAAAATTGGCAGAATTTATCGCCAAGCGAGAAGGAACCATATGAGCACCAGGCATACACAGCAAAGGAGCGTTACAACAATGAATTGGCCGAATACAAGAAGACACAAAATTTCAAAGACTATTCGCAATACCTCGCCGACTTTAAACAAAAGCAAAACCAACAACTAGCGACTGAGATGGATGTTTCGAAAAGACCCAAACTCGAAGCCCATGCGAGTACAGCAAGCAGCGGAACAGCAAGCAGTGGCGGTAGTCAAACTGGTGTGGATTCTTCTATGGGTCGTATGCGTGTAGATTCCTCTGCATCTTCGATGTCTCAATGGCGTCCATCAACCTCACCCTCCTCCGCTGCGTTGACGCCAGTATCCAACATGTCAGCCGTGCAAAACAATCCAAAAGTGTCAGGGCTACAGGGAAGGATGGGTCCAGGATCACCAATTGAGATGCCAACAGTCCTTCCTGGTTATCGTGAGTCCATGTTGGGGTCAGGTGCGCACCATTGGCGAGAAGATCATCGCGATGAAGGCACCAATGGAAAACAAACATCACACGGAGCCGCTGGCGAAAGGCGCTTCAGTCAATCAAGTCCTATCACTTCCGCCCTACAAGATCCGCATTCGATCATGAACGACTCAAAACAGCATCGTCGCAATCTTCAAAGTAATCTGAATCCTACGCCACCATCACTAACCTCGGAATCAACGGTACAGTCTACTAGTTCCACAAACAGTAATTCTTCCATGTATGGTGGACCTCGGACACCTTTAGAACCAGACTTCAATCGGGCTCTTCCGATTCCCACATTATATCCTTCAAGATCCGGAAACTACGAAGGACATTTGCCATTTTTATCGGCGCCTCCAACTCTATCGACCCAAAACTCGCTACTTGGTAGTCAGCAATCACCGAAAGGTTCGTGGCAATCTATTTATTTTTTTCGTCTTGCTTCATCGATTTCGTAGTTACTGGTAGCTAATCAAATTTAGTAGTCAATCAACCGCAGGATTTTCCTACCACAATGCCGCCTATGCGAAGATATAGTGAAATTCCCCAAAGTATCTCGAACGCTATGGGTAGTACTATTGGCCGATCCGACGTAGCGAGACCCGAAAAACGGTCCATTGATAATCCGCCACCTCAGCCAATCAATAATTACGGTTTGGCCGGGGAAGAGGTCGACCTTGATCCTATCAACGCTTTATTGAGAGCAGGAGAAATAGTGAATCGTAACAGCCGTGAGAGGCAACTTTGATCGTTGATAAATCTTCAAATCTCTCAAATGGCTTGAAGCTTTTGGTAGATGTGGAGACTGAAAACGGATATGTTTGCATGAAATTTTTCTCGGGAGTCTTTTTTGGCGTACGGGATCTGGGTTTTGAATGGAGCCTGGAGTCGTTGGGACATGGAGGATACACAAGAATGTGTTTTTCTCAAAAGGTCTTTTATGACATACCTGTCCTTGTTACTAGACATGAGACTGTATTGTATGATTTCAAATATGATTTTAAAGGTAAACTGGATTGATGGTCGAATATGGATGGATTCCCGAAAAGAACTTTCAGGGCACTTGGTAACGAGGAGATGATTGTCGGATTTTGGATATATATTTTTACTCTTTGGTTGTAAGCGAAAATATTCTATATCTAGGTGCTGATCGATGTACATAGGACATTGGAGCGATGGACTGAAGGAAAAGGATACTTTAGGGCCAAGTTGAGAGAGAGAGAGAGAGAGATCGGAAGCGAAGCCGTTTCTTAATGATCATTACATTAGATGCGGGAGATCTTCTGCAATACTATGCATATTGTTTTATTATACCGTGTTTTTTTTGGAATTCAATACCCTTATGATATTCAATTTTATATTTTTTTTCCAAGCTTGCTTATTGAGAGAGTATACAAAAAAGGGCTGTGAAATTTTGAGGTGGATGAATTATTCTTTTAGTTGGTAGGTAGAAATTTGAAGGTCGATATATGTGTAATATACAGAGATACGTATATTCGAATCAATTATTATTATTATTATTATCATTATTGTTGATTGTATTTTGATCGGAATAGATGTTGAATGTGGTGAGTGATGAATGATGAATGATGAATGATGTTGATTTACTAGTGTTTTAGTGTTGAGCTTTATATTTGGGGTTTGGATTTTTAAGGAGAAATGGTGAAGGGGATTTGTTTCGTTTTGTGGTTTCTAGGTTGATTGGTTGGTTAGGAGAGAGGTTAGGAGGGAGGTTAGGAGGGAGGTTAGGAGGGAGGTTAGGAGGGAGGTTAGGAGGGAGGTTAGGAGGGATGTTAGGAGGGAGGTTAGGAGGGAGGTTAGGAGGGAGGTTAGGAGGGAGGTTGTTCTGCTTGTTGTCAAATCTCGTACTGGGATAGGTAGGTAGGTAGGTAGGTAGGTAGGTAGGTAGGTAGGTATCTAGTGAATTGTTGAGAAGATGTATGGATGGATGGATGTATGGGGGAGAGGGAGAGGGAGAGGGAGAGGGAGAGGGAGAGGGAGAGGGAGAGGGAGAGGGAGAGGGAGAGGGAGAGGGAGAGGGAGAGGGAGAGGGAGAGGGAGAGGGAGAGGGAGAGGGAGAGGGAGAGGGAGAGTGGGGTTATTGGATTATGGGAGTATGGGATTATTGATGGGTGTTTTTTTGTGTTTTTTTGTGTTTTTGTAATGGAATAGGGTTTGTGTCAGTTTAGTTGCTGGGGGTAGGAGAGGAAGGAGGAGGGGGAGGAGTGGGTGGGAGTGGATGGGAGTGGGCGGAGTTTGCATTATGTTGATTTTGGTTGGGTTGACTCGACTGGATTACATTGCATTGGGATAGTATATATATATCTATATATATAGATATCTAACAATATCTCCTTCAATCAAATTTAACAATTTACAGTCTTGATAATCCTATATATATAAGAGAGATGGGAGATAGGAGATGAGGGGTAGTGATAGAAATCTAAAGATGAAAAATGGGAATGGGTGGGTTTTAGGAGAGGGGAAGGGAAGGGAAGGGAAGGGAAAGAAAGGGGTGGGAAGGGGTGAAGCGAAAAATTTATGTTTTTTTGAGGGGGGTAAGTATTTATTGAGAAATCTTTAATTGATTCATTGGATTGTTTACTTGAATAGGTACCTAGGTACTTGATTAGATATTAGAAAGAGATATTATTTGTGAGTTTAGATATTAGAAAGAGATATTATTTGTGAGATTTGTGAGAGGAATGTTTGTGAGCTATTTGTTTATGAGAGGAATGTTTGTGAAGGGAATATTTTTATATAGATGATTTTGTAGTAGGAATGAATAATTTGATAATGTATGTTTGGTTTGGATGTGGTTAATTGATGGGATGGGATGAGATAGGGTGGAATGGAATGGAATGGAATGGAATGGAATGGATGAGGTGGATGAGATGGATAAGATGGATAAGATGGATGAGATGAATGAGATGAATGAGATGGATGAAATGAATGAGATGGATGAGATGGATAAGATAAATGAAATGGATAAGATAGAGAAGATGAATGAGATGAATGAAAAGAATAAGATGGATGAAATGAATAAGATGGATGAAATGGCTGAGATGGATGAGATGGATGAGAGGATGAGATGGATAAAATGAATAAGATAGATAAGATAAATGAGATAAATAAAATGAATGAAATGAAGAAAATAAATAAGATAAATAAGATGAAGAAAAAATAAAGAAAATAAATGAAATAAATAAAAATAAATAAAGAAATAAATAAATAAATAATAAAAGAAAGAATAAATAAATAAAATAAATAAAATAAATAAAATAAATAAAATAAATAAAATAAATAAAAGAAATAAATAAAATAAATAAAATAAATAAAATAAATAAAATAAATAAAATAAATAAAATAAATAAAATAAATAAAAATAAATAAAATAAATAAAATAAATAAAATAAATAAAATAAATAAAATAAATAAAATAAATAAAATAAATAAATAAATAAAATAAATAAAATAAATAAAATAAATAAAATAAATAAAATAAATAAAATAAATAAAATAAATAAAATAAATAAAATAAATAAAATAAATAAAATAAATAAAATAAATAAAATAAAAAAAATAAAATAAAATAAATCAAATAAAATAAATAAAATAAATAAAATAAATAAAATAAATAAAATAAATAAAATAAATAAAATAAATAAAATAAATGAGATAAATAAGATGAATGAGATTGATAGGATAGAATGAGATGAAATAACTATATGTATGTATTTATAGAGTAAGTAATTAAAGAGAAATAGAGCTATAATATTAGAATTATTAAGCATATATCTACCCTAGATAAGGTTTTAACTTTGAGATTTGTAATCGTAATAGTAATAGTATATATTGATTGAGAAGAATACAACAGCCGTAGTACTTACGTATTCATCGGTCCTCAACTGTCCTATATTCTATTTTATCAAAAAAGCTAGCTATGTAGAAAAGTAGTAGGTTAAGGTTATATACCTAGGCATTATTGAAAGAGCTAATCTCTTTTGTATTCGTTCAATCTCTTTAATATAGTAGTTATTATATTGAGTTATCTTAAAGAATATTCTTTTTTATTATATAATCTTTAATTAGAAATTTATACATACTATCGTTATAAGAGAAATCCTCTATATATATTATAATAATAATAATAAATAATAATAATAATATAATAATAATAATAATAATAATAATAATAATAATAATAATAATAATAATAATAATAATAATAATAATAATAATAATAATAATAATAATAATAATAATAATAATAATAATAATAATAACGATAGGATTGAAATTTGGGGTTTAATTTTAAAAAAAAAAGAAGGGTTGTAATATAGAATAGAATTAATGAAAACCAATGAATAGTCTGAATAGGTAATCTTACGAAATATAGACAAGAGATTATATATAAATGTCTCGAAATAATCTCGAAAAGAGTCTACTATTCAAAAAAGCATTTGCAAGTTGTAATAAATTATTAACATATACGAAGTTCATTTGTATCTAACAATGAGATGAATGTATATAAAAAATTAGGAGTAGTAATTTACGCGAGAGCGAATAGTCTTTTAAGCGAAGCTCCAAAAAGGTCGGAGAAAATGATATAATAATAAACGTTAAACAATCTAAAACAACAGAAGTGAAGCAACATTTTGGTGTCTCGAAGGGATATGTAATTTGATTCAACTTTTCAAATGTGTTCCATTTGGAAAAGTGCTCCATCATCAACCTGTGCCTTTCCATTCGTTTCAACACTTGGCTCTTTCCCCTCAACTTGCTGTGCCCACCTCTCTGGCATGATTGCCTTGAAATCAAATGTGCCCTGTGCACTTCTAACCACTTCTCCCTTCTCCGTAATGACCGCATCAATATACATACTTGGCGTAACATCAAAACTTGGATTCCAAACATTGATTCCTTGGTGGGCAATGGCCACCCTAGCCGTCGAATTGACATCTACATGTCCATCTTTCCCTACTATGGCTCCACTTATTTGAGTAAGCTCTGTTGAAGCGCGATCTTCAATTTTTATATCTGCTCCTGAAGCTGTCTCGAGATCTATACTTGTCGTGGGTGCGGCAACTATAAATTTGATATTATGAGCTTTTGCAAGGACTGCGAGAGAATAGGTTCCGATTTTATTGGCTGTGTCCCCGTTACGGGCCACACGGTCTGCGCCTACAATGACAGCAGATATATTTTTGATGTCTTTCATCCGGGCGAATAGAGCACCGGCCATAGAATCTGTGATGAGTGTTGAGGGAATCTTCTCGTACACAAGCTCGAAGGCAGTAAGTCTGGAACCTTGGTTATAAGGACGAGTTTCAGTACAATAAGCGCGGTCCAAATAGTTCATTTTGTGCAGACTGCGGATTATACCCAAGGCGGTGCCGTGACCTGAAGTAGCTAGAGAGCTAAAGAGATTGTAAGTAATTTTGCCCTATTCGACAAGCAGAAAGATACAATTAGTAGACATACCCAGTATTGCAGTGTGTGAGAACACTCAACTTTCTGTAAGTCTTGTCCATTGCTCCTTGTGTGCATGGCGGACTTGTTGTAAAGAATTTGGATGGATCGTCATTATTTTCTTCTCCAATTGGCATCTGTTGTCGTCTTAGATATTCTGCTCCATATCTGCCAATTGCTAAGTTCGTAGTAAGATCGTCTTCCAAGATCTTCTCTGCTGCAACAATATATCCGTTTCGAACATCCGCACAGGCAACATTGTCATCAGTTGCATCTGTAATTTGTGCCGCATTTTGAGAGACCCGTTTGAGAAGTTTGATAGCATTTGAGAGGTCGACGGCAGTTGGTCTACTACCCAAGAGATAATCGAGACGTTTGTTGATGTATTGGACAGTTTCTTGTTTCGTCTTAGAATCTGAGACCATCCATGTTAGCCAGCTATCACATGCAATTAAATCAGTCTGTATGAAGTACCAACCATCTTTCTTATGATGAAGCTCTACGGCCAGCGCAAGAGCTGCCACAATCGCGATTGCTGGGGCTCCTGATAAAACACTTAGCCATCAAAGCTCATTATGTTTACCAACAACAGAGCAGTAGATACCTCTCACGCGCATCGACTTGATTGAATCAAATGCCTCTTCACAGGTAGAGACATTATCATAAACAAACTCATGCGGAAGTCTCAACTGATCTAAAACTTCTAGTCTTCCTCTGCCATATTTAATGGCCTCTAAACCAGCCATCTTTGAACTGTCTGGTGTTTGTTGAATTTTGGCGAGGATGAGATATTTGAATGTGTATTGGGAATGGAATCGGAATCGGAATCGAGCAGAGCGAAGTGAAAATAAGATAAACGAATGCTTTATTTATATGCAGCTTAACAGTTTCTATATATGGAAAGAGAAATGAACTCTCGTACGCAGTTCCGAGGCAATCTCATGCAATCGGATTCTTGAATTGTTAAGTGTACACTGAAAGGCAAGGGCGAGAGGGTGAATATAAACGTGGGTAAATGGTTAAAGCGCCAACAAGGTTTTGTTTTGATAATAAAATTTTACGGAAAGACCCCGCCCCCGCCATGCCAAAATAAGGCGGTGAAAGATCAGCAAATTTCCACTTATTAAAGAAACCTTGAACGCTTGCATTTTCTCTTTCCAATTTTATAGTCACGTTACCACTGTCCCCTCGCCATGTTTATTTTTCATATCATTTGTACAGTTATAAAATGAGTTTTCTCCTATTCTAGGACTTTCTGATTATCTAAATTCATTCAATTGGCCATACTCAAGGTATATTAAGGTAAAAATTATGATACTGCAAGAAATTTGGATGATTAGGGGAGGGGAGATATATATCACAACATGGCGCCAAGTAGCTTCGTGTCGATATGAAAAGAAAACTACATACCTTTCTCGTCTGTATATCGAGGTTCTTATCCTCTGACACAATTCCTTAGTCTCAGGTTGGCGAAGTCGTCGGGAAATACATCAAGTGTCTGTTATAACCAAGCCTACTCTCGAGCAAGCGGTTAAAAAAAGGCCTACCGACATTGCGGCGTGCCAACTCTATGACCTATTCAGACCATCTGGGCTTGCGGATAGATCAGAAGTCGTGCTGATTCTTCTAGATTATGGGAGGAATTTTCTTGCATGGTAGTCCTGCTTATGCTCAGATTTCATGGGCGATTTCTTGCCTTCTCATGATGAGAGATTATTTGAAAAGCAGATATTCTGGCCATGAGGGTTTAATGATACGAGTCCGACGATGGATTACAGAACAAGTGAATTTTGACCAGCTTAGACGTTCAATTAAGTCTTATATCTATTGTTTCGCATGATGACATGAGCTCCGATGCCAATAGTAACCTATTCAGCGTCTATGGAGAACTGTGAGATGTACATTATACACACCCCCAGCCAAACTAAAGTCGTATTCAACGCCTTTTATATGTCAATCTATGGTGAGTGCCTTTCGTGTCTTCCTGACTGCTCTCTTTGTATGTGCCTTGATCCGCATTGATGTTGGGGAAAAGAAATGACCGCAGATATAAACGCCATTGAATATCGATTTCGTCATGGTACGGAGCTCGCGAAATTTACAGCAGCGTACTGGACCAACTTGCAGATGAATCACCCTTTTTAATGGGATTAATCAGAATGCGCGATTAAGACTACCCTTCTTCAGCCTTTCAGACGCGTAGCATAGTAACAACATTTTGGAGTATTCGATTACACCAGAAGAGAGATTTGACCATACACCCACACAAGTTTATCATTCAATTCTTATCCACAACGAATTGCAATGATTCTGCGTGTGAGAAGCCCGAATGTTTATCAGTGGATAAATTGATCTACCGCATACACCTTCCGAATTGGTATAGTATGCAATAGTGGGGTCGCAGATATATATGCATTCGTGCAGCTGAAGCTTCCCACACCTACTTGATGAATATCGAAACGTTCATGACCTAGAAAACGCTCAAAAAGTATACCGCCATCGTACCAATTTTGACTCATCTCCAAATTTCTTCAGAATAATTATTACAACTACGAATCTCGCAGCAAACACCACAAAGGCTTTGGCATTCAAGACTGCTTGATATCTTATCCTTCCAAGACTTTGCAATTTCAATTCTACAAATCAGACTTACAGAATCATGTCATTCATCGTCCCTCAGCTTGGTAGCTCACACATACCACTTGCAGTAAGACAAGAAGCTCTTGACCGAGTATTTGCCGACCCTGGAATTCCAGATGCAGTTCATTCAACAAAATCATTTTGGATGAAGGAACCGCATCCCGCTGTTGCAAGTGTACAATCAGAGCACCTACCAAAATTTGCCGATCATGTCATTATTGGTTCTGGAATCACCGGAGCCTCCGTCGCACAAGCTTTGTTGGAAGATCTCGAAACGGCCAGCCCATCAGAAGTTCACTCTTCGTCGCATCCAAAAGTGATCATGCTAGATGCTCGAGATAGCTGCAGTGGTGCCACGGGCAGGAATGGTGGGCACATTTTGGAAACTGGTGAGGAGTATGCCATGCTTAAAGAACGCTTGGGTAAAGAGGAAGCCATCAAAATCCACAAAATGCGCATGTCCCATCTTGAAGCGCTGATCAAAAGTGCGGAAACTTTGGGGTTGACTGAAGAGACACAAGTTCGCAAAGTGCGTTTCTTGAGTGTGTATTTTCACCAAGAAGCTTGGGAAGATGTCCGGAAAGATATTGAGCTTTTCATGGCCGAGATGCCGGATGATTCTAAGGGGTGGGGTTTTATCAAAACCGATGAACTAGCAAAGGTATATATTACTGTAAACTTTCTACTTCACGGCCTTGCAACGCTCGATTCGTGTGAACACTTTTGCTAACTTTTACAAAGGAGTTTGGAATTCCAAATGCTGCTGGTGCCGTAACCGGCATTGCGGGCGCCATGTGGCCCTACAAATTCGTCACTGGACTTCTCGCCCATCTACGAAAACAATTCCCATCAGACTTCCTCCTCGAGACAAACACCTGCGTATCCGAGATCCGCGGAGGCAGTGACGGCTACGAAGTCATGACACCACGAGGAACAATCAAAACCAAACACGTGATCCACTGCACCAATGCCCACATTGGCCACCTGGTCCCGGGCATCAAGGGCTGCATCTTCCCCATCGTCGGACAGATGTCCGCCCAGCCCCCCGGCGACAAATTCAAACCCCAAAGCGACCACTCCTGGATCTTCAACTACGATCGCGGCTTCGACTATCTCACCCAACTCCCCGTCTCCGCCGCTTCGAACGGTGAAATGATGATGGGTGGCGGATACGCCCAGACTCAGGACGGCGGAATCCACGAAACGGGTGTGAGCACCGATGCAGAATTAAACATGTACGCGAACATCCATCTCCGCGGCGTCCTCGGGGCCGTCTTCGCGCCCGAAAATTGGGGCGCCGTAAACGACCCCGCCGTATCGGCAATGTGGACGGGAAATATGGGATTCAGCAGCGATGGGCTCCCATGGGTAGGCAAACTGCCCGCATCTCTCACGGAGCGGAGCCTAACCACCGCGCGCGGAGCCGAGTGGGCGGCCGCGGCCTTTTCCGGCGAGGGAATGGTTCACGCGTGGTTATCTGGGAAGGCGCTCGCGCACATGATTTGTTCGTGGAAGGCGAGTGAGAGTGCGGATGCTGCTGTTCCAGAGTGGTTTCCGGAAGCGATGGTTATTACGGAGAAGCGGTTGGGGAGGTCGAGGTTAGCGCGAGATGCGCAGGAGGAGGCGGAACGAGTTTTATGATGTGTGATGTATGAGATATGAGAGATGATAATGAGCTATGTATGTATCTGCATGATCGTTTGATAATATGTATAGATCATCTTAATCAATGCATTTTATCAATATCAAATCCCTAGCATTCTCATTCTCCTCCTGAAACATAAACCGAAGCTCCATGATTAAAAGTATTACTGGTCCGACCGCTCGCTTCACTTCACCCTCTCAACTTATACCAGAGCAGTCCTCGCCCCGGTAGCAGTAAAGAGAAAACTCTCTAGAATATCCATTGAGTCCGTCGTATTTTCTCCATCCAGAAAAAGCAACATGCCGCAAAATGTAAAGTCGAAAAAAACAACTAGGGGATCTGAGCAAAATTATTCATGGTAGAGGACTCATGATTCATGTGATTTCTGCAGGAAAATCAGATAACCTTAGGCGAGGCCGTTCCTTTTCCACACTATAACCATGGAAATGGAAATATAATTACAAATCCTTGCTAGGCCGCCTAGATTCAATACTAAGCAACTGCCATACGAAAGACGAACGATGTATCTTTCAGACAATTTTACGAGAAAAAGGCAGGAGGAGTGCGGTCTAGCATGAAGAGTCCACTTCGTCGCTCGGTTACAATCCTATATGCGCTAATCTATTTTCTATTTTCTAGCGAATGTGTTAATGGTTAGCTCCGAGTAAGGAACCCAGATTTCATACGTCTATTCCATCTTGAACAGTGGCTCACTTAAATAAAATGTTGCACCAGGACCGAAAAAGATATTCTCTAGGGGGAACGAGCCTCAGAATAGGCTTCATTGGTCATAAAAATTTGTTTGCTGCAAAGAATAACTCTGATCAACTTGAATTTATAGAATTATCAAAAAGCTTGCAATTGCCAATCTGTACCATACCTCTTTGTTCATATCAGCGCCGATCTCAAAAGTCAATACCCACTGCTCCTATTCTCCTATTGTCGCAACCCAATCCATGGAATATGCGTCTATCCCAATGCTTCAAAGCTATTGAAACAAGCCTTCAAATTTATGTTTAAAAACACCGTATACCGAGTCACTGGACTAGTTATGCATCAATACCTGAGCTTTTCCCTTTATCCTCAGAATGGTTGTCAGTTGGGTCTGCTGGTTTTGCTCCCCACGCCCATGGCATCCAATTCCCACTGGATGTCGTCCTCTCCATCATTTTTCTTGCTTTACCGACTTCTTCCGTCCCACTATCTGCATCGATTTTTTCAAAATCAGGCTCACTCTTTCTTGAGGTCATTCCGCTCATGGAGCTCTTTGGTCGATCGAGGTTATCATCTTCGCTGCTAGTGCCATCAAATGACATACTGGAAATATTTCTCGGGACACGTTTTTCATTTTGTAGTGTTTGCGCCTCCTTGTCCAAAGCTGAAAGAAGGATTGAAAGGCGTTCGCGCTGTGCTTGGATGAAAGTCATACGTTCACTCCCAGATACATGAGGAGGTATCAACATCCCACTGTTCGAAAGATCACGAGTATCCGATCCACCGGTAGCAGCGTTGGAGGAAGTAGCAGCGGAAACTGCTGAAGCAAGGAGGGAGTAAAAGTCTGTCGCACTGCTAGCAGCACCTCCGACAGGATTTAATGGGAATGAAGGTCTAGCAGATGGTAGATTGAAGCGTGCCATAAGACTTTGTGTATATGAATAGGTGGAAGGTGTTGATGGTGGTGTGGGTTCTTTGGGCGGAAGACCAAAGACCTGCTGCCTAATCAATTCTATAGCTTGTTTGAGATATGTCATACCAGCGGCTTTTGCGCGTTCATGAGCAGAAGCTATGAAATCATCGATGGCGAGCTCATTATTGTGAAGCCATGGGTGAACGTGTGTTTGATAGAGGACTCTTGCGCCTTGGGTTTGAGGGAGGATAAGGTAGAGAAGGAAACCGAGTCGAAACCACGAGTAGAAAGGTATCCTAATTGAAATTTATTGTTAGAGGGATTTTTGTGAGTGCGATTTCGTGAAAGAGATGGCTGCGAACCAAACTAGTATAAACCCAACCCAAGATTCAGCGAACAAAGCGATCGCAAGTACCACCCAATACATAAGCCATGGTGTTAATAATGCCGGATCCGAGGTCTTGAGAGCTTTGTAGGATGCGAACACTGGAAAAAGAAATGTAGGAACAGAACTAAAGTCTTCATTAGTATATGGTTAATATATAATATTGTTGCTGTTACTTGGGTATTCTGGGCAGTTTGTGAATCTATAAAGGCGGGGTATTACTTACGATAAGAGCCTTGCGAATGTATCGAACATGATCGGGTTGGGGGCTCAATCTGATTGTCTGGTAAAGTCAAGAGCGATAGCTAGGTATACGAGGTACTACACGATTTAATGCTTTTGATAATAAAAAAGGGCAAGTAGTGGAGTACAGACGATGAGAGTGTAGGTTGTTGCAGTGAAAGGAAGGAATGGGGATGGAGATAGAGATGGAGATGGAGATGTATTGATGATGGTGGAGGTGGTGGTGGTGGTGGTGGTGATGATGGCGGTGGTGAGTGACGTTGATCATGTAATAAGGTTACGAAGTCAAGTACCTCCCTAGTAGCCTACATACTAGGCTCGGTATATCCAAGCTGAGCTAGGGAGTCTCTTTATTAGCCTACCTCCCCTCCCTACCTCCCTACCTAGTACCTAGCTTCAAGGATTTCTTTGACCTTTTGGTGCGTTTGGACTTGTTTTCCTTATCGATACGGGAGTATCAGCTGTCTATCAGCTGTCTATCTTGGAGACTCTACGATACGACATTTGCATATACCAAGGGGAGGAATCCTGAACCATCATTTGCCAGCTGAATCATTGTTATCGTATTGGAAATTCAATCCAGCGTAGTTTTCATGTTACACGCAAGCTGTGAAGTCTAGCTGTGAAGTCTAATGAATTTAGTATTTAGTAAAGTCTTATATCTACCCATGCCCCGGTGTCTCCCAATGACAAATGACCATGATGGCAATCAAAGAGGGCGACCGAGGTAGGTACGTATACACACACCACCCACAGCCTTATGGGTTCACTTCATTACGACATACGTAGTGCGGAGTATCAAGCAGTCAAGGCAGTAGATGGAATGATGGAATGATGGAATGGCTCAATGGCTCAATGGCTCAATGGCTCAATGGCTTACACCTAAAGCTCTGACCCCAGGAATGACTAAACCATCACTTAGTCCACCAGTGGTCGGGTGTACAGGACACGGAAGATCATGGGGTAATGAACCTGCCGTTCAATGCGCCCAGAAAAGTATATGGGTGAATGAGTATAAACGAGTACAGACTCGAAATTCTTGGACCTTTTATGGCCTGATCCATTCTCCCAGAGGAATATGGGCTGAGTTTCCTCATTTCTTCCTCCCAACAAAAATCTCAGAGAGATTTCTTATAAGAGGTCGTACCTTCTGGTAGGTTACATTTCTTTCTTCCACTAATAAACTTTGACAGCTGCCACACCTCGAGCACACTTGACATTCTTCAACTTTACTCAACCCATCCATCTACCTACCTATAATACCCGCCAGTATGTGTATCGTCTTAGCAACTACCGCACATCCGTCCTACGCACTCATCATCCTTGATAATCGAGATGAATTCATTCTTCGGCCGACCAGCAAGCCACACTGGTGGTCTTCCAATCATCAGGAAATCCTCTCAAGTCGAGACCTTCAACGTGCCGAGCAAGGAACATGGCTAGGCATTACGAAAGCTGGTAACTTTGCAGTTCTTACAAATTATCGCGAAACAAATACCCACGACAAAGACCATCCCGTACAAGGAACGAGGAGTCGAGGCGGTATGGTCACGGCTTGGTTGACGGCAGAAAACGACGAGAGTACCAAACAATTTGTACACAGGCTATTGGACGGGGATGGAGTGAAAGGTGTCGGCGGGTTCTCCTTGGTATGCGGGAAGTTGCGAAAAGAAAGATCCTCTGACGACCAAATGGAACCTCTAGCAATCATTTCAAATCGCAGCGGAACCCCAGATGAAGTACCATGGGTAGCGGCCAACAGAGGAGAGGTTTACGGCTTAAGTAATACTTCCTACGATGATCCAATAACTTGGCCCAAGATTAAGTCTGGCAAGGAAAAGGTCTTGGAGGTTGTAGAAGAAGTGGTACACAATGGCTTTGGAGAAGAGGAGCTAATCAAGAAGTTGTTCACTGTTCTGGATATTGATACGCTCCCGAAGAAAGATGACAGTCAGGACTTTGAGGAGTATATCTATCAGCTGCGCAAGTCAATCTTCATACCTACCATCGGCCATGCAGCCCCAGCTTCAGAAGTTCCAAAAGCAGACGAGATTGCAGCTGCTGTCGGGAAGGTATCGTCATCCAACGAAGAATCCGCAGTCGAAATGAAGGAACAGCGGATCAAGGATCAGGAGGAGCAAAGGCCAACGCCCGAGAACAATAATGTTATATCTGGCGTTTACGGTACCCAAAGGCAAACCATCATTCTCGTAGATTGGCAAGGACATGTCACATTTATAGAGCGCTCATTGTTTGATGAAGAAGGCAATCCGATGGAAAGAGGACAAGCTGATATGAGGTTTGAGTTCGATATCGAGGGATGGAATGGGGAAAGTAAGGGAAATGAAGTATACCCGCACGCAGTGCTATAGTTTGCTAATAGGATGACAGACGACAAAGTACAATAGTATAATTTAAACCGTTAAACCAAACGACAAACCCTTATTAAGTGCCAAGGGCATGATTACATTACCTCGTAGTAGAAGCGGTAATGCTGTTGATGTATATATCCATCCGAGGACCATGTGTCCATTTTCCTCAAACCATGCTGCAAGTTTCATTCGAATGTTTTAATGTTCCAGACGATAGCCATGATCAGTACCTTTATTAGTTAACCTAATTTCTGAGGTAAGTGAAGTGAAGTGAATGGACAGGTATGTATTACCTATGTACCTATTTGTAAATTCACTATCGATGTCATGTATAGCGGCCATATTTTAAGAACGCACCTTCCACATTCTTTTCTTAAAATCAAAGACTTCAATCAATTTCACCAATAATCAGTGATTCCTTCCCTTCCAATCTCTTCTTATTTCAACCAATCTTTCAGACGACAGACTTTATTTTTATCATCTCCTAAATGAAGGGGATATTTATCATTCAACAAATGTTATCGAATTTTTGAAATCGAACTTTTGCCTAGGTATTCATCACGCCGCCTCCGCATCAGGCAATGATGAGGATATGATAAATCCTTCAGAACCCCCCCATCTTATTTGCCTGGCAAGGTTCCCAAAAGTTTACGATCTTCTTAGTTTTGACAACTCTTGTCATTCCTTCTGCTTTAATCTTCAATTGTTGTTTTCTCAACCAGAACAACCCCAGAATCTGGAGTACAGCTTGCGACTCGCGACCCAAACGACCGGACTATAAAGTGGCTTTGATATCTTGAAGCTGAAGAGAAACCAAAATTCGTGGTAAGTTTGACATCTCATTACCAATTTCTTTTGGAACAGGTCGATATCAACAGAGCAGGAGTTGGATTATATACGATGCAAACCTTGCAATTCCATCATGTCTATCTGTATTTGTATGTGTATGGATTCATAGTCGGCAAACACTTCTAAAATAAGCTTCCATGGAATTTCGAGAATGTTGGAGGACTTTCTTGTCGCTCTATGCACTTTCTGAGACTTTGCATGCTAATTGTGTGAGACTTTTGTAGAGAGCAAATCAACGGATATGGCCAACTATCATCGTCGCATGGCCGCACTCCCATCGAGTCTCTTATCAGAGGAAGATAGTCATTTGAACTCGTCAAAAAGGTCTACTTACAGATATGAACGGGGATCAAACACGCAATGGCTAGTTGAGACCCTCCCAATTCTTGTTAAGAGGACTGCTCATCATTCTCCAATCTCGCATGGTACAGCTTCTTCACCCCCCAAAAGCAGTAATTTGCCTTGCCCGGTATCGTCCCTGCGTAGGCCTGTCAACAATTCGCCAGTTTCGGTCTCGTCTTCACGGTTCCGTCTCGGAAGGGAACCTGTGAATCCAAAGTCATCCCCACGCACCAGAATCAACGATGCAAATAGTGCCCCTTCGCCAAATCACTCGTCCAGAGGTCCACCCTCAAATTCTCAATACACGAAAATCGCAGCTTCAACAGCACGTAGAATCCCCTCAAGTTCACCGGCTTTGACCTCATCCCTACTTCAAACCGATGATAAAGTAGGCAAAGTTCATCAAAGACGTAATTTCCTGCCTGAATTGACAGCTCGCGACATAGAGTTTCTAGAGAATTCACAGTCTTCTTCTCCAAACTTATCGGCCCCGTCTTTGTCAAAACGAAACCAGGTTAGCAATTTACCATACTCAGCTTCATCTCCAAACATCAAGAAGTTATCAGATTCCAATGAGAACGCTCCGCCAGTTCCGTTTGCCCCCAAAAGTGAATTACATGAAAGAGTCTTGCATGGTCGTCGTGGGTCTGCACACACCAACAATTACTACCCGCATCCGCTATATAGCAATCCTACCGTTGCTAGCTCTGTCTTGACTGCTTCTGCATCTAGTACGGATATTAGCCAACCAAATTCTCAAAATCAAAGGATGCCAGATCGTGACTCCTCAAGGATTCCAAGCCCCACATCAGGATCCAACTTGAAGTCTACTAGTCGTCGACATCTCCATTCTCCAGTGAGGAGAGCTATAGAAAAGGGAGAAGAAAGTCGGGCACGAAGACGGCACACTTCACCAATTTGGGCGTTACCAAACATTCAAACCAATGCAACATCTCCTGCGGGACCATGCCAAACTGCTTTTAAAACATCGGAGCTGACACCGGAGCCAAAACAGGAATCGAATTCTCTTCCCAAATCAAAAACGTTTGGTGTCTTCTCTACTCTCAAGAACTCATCCTCTATTCAATGGCTTCATAGTAATCGCTCAACGTCAAACCCCACTCATTCTGCAGGCCCAACTATCTCGACAACAAAATACTCGCCGATTCCGGAGTTTACAACAAATACCCTCCAGGTCCATACCGCTCAGCCTTTTGCTTACTGGTGCGGTCGATTTCAAGCCGTGTCAGACCGGTATCAGAGCGAAGATTTTCATGTTTGTGTCATCAATCCCCTTCCTGTTCCACGAGATAGCGATATCAAACGTGAAAAACCATCCTCTCACTACAGACGCACCGGTAAAACACTCCGAGAAGCAAATTCTCCATCGAATTCTGATTCGCCGGCTCCATTCCTAGAGAGATCTCGCAAGAAGACCCCAGTCAAATCACATAAGACTGTTCTCGCCGTCTCAACTCCAGCACACTTTCTAGAAGATTTTGATAAACGAGCTCAGAAGGTCATGATGTTTCTTGCATCATTGTGCTGTACAAGTCCGGCTAAGAAGAGTCTCAGGGAATGGCAAATTCAATATGCTACAGTAATGAAGAATAAAGCTCTAATGCCTAGAAATGATACAGATGATAAGGGCTTCTTTGGGAGAATGGGAAAAGTCATTAGTGACGGTGTTAATGGGAACAAAAATGGTACAAATGGAAGAGGAACTGTAATGGGAAAGCGAAGCGCTTTTAGCCTCAGGAAAGGTGGTAGAAGTGCAGCGGAAGACCACTGACTATTCCTCCAATTTTCGATGATCAAAGCTTGGATGTATTGGAAGCGAAGGTTCACATGTTGGAATACTAACATGCTTAATATATTTAGCTCCAAGGTCGTGGTAATAGGGGATGCCAAAATATTGATTTGAGGAACGACGTTGGACTTTACAAATACAAATGAACATGGCAGGAGCTTGCAAGTAAATGATGATTCGATGAGATACGATGGTTATGAGCGATTCAACACGATACAATAATATGAGATAAGAATCAGACGACACGAGATGAGAAACTACAATACGATTTTTATGAGGACATCAAGATGGGCTACGAAATGGTTCACCACAGTACAATAAGATGAGACGGAAAGACAGGTTCTAAGACATTGTTTAATAAATAGCTATAGTTGATTATTTCTGGTCTCTCAGTGGCGAGAGAAAAGAGCAGCAGCAAAAGCAGCAGCAGTAATAGTAATGAGAACGTTTGAGACTTTGAAACATTATCCCAGTATTAAATTGGGGCTTGAATATTCCCTACGAACCGTGATTTGGAAGCAGTATTTGAAAGTCTGTATAACAGCAACTTATCAAAACTGACCAAATGCGAGCTTCAACATCTTCCTAGCAGAATGACGCATAGTCAATTGACCTGTTAAATTGCAATGCTCGAATCCTCGCTTACAGGCCCGCCAGCCAATGAAAAACTACCTCGAAGCTGGAAAATGTATTCTAATTACCACTCATGGAGCAGATTACTTCTACTCTTATTCATAACGATGCAGTGCTGAAGAGCAAACGATATCGAAGAAGAGGGAAGCATAGGAAGAATTTGAATAAATCATAACGTGACATAAATAACATTTTCAAAGGCTCCTAAAACGCAGTACTATATACAAGGCGCCATAACCAAATATCCAAAACAATCCTCCCTTTCAATTTCAATTACAGCGCTTCTCAAAACTCGTTCACTCGAATGAAATTATCCCATCAACAGCATCTCTTTCCATCCACCAGCCTACTCTCCCCATCCGTCAAATTCAACACGCTCTTCGCCTCCCCACCCTTACTCGCCGCCACACTGCTCGGCGTACTGCAGTAGCTAGGCGGCACATCCAGCGCGGGATTCTTGGTGAAGAAATTTCTCGGCCTCAACAACAACGTCATGGGTTCGGCCGGCATGATGGGGAAATCCTCGGGGCTGGGGAAGTGCGTGATGCCAAACGTGTGCCAGAGCACAATATCCGTATTCTGAATCGACGCCTCGCCGTTGGCGATCCACTCGGGCAAGCCCGCGCTGGGCTCCCCCGATGTCTGCGGCACGTGGCGTCCGGCGGGGTGCAGTTGGTCGTCTGAGTAGGGCGTCACGTGGACGGCGTGGCGGGCGAAGCCGGCGCGCTTCCACACGAGCGAGCCTTCTTTGGGGAGGAGCTTGGGAACCTCCCGGCTGACGAGTTTGTAGGAGACGGGTTTGTGGGAGTAGGGGTTGAGTTTGTTGGGGTTGGCCATTTCCCAGGTGCGCGAGGTGACGCCGTCGTAGTCGGAGATGGATTCGTTGACGGTTTTGTATTCTGTTTTGTGGGCGAAGAAAGCGTTGCCGTAGGGATTTTCGGGGGAGCCGACGGCGCCGGCGCCGGGGAGGGCGTCGGCTTGGAAGACGGTGTTGTTGGGGCCGTCGATGTTGGAGTCGATGCGCAGACAGAAGAGATGTTGATGATTGTGCGCGTTGACGCCCGGGTAGACTTCGGTGCCCCAGCCCTTGGTGTCTTCGCCGGGGTTCATGGAGTAGGTGTTGAGGATACCGGTGAGTTTGATTTCGAGTTGGATGGTGCCGTCTTGGTGGAAGATCCAGTAGACGCAGTATTCGTAGTTGGCGGCGGTGAAGATGTGGGAGATGATGAGTTTGCGGCCGCGAGTGACGATGACGGATTCGTCGCGGAAATCGGTATGTTTGAAGAGGATACCGGCGTCTTCTTCGTGGATGCAGATGGCGTTTTTGATGGTGGTGCTCTCACCGGCACGATTTACAAAGGCAGCGTCCTAGTTTATCTATTGTTAGAAATGACTGGTCGTG